AAAAACAGAAAAAAGATATCTTTATTTCTTTTATTATGGAAACAAAGGGGATAAAGGTTATCCGTAAATTAATCAGCTCTTAAGGGTGTGTCAGCATGTCATTAAACAAAATCCTTGGACCTCATGTGTATATTCGAGGAGGGGGGGGGGGTAAACACTTTGTAACACACGCTACCTTGTTGTGGGACATGGTACAGACATAAACCTATACGAATCCCTCTTAGTACAATTAGCAAGAGACGATGCCAGGCCCAAGCTTTCCATTGAAAACGAAAAGACTGAAGCTAACACGTACTTGCAACCAAAGGAATCAGACCTTCTAAAGCAAAACTATATTTGCTTTGCTGGAATATGCGGTGGTATTAGAAACAAATGGTGATTTCTAGTGAAACACGGCCTTCCAAATATGCATTGAGAGAGCAAGAACTAGCGAAATCAATAACATTTAAATACAATTAATTTTTTTTTTAATTCCACAAATTCAGTCTCGTTTTTTGGAGGAAACCTTCGACATATTTGAGGTTACAGTCGAAGAAAATGGGAGGGCTGATCAAGCAATAGAAATGGATTTTTTAATATGAATTTTTCAGTGTGTTTTCATTTCAAATTACAGACGAAATCAAACGATTGTCAGTTGCTTGAAGCTCTCGCAGCCCGTAGTTATCAGATATCAGAGTTCATACTGCTGACTACGGCGATGATTTCTTACTGAAATTGAAACTGCGACATATGCCCAGTATGACGAAACTTTTGTCACCGTATGTCATTTGATAATTTAGACAAACTACAGAAATCAGAAAAGTTAATTAACAACTTATCTGATAAAACTTTGACAGACTTTCAATGGATATCTATAATTTTAAATTTCAATTGTAAAATGTTATGTTTTAGAAGGGGGGCTCGAGATCGCTACTACGAGCCTGTAAATATTGCATATCTGTTATTTGAAAAAAAAAAACAACAACATTTGTTTACTGTATATTTAATTATCATGTCCGAACCTTGGTCAGATACGTTCGAACCATGGTAAAAATCGCTTGATGGATTTAACTTCTAGTTAGAACAGATGTATTCAGTGTTTTGGTGATATATTGACAGTTGATAAAACCCGAAAGGTTCCAAAACACTTTCCAGTTGATAGTACAAGTCTAGACCACTGTCACTCGGAACAACAGCTTATTGCGTGTAAGCAAAACAAGAACCGTCCGAACCATGGTCAGTTTGCCTTTATCGATATATGACGTCTGGATTTTGACTCAATTTATTTCTACAAACCAGAGTATGATAAACCATGAGAAAAAGGCGCGAATTACCGCATTATAAGCATTTTAAAGCATTTCTAAGGCAGAGTGATGTATCTTGAATCGTTCTACATTTGTGCAACGATATCGTAAATAAATTTTAAGTTGAGGGTTATTTCTAAGATAAAAGATGAAAATATATCCATATCAAGGATTTTAAAGGACTGTGTTAAAGGTATGATATTTTTCCAGTTTAAAAACCGTCTGTCCGATGCATGGTGAACAATGTCCGATCCATGGTGAATTCTCAGTTATTCCTAAAACACGATTTTTTGGGATATTTTTTCAATAAAGGGCATATAATTGTGTACTAAATTGTTATTTTAGTCACAAACTAAATGTTAAGCTCCATTTTGATAATTTTCCGTCGATAACGACATCGCTAGAACTTGTTGAAGAACAAGGGTATCCGATGCATGGTGAATTCACCCTATCAGAGGCCAGACAACCAGATGGAGAGAAGTTGACGAAACAGTTACGCAAGAAGAATTCAATTTACTTTGCAGACTACTGTTGCATATTTACCAAAATGCAAATGCCAACGTCTTCATCTCTGATGTTCTTTACCATAACGCAACAGCTGCATACACCATTTAAAATAAACTCATACCAAAGCTACATGTAAGAACAACCTATCCAACACCTGAAAAGATTTACTATCTAACTGATTCTCCAAAGAAACAGAATCAAAATAAAGCCATTTTAAAACGACGGACTATATGGGTGACTTTGGATTAGCTGGACGTTGGAACTACCTAGAATCAGGACATGGAAAGTTACCATGTGATGGGAGCCAGTATAAAGATGTGCCCAGCTTATATGACCATCAGACATCAAGACTTGACGCCTGGTCGAAACAGAACGAGGAGAGTGTTAGCAAAATCAGATTCTTTTTCCACAAACAGGACGAAGTTGATGCTGGCAGTAGCATACTCGAGAAAAAGGAATATCCATGCCAGTACTGGTACATTCAAATTACATGCAGTGGTTTCGACAAGCTGTTGTACAATACTTACAGAAGAAACCTCGTGCTATTGCAATTATTGTCTAGAAGATGCAAGGAATAGTATCCGAGAGTGAAAGGAGCATTTTATGTGCAAAAGACAATTAGATGAATTCGTAGTTGAAACCATACCTAATGTAGAGGAGATCAGTGACCAGGAAGAAATCATGAACGCTCCTATTTCACATTTGGATATACAACCTATTTGCTGTTTGTCTACGACAAAAAAATTTTTGAGGGGCAAGTCGTTGCAGTGGACACTGCTGATGACGAAGTGGAAAAGCAATTTTCTACAAAAAAAAAACAACAAAAAACACAGGGAAGTAGAAGTACACTGCCACAAGAAGAAGACAGAGTATATGGATAGAAATAAAGAGCATTTTAACTATACTTGAAAAGACACAAGTTCAATCGGAAATTCGAAAAGATTGGGCAAGATATATGTCATCGACAATCGAGAGATAGAAAGAAAAGAGAATGCATTACATGCAATATATCAGCAAAATCTGTGATGTACCATTTTCATTTTTTTTTTCTAAATTCTTTGATGCTTAAAGAGAATGACACCTAAATTATAAAATCCATTTCCTTTCCATGGCTATAGTTAAAAATTGTCCGACCTATTACATTTACCTGTATCCTTTCATTCTTTAAACTAGTTTCACCAAGAATTGGTTCTGCAGTTAGAAGAAAATAACTTAATTATATTAACAATAACAAATATCATTCCAAGTATGTTTAATGGAACTGGTCTTTATTTTGACATGTTGACTGCACAACTAGGCTTTTTGACAATGTAATTTCTAGATAGAGTCCTTTCCATCTGGGATCTGACTAGAGGTAATACATTTTAAACATCAGATATATCGACATTATATATTTTCTATAGCTGATGTTTCTTCATGGACATAGCATCATTTTTCAAAGTGTAGGGGGGCAGCCTGAGAAAAAAATTAACATACCTCATCAAAAACAAGTAAAACAAAAAAAAAAAAAAAAAAAAAAAAAAAAAAAAGGTTCACAAACACATGATAATCTTATTTCGCTGGGAAGAGTGTTCAGTATCAATTTTTTTTTATCACACACATACTTCATTTCTTTTATTTGACTGTAATGTAATTAACATATTATACATGGAAAAAGTAGACTCCCATGGCCCCCTGATCTGTTCTTATGTCATTTAATCATCAGTGTAAAAGAAGGAGCACTTATACATCAATGTAATGTGAAACACACGTTTTGCAGAAATCAAAACCGAAAAGAATCAATAACAAACGGATTCACTGTAATCGATATGATTGAAAAACAAGAGGCCCATGGGCCACATCGCTCACCTGAGAAGCTTTGACAATTCTGTCCTTTACTAGATTTCCCCCTTGTAATACAAATTGTGACCCCACCCTACCCCACTGATCATAATTTAGACAATTTGAAATCTACACTACCCCAGGATGCTTCCATATAAGTTTCAGCTTTTCTAGCCCAGTTGTTATTAAGAAGAAGATTTTCAAAGATTTTTCCTATATATTTCTATGTTAAACTTTGATTCCCCATTGTGGCCCCGCCCAATCCCCAGGTGTCTGATTTGAACAATTTAGAATCTACACTACCCCAGGATGCTTCCACATAAGTTTCAGCTTTTCTGGCACAGTGGTTTTTCAAAGATGTTTCCTATATATTTCTATGTAAAACTTTGATTCCCCATTGTGGCCCCGCCCAACCCCCGGGGGTCATGATTTGTACAATTTAAAAAAAGGATGCTTCCACATAACACATTTTCTGGCACAGTGGTTTTTCAAAGATGTTTCCTATATATTTCTATGTAAAACTTTGATTCCCCATTGTGGCCCCGCCCAGATGATTTGAACAATTTAGAATCTACACTACCCCAGGATGTTTCCACATAAGTTTCAGCTTTTCTGGCCCAGTGGTTCTTGAGAAGATTTTCAAAGATTTTTCCTATATATTTCTATGTAAAACTTTGATTCCCCATTGTGGCCCCGCCCAATCCCCAGGTGTCATGATTTGAACAATTTAGAATCTACACTACCCCAGGATGCTTCCACATAAGTTTCAGCTTTTCTGGCACAGTGGTTCTTGAGAAGAAGATTTTCAAAGATGTTTCCTATATATTTCTATGTAAAACTTTGATTCCCCATTGTGGCCCCGCCCAACCCCCGGGGGTCATGATTTGTACAATTTAAAATCTACTCTATCCCAGGATGCTTCCACATAAGTTTCAGCTTTTCTGGCACAGTGGTTCTTGAGAAGAAGATTTTCAAAGATGTTTCCTATATATTTCTATGTAAAACTTTGATTCCCCATTGTGGCCCCGCCCATCCCCGGGGGTCATGATTTGAACAATTTAATGCTTCCAAGTTTAAGCTTTTCCGGCTCAGTGGTTCTTGAGAAGATTTTTTAATGACCCAACCCTATTTTTGTCTTATCGTGATTATCTCCCCTTGTGAAGGGACTTGGCCCTTGCTTGATTTTAAAAATTTAAATCCCCCTTCTCCAAAGGATGCCTTGTACCAAGTTTGGTTGAATGTGGCCCATTGGTTATTGAGAAGAAGTCGAAAATGTGAAAAGTTTACGGAACAACAAACGGACACAATGTGATCGATATGAGCCTTGAGGTTAGCTAAAAAGAAGATATTTCAAAACCAAGGATCGAATTACAATGATCAATTGAAAATTTGAAGGCAGTGGACCTGTCGATATGTTAAAAAGGAACAATTAATGCTTTTTATTATTCGTTTTCTTTGGAAAATGACGCATTTCATTCAATGCAAGAATTGATTTATTGTTCAGAATTAGAAGGGGACCCTATATACTGGTATAGTGCTTTACACGAACACAATTACTGAAAAGACTGTACATAAGAGTCCTGATTCTAGCATGGCGGAAAATAATGTTAACAGTGAGAACAAATGCATTGAGGAGATTTTGAAGTGTCCCATCTGTCTTGAAAAGTTAAGGGAACCACGGTATCTACCATGTTTACACACATTCTGTACCCCGTGTTTGCGAAAATATATCGCCGGCCCCTGGACTCAACCAGTGGAATCCTCCATTTGGGATTCTCTTTGTCAATCGTTTCAAAATCAAACCGTGGATTCTCTCAGTGATATGTCGAAGAAGCACGGATTCCTGTGTCCTGTATGTCGAAAGCACGTAGATATTGATAAGAAGTACGAGAACAGAGAAGTGTGGATCGAGCAAATTCCAACAAATCATTTTATGAATACTTTGTTGGATAAGTTGTCAATTGAAGAAAACAAGAAACAATGCGATCCATGTTTTTCTCAAGGCAGCAGTAAACTTGCCACCTCCTGGTGCCTGAATTGTCACGAGGCTCTCTGTCAGAATTGTGAACAGGATCACAAAAAATTCAGACTATTCAGAAATCACATGCTTTCAGATTTAAAAGGAAAAGGCACAGAGAAAAAGGGTCAAATCATTGGTTTTATTCCATGCCCAGATCATGGATCGGAAGATGCCCAAATATTCTGTCATAATCATCGGAGTGCATGCTGCACCATCTGCGCCACAATCAAACATCGAGCATGTCAGGAAGTCACTTCATTAAAAGATGCTGCATTAGAGGCAAAAGAGAGTTCGGAAACAAAGAGTTTGATAAAAAGATTAACAAATATGGCTAATCAATTGAAGAAAGCAACAGAAGAAAAAGAGAAATTCCGCAAAGACATAGAAAGCGAATCTTCAGCGATCAAAATCAGGATTGAAGAATTTAAGGAAGACGCAAAATCGAAGTTAGATGGCATGTGTTCTTCTCTCCAAACTCGTCTTCAGTTTGAAACTCAAAGTGCTGATTTTGAAATAAATAATTCCTTACTTGATATTTCTCGCGTTTTCAGTCGTTTGCAGCAACATATTCAGATTTTGGAAGCATCGATTTCACAAGGGTCCAATGAAGAGTGTTTAATTGAACTAGAAACAGTGCGCGCCAATGAAAGAGACATTAAAAATGATGTAAAAGAAAGCTTATTGAAAAATACCCCCGAAAAGATATCCCTCGAGCCTACTTGCTTTTTTCAGATGAGATGGCCCGTGACGCTCGCTGATATTCGTGTTTTGAAATCATCGGTATCCATCAGCAAAGAGATTCAGTATTATTTATATGAAAATCCCCCTAGATATGAACAGAACCGGGGAAAAGCCATGTCTCGTCAAGAAAGAGTTTTATTAAGAAAGGAAAATTGCATGTAATTCTACAATTTCTTTTACAACGAGACATCATCAGTCTCGTGTGGCAATAGTGGCATGAGGATCACTGAAAATTGCCAAAAAATGAACTGTCAAAAACAAGCATTCGTCTTTTATTTCCAATAAAATAAGAGCTCTTTCAAGCATAATACACTGTATATGACTTCGAATGATGACTCGCAAAATCTTTGACTTTCACATGCTTATCCTGCGCGAAGGAACAATCATTATTATTTTAACCCACCTATAAGGACGTTAATTCTGACGTACGGAAGAAGACTTAGCGTGTAACTTTTTTTTCCATAATTTTTATTTTAATTATTATTTTACCATTTTGTTCAACATGAATATTTTACTAAAATGTTTGGACTAAATATTATCTATATTCTATGGGTTTAAAAAATATCTCAGAATCAAGTGCCTATGAGATACATGCCATATTATAAATTGATTGTTTCTTGGAAAAACGATTGATTAACGCTGTCTTTAGAGATTAGGGCCATGGGTTTATTCCGTTTCTAATTTATCTGTTTCTATTTTAAACATACTTGCATTTTGAGCGTCGATGTCCATGAATGAAGAAGATTTTTCTGTATGTTTAATTAACCTGGTTTTTGTCCCGGTTATCAGGTCTAGGAGGCGTGCTTTTAATTAATTAAATTTAAGTTAGAAGAGGTAATTCTTAAAACAATAGACCGGTTAAAATAAATGTAATTTTAATACAAATTTATTTGAGAACTGTATATAATAGAGAAAGGTAACAATTAACAGAATAAAATCATAAAACAAAATCTAATCCAAAACAATAAAAATGTAGCACTTTCACAATTAACAAATTTTAACAAGTACATTGTATAAACTGGTTATTTGATACATATTAGTCTTCAAAATATTTTCATTCTTTCTCTGTTGTTTTGCCTCTTAGACTGGACTGTTTCCTGGAAAACGATTGCTGAAAGCTGTCTTTGGAAATAGAGCCCGTGGACGCGTTGAAATTTCGACTGAAAGATGCTCTCAGAGGCCCATTTCTTTGAAACATACCCTTAAACATGGTAGAGAACCGGTCATCAGATAGGCCGTAGATAAACGGGTTGGACACGTTGTTGAGGAAGATGGTCCACAGAAATATGTAGTACAAAGCACCACCATAGAATCCCATGAAACACTCCAGATTTTTCTGGATGTGCAGGACAAGTGCCAGGATATCGTGAGTCAGAGCGTTAATTAAATAAACAACGGAAATAATTAAGAAAGTCATCGTGGTCTTCCCGATGTTGAGATTCTTCTGTTGTCCTTTCTGGCGGTTTTTAGTTCGAACAGTGCAGTACTTTGAGTGGCTGCGAATTCTGCGAAGAATCAGAGAATACAAGACACACAGAAAGACAGTGACAATGACCAGCATTACTGTCAAGGCAATGTAGTTCCACTGGGCGATCGTTATGGTTAAAGGGTCATTTTCTAGAAAGCAGCGCGTTCCTACTACGTGGTTGATGTTCGTATCGACTTGTGAATTTCCGTATAACAGTGGCGTAAACCAAGAGAATCCCAAAGAGAACACGCAGATGAACAGACAACTTAGCTTGGACTGCTGCTCCGTGAGCTGTTTCTTTAGAGGCCGACAGACTTTCAGGAATCGGTCCACAGCAATGAGAACTAGGACCAACGAAGATGCAATGTGTACAAAAAATCCTAGGAAATAACCTGCCTTACAAATAAAGTTAGAAGGGAAATTAACTGGATAGTACAAAGACAGGATCGCAAAGGGCATCACAAACACACAACTTATGAGGTCTAGCATCACCAGGAATAATACATAGACACGGTAGTTAGACACTTTTGACTTGGTACTATACAATAACAGCACACTGACGTTTCCAATCAAGCTTAGTGTCATTTGGAGACTTATAAAGTAAATCCCTGGAATATTTCGGCGCATGAATACTGTATTGATGTCTTCAAGCGTCGTCTGGTTGTTCCATTTTCTGTGGACAAGCCACTGAGGACAGGAGAGAACCTCCCTCTGTGCATGGGTGTGGTTCGTGTGTGTGTTGGTCAGTAGGATATCGGATCTTGGACTCGGTAGAGGGCCAATCACGGGTGGCAGGTCCGGCAGAGGGGCTGGCATATCATGTAATCCGTCATCATCCATTTCTTGTGAAAGCTCAATTACCCTTTGTAATTTTTCAATGTACGTGTGTCACCGTGAAAAATATAGCTAATATTGAGAAAGGAGTGGACCTGTAGACTAACATAAATGATAAATGTCGATTCAATTAAATATTTATTGCTTTTGACGTCTTTTTCGTATAAAAAGATAAAATCAACAGTACTTAGACAGCAGTGTAAATGGAATGTAATTATATATGCGATAAAATGATGACCAATTGTTAATGTCCTCTGGTCAGTTTTTATTCAATGAAAGCAATTAAATGTTTTATGTCTCGCTGTAGGTTAAAATATAATCATATATCGTGCCTTGATTTTTGTATTTTATGTTTATGGTTAATATATGTATATTTTTAACATTGAATGTACAGTTGTGTGCCAAAAGTGAAAATAATTTTATTTTTTCTTTATATATTTCATTGAAAACAATTAATATTTTGTAAAATCAACATGACAACATTTCGTGACAGATTTTATCAAAAATTTCTTGATAATCCAAGAAATTGTTGTAGTTAAAAAAAAAACAATAGTTTTTATCTGATAAGCATTGATAATTCAAAAATATTGTAATTTAAGTGTGACATGAATTTTGAAGTCATATACTCACAAAGAATTATATAGTCAACATTGATCTTGAATTTTAGAACTGATGTTTAGTGATGAACTATATTTTACTATATATTAAACGTGTAATGATCTTTTAAAGAAAGATAACTACACATTTTCTGGTTTAAGTACTGAAATAAATAATTAAATTGGACAAAAATTGACCATTTATCTATGATTTTAGAAAATGTTGTTTTCAATGAAATATATAGAGAAAAAATAAAATTATTTCACTTTTGGCACGCCACTGTAGTTTTCTATTCTTGCATTATAGAAGGAAAGACAACTTAAAAAGAATTTGATATACAAAATACATTTTTATATCAATTTAATATTATATATGTCAATTTCCAATACATACAACGGGCATATACACATATGAATCCTATTTTTAGCTGACAATCTGAGATAAAGGCTTCTAAATTAACTGTTTTCGTTAACATAGTTGTCTGTGTTTTCCCTTCTTAAAATTTTCAATAGTTCTATTGAAATATTGATCTTTTTGGGAGTAAAAAAATATTGAAATAATAATGACAATTCCTATTGGAAAATTTTTAATTATGTGTTTCTATTTTTATGTGTATGACATGTAATTATTCTTATACTATATTACTTCCTTTTAGTCCTTTATTTGAAACCAATCACCTGTATTAACTTGGCATACGAACTGCAGTAAAAAAAAATGGGCGATAGAATATTTAACAGTTATCTGATTGTACAAACCATTGTTTGGACCTAAGCTACCAATACAAAATATACATACATGATGTAAGGATGATTCCGTTAGGACTGGTTTTCTTTGTCCTTATTCACGGATCTAATGGTAAGAGTGATGATTAAATATGCATTCTAATTTCAAGATTTAAAATTTTAAAGAAATGGACAATAATTCTTCCTCTTAAACGGGATTTGTATAGGTGGAACTGACTTCTTTTCTACTCTTAAAAATCTCACGATTTTTCTTATGGAATGATTTAAACATAGAAATAACGAAAAGTGTTCAAGTTCAAAGTCATGCAATACAGATCGGGAGAAAAGCAAACACGGACCTCCAAATAAGGGGGATCAGGTACCGTGGAAGAGTGAGCATCCTCTACCGACTGGTTACTCCCGCCGTTGTGTTTTCCTTGTCTTAATCGGGAAAAAATCCGTAGACAATTCAATGTGTAAATAATGGCCTAAAAATTAGTACGAAAAATGTCAGTCACTATTTAATTTAATGATGTATAGGTTGTATTCGCTTGAAGTTATTGTTTCGACCATAAAACGTTAAATGTTGATATTTCAATTTTATATTATTGTTGATTTCTAATATCCTTGTTTCATTAACTTGTTTGTCAATACATGTAGTTTGCGTCGTTCTAGAATTTGCTCCTTTGTAAAGCATGCTCTTGCGCACAGGAACCAAACTTGCTTGAATTTTTGACGTCTTTATTAATAATATACTGGGGGTAAAAAATTCAAGCTAGTTTGGTGTCTGTGCTCTTGCGTATCGAATTAAATGTGAGGCAAAACACCTTATTTGTAGGTGAGAAAGGTTTGTTGTTATGATCGTATGGGATAATGAAAATTGAAAACTTTAAGTCTAAGTCGCGTTTATCATTAAGTTCTGTTATTAAGTAACCATAAACGTCTTTCCTCGTAAAATATTCAAATATGAAAGATATGCTTTAGACTCATTTGTTATCTTTCATACAATGTACATGTATCACCAAGTCGACATTTGAAGTTAAATAACTAATTGATAATTGTTAATGTGTTGTTATATAGGAAATGCCGAGTTGAAAGCCACGGCAAGTGTTTTCTTCTTATATAGAAATTTTTAAATAGATTCTGCCTCATATGAAGTCAGAAATAGTTGGAAATTCCAATAGATTGTTGGAAGACCTGATCTCCAATAACTACTTACTTATTTTCAATTAGAAACATAAGCATTTTTATATTAATTTCAGAGTACTTGTGTGTACGATCATAACGCTTTTTTTCTTACAAAATAATAACTATAATGACCTTTGACATGGTACATGTAAGTTATGGAATAACTATCTTCTAATTTTGCATTTGCATTCTAATTTTGCATTTGCGACCGTTAATGCTGATTTAACGGTCGCAAACATCCGTTTTACCGGCGACGCGTAACCCAGTTTGCGACCGTTAAATCAGCATTTACGGTCGCAAATACCAAAATAGAAGATAGTTATTCCCATTCTAATGCTATCTACACTGTAAAAAATAGCAAGTTAAAGTCACTAAGGAGACTAGTAAATTTATTGTCCATACAATCACTACCTTAAAAGCAGTTTTACTAGTTATTGGGTATATTTACTAGATAAGATTAGTAAATCAGGAATTGATAAGTAACTGTCACTATGTATGTAAGTATCTATACGACCCCCGCTTCAAAACTCACTATCTGAGTCAGTATAAACTGAAAGATTACTAATCATGACAAACGCTTTACGAGGCACACTAGCTAAATTCACTAGGTTTTTCTTTCAGTGTATGCATCCTGTTTGTTGTTAACGTATTATTTTGTTGATTTTTGTGACATAAAATACATCATGGAGTATTGTGTTTTTTCGTCGCTCTATTATGACGTTATAATATAAAGCATTCACTTTCATCAGTGCTCATTTTACTGCTTCAAACATCAGTGCATTAGCCAATCAAAAGGACAATTGCATTAGAATATATATTTAAGGTTTTGCCAAAGGTCAAGATGTCCAAAAATTTATTTTACCATAGACTTAAAACTATGTGAGCCATTGTTTATAAATTTATATATCATTGATTAACAGATAGAGCGTATCACTTGAAACCAAATATTCAAGAAATATAATTTTTTGAGAAAAAAAAATATCCCAGAAACTTTGCGTATAATTTTAAAAAGTGCACCTGAACTTTTAGTGAAAACCATCATTGTAGAATAAATCATGTTAATGAAGGGCAAGTTGGACGTGAATGGTCTCTGAAAGGCTGTTATTGAAAGCATGCCATGTATATAAAAAAAAAGACCCCTATAAAATCCGCCATTTGTAATTAGTAATTATACTTTCGGTTTCAAATCTTAACATTTGGACAAAATAAACAGGGAAAACAACTTTTCAGAGGCTATTGAAGTGAAAATTACCCTTCATTGATAAACATACCCGTTGGTGATACAGGCCGTTGGATAAACTTATGCTTTATCAACGGGTAGATGCTTTATCAATAGCACTACCGGTTTTGACACGATCCCTCGCTTCAAGATTTTATTTTATTGAAACTTTTATTTGTGAAAATTGTTGCCCTTATAAAATGAATGATAAAGGGCTATGATATCGTTAAAAGCAAGAAAAAGATTGGTATATGTCAAAGAAGTGTCTTATTCTGTCAAGGAACCTATATTGGCTACTTGAAGACAGATATGTTACCTCCCCCCCCCCCCCTTAAATCGTTTTCGGAGAAAGTAAAGCCTACCTGTTAAGTTGTTGTTTGAATCTAGACAGCTATAGGCCCCTAGCCTCGCCTAACACTTTTTGTACTGCCATCGTAAAAAGAGTTGATTTTCAGGCCAAAATAAAAAATACCTTTGTTTCCCCTAACGCGACCGACTCAATGAAATCGCGCCGACTGAAAAGATTTTTTAAATAAGTTGATTCAAATATTTTTTTTTATTGTTAACCAAGTTTTATAAAATACAAATTCATCAAAATCAGTTTTCATCAGAACGGCTGACATTGTTCTACTGTGATTTTCAAGCATTTGTTGGAAACAAAATGACCACAAGTAGCCATAAGGTAAAGACATGTAAATATTTTCACGTGTATAAATAAATCGCGATCTTCTGAACGCTTTACTTTAGCTACATTACTCAGGGTGTTCCAAGTGACACACAGACTTAGACCATGTTGTTGTTTTTCCTGCTAGTGCATAACAGCTTATATTTTAAACTGGCTTTGTGTATGACACTTCTTAATTTAAATGTGATAAAAAGAAATTCAACGTAGAAATATATGTATAAACATGTATATAAAATATTTTTTTTAACTTCGGAGCTTCGCCAGTGCATTCCAAACTTGTTATGTACATACGTGTTCATTTAATGCTATTTGCTATAGCAGTCTGTCTTAACAGACCAAATACATTTAAATGTTTTGCTACGCTTTCGTACAACGCAAGCGCCGTGTTTTGTAAATACCAGGTTTACTACTATGTCAGTTTCTGTCGCCACTTTTTGACATCTGTTTGTGTTTTCTTTGTTAACATCGTTTTGAGTTTTTTCATTGTAACCCGCCACCTTCATTATGTGGTGACAACACGCATGATCTTTGACTATTTTTTCAGTTTTTATTTTTTTCACTATTGTTTTTATATGTTTCATGTTTATTTACATATTGAATTTAGAACATATACTAGCCATACGTCTGTATCTGACTTGAGCGCTACCCCGTTTGCGGCGATTTACATTTTTTTCATTTTCTATTTCTTTGATAATGGGTAATACTGTAGAACAATATCGTTCCGCTATCGGGGTTTTCTATATGAAATGTAGAGGAATACTGAGTAGGTCTTCATTCAAGATTTTCAACATTGCTGATTTGTTTTATTTTCTATACCAACTGAATATATTATTTCGAATTCATCTGAAAAAAATGGGTTCATATCTAATTATCATAAATTATTTTTCTCAGCTTTTCATATTTTTGAAAATACTCTTATCTGGGGATATTGAGATTAATCCTGGTCCATCTTTTGAGAATTCCCTTGATATTATACATTTGAATATAAGAAGTATCAGAAATAAAATAGACTCGTTGATTTACTTAGTACAGGATTTTGATATATTATGCTTTACAGAAACCCATTTAAATTCAAATTTAACCAATGATGATCTTCATATAGAGGGATTTGGAAATATTTTTAGAAAGGATAGGAATTCATATGGAGGGGGAATCATGATATATGTCTCTAACTCTCTAAAAGTTACTCGACGGGAAGATCTAGAACCAAGAAACATAGAGAGTATTTGGATCGAAATCGAACAACCAAACAATAACTTATTTATTTGCTGTGTTTATCGTCCACCAAACTCGAGCAATGATTTTTGGGGAAAGTTTTCATGGTCCATTGAAAGAATAAGTGATATGTCAAACAATTTTATAATACTTGGGGATCTTAATGTAGATTTTCTTCAAATAAATCAAAATCATGAAATTTATAATATCATGAATATGACTGGGCTTTCAAACGTAATAAATGAACCTACGAGAGTAACACAATTTACAAAAACTCTGATAGACCCTATTCTTATTAGTCGTGAAAAATTCATATTTGATTCGGGTACATTAATGGTTGACACAAACATCAGTGACCACAAAGCTACGTACATATATGTTAAACAAAATTACTGCAACAATTCTTCATACAAACGTAAAGTATGGAGCTATAAAGAAGCAAATATAGAAGAACTCAATATTTTAATAAACAACTTTGATTGGGAAAACATTATTTCAAAATCAACTGATATGGAAACCGCAACAACAAACTTTACACAACAATTTATGCTAATTATACATAAATGTATACCCGAAAAAACTGTTACAATAAGACCAAACGACAAACCATGGATGGATTCATTACTAAGAACAAATTTACGACTTCGGAATAGATTAAGAAATAAAGCACAGAAAACCAAGAAAGAATCAGATAAAGAAGAATTTCGGAAAGCTAGAAATAAAGTAAATAATATGAAAAAATATGCCAGAGCAAACTACTATGACAACATTGATTCTCATTTAAACGACGCAAACAAAAATAATAACAAACTGTACTGGAAATTACTAAAAGATGTCTTTCACACTAAAACTTCATCCGAAATACCCCCTATTAAACAGGTGAATGAGAATGGTGATCCTATATACGCATTTTCCGATAAAGAGAAAATTGAATTACTAAATAACTTTTTTACATCCATCTCTGATATAAAAGATGAGGAATATGAGCTACCTAATTTTGAGTCCAAAAATGTAGAAAAACTTTGTGACGTAAATATTCAAGAAAGTGAGATTATTGATATCATTTCTATCCTGCCCGTAAATAAAGCTGTGGGCCCTGATTGTATCAGCCACAAAATGTTAAAATCTTGTAAAGAATCCATAGCTAAGCCACTTTGTCTGTTATTCAATAAATCTCTTAGACTCAAAGTTTATCCTGAAAGTTGGAAACTAGCACATGTCCTTCCATTATTTAAAAAAGATGACCCATCAGTCACTTCAAATTATAGACCTGTATCTCTTTTGAGTTGTGTAAGTAAAATATTTGAGAGAGTTGTATTCAAACATGTATATAATTTTTTTCACACAAATAATTTGTTCTATAAATATCAGGCAGGTTTTCTGCCTGGTCACTCAACTGTGTACCAACTTTTAGAAACTTATCATACTATTGTAAAAAGTATTGATGAAGGGCAATTTTGTTGTATGGTTTTTTGTGATTTATCAAAAGCTTTTGATAGGGTTTGGCATAGGGGTTTGATTTATAAATTAAAAATGTATGGTATCTCCGGTAATATGTTAGAATGGTTGGAAAGTTACTTGTACAATAGAAAACAGAAAGTTATGTATAAAAATTTATTTTCTTCTGTGAAAAATGTGCATGCTGGGGTACCTCAGGGCTCTGTCCTTGGCCCTCTTTTATTTTTGATATATGTGAATGATGTAGCTGAAAACATGATAACTGTTTGCAGACTATTTGCAGACGATAATTCTTTACAAAAAAGCTCGAGTGACGTTCGTCTCATTGAACATCATCTAAATCATGACTTAAAAATTCTGGATGAGTGGTCCAAAAAATGGTTAATGAAATTTAATCCAAGTAAAACAAAGGTATTATTCTTCAGCTTAAAAAATATAAACCAGTTACCTGAATTATTTTTTGAAGACTGTCAGTTAGAATATGTATCTCAACATAAACATCTTGGTGTTATTTTTTCAACTAAATTAGGTTGGTCAGATTATATTGATAGTATTGTCAGTAAAGGCTACCAAAAAACTAGGACTTCTCAAGAAACTTAAATTTTCAGTGTCTAGAGATACGTTATCCAAACTTTACACTTCTTTTATTCGACCACAACTTGAGTATGCATCTGAAGTTTGGTCAGGCTGTTCGCTGGCAGATATTGATAAACTTGAAAAGCTTCAACTGACAGCCGCTAGAATAGTGACTGGTCTTTCAGTATTAGCATCAAGAAATTCGTTGTATATTGAAACAGGTTGGGAACCTCTTGTAATAAGAAGAGACAAAGCAAAACTTTTAACAATGTTTAAAATCCACAATAACCTAGCTCCTGATTACTTAAAAAACATTGTACCGATGGTTAGAAACACTGTTTCAAATTACAATACTCGAAATTCATTTGATTATTCTTTACCTAAATGCAGGCTTGAATTATACAACAAATCATTTGTCCCCGATACTGTTCGCAAATGGAATTCACTAAGCAACGAAACAAGGGAAATAACCTCAATAGGAATTTTTAAAAGAAAATTGAGTAATAATAATGATAAGCCTCCCAAGTATTTTTCATATGGCAAAAGGTATCTGAACATTTTACATACAAAATTAAGACACAATTGTATTTTAAATAATGATCTGTATAGATGTAATATCATAAGTAATCCAAATTGTTCTTGTGGTATGAAAGAGGATAGTCATCATTTTTTCTTTGTTTGTAGAAAATATTTTGAACCTAGACGCCTAATGATGAATGCACTACTTTTAACTTATAATGTAAAAATGATTAATGTGCACAAATTGCTATGGGGAGATGATTCCTTATCTTCGCAGGAAAATGAAAAAAATTTCGGTATTGTTCAAAAATTTATTCAGGAATCAGGTCGTTTTAATTAATACTATATAAATTGTATTATCTCTATTGAAATTATTATATTTTTATAATATCAACACTGTATTTATTATCACCATTATTAATACCCGGTAATTGATATTATTTCCTCATTCAGAAAAAAATTATCTTTGTTTTTCTATGTATATGTATATATTATTGTAAAATTTTGTAAAGTATGTTGTATGGCTATGCAGATTTTATATATGGGAGAGGACTACCTAAGTTGTTAGAACTTGTGTCCGATCCCTTTGACATATTGTCAATAAAATATGTTCAAAACAACAAAATGACGTCCAGATGTGAATTCAGGGCATTAGCTCTTCATAAAACAATGGCGACGTCTCAGTCTTATGATTTTAGCATATTGGAATTCTTCACTCTTGAAACAATTCGATATAAAAATTTACCAATTGAATAATCAAAATTGTTTCGGAGGTGACTTGGCGTCTCCATGTGAGTGAATAAATTTTCGAAAGGGACGTTAAACAAACAAGTTACAACAAACAAGTAAACAAACCTGTCTTTGAAATTAAGGTACGTAATACATGGCAAGGCCCGCCTCATGAATAGATGAAAGGTCCACCTATTGAAAACATAGGAGCTAGTTGTTGTAAATATGCCTTCATATTCATCCTGATAAATATAATTCAATTGTACTTTCTTCATGCCTTTATTTAGTGGTTAAAATTCACGACTATGAAATTGTATATAGCATTTTTATCATTTGTAGATTCGGTTTGGTTCAATTAATTATTGTTAACATACTATTTCCAAATAGTTTTGAAATCATGATTCAGCTTCCTGAGACGTCCATTTGATTTCTCTTTAATTAGGCTCTTGAGTATTTTTTTTGTTTTCTCTGCTTTTAATCCCTTCGAGATTTGTTAAGACGACATTTAAACATTTCCCCATTGCTCCAAATTTAGACGTACTCAGCCTTTTTTTGCCATTAAACAGTGGGGGATCTTTTTTGATCAAGCATCTTCTGCGACACTGGACATAAGTTTTTATGGTCCCCTTTGAAGGACCGTTTTCAACGTTACTCATTGGGATTTGAACCTGCGATTTCAAATTAGCCACTTACTTCTTAACTTCAAAGCAAAATGCCCCAGAACCACTACAAATCTCATGGCCATCAAAAAGTACATTGATCGTCTATAAGCTCTAAAAGCTGATGGAAGGTTTGAAAAAATATACTCGTATGTCTGGTCTTTGCGTATTTGAGAATCTTGTCTCTTTTATTCAATTTATATAAATGTAATGGCGTAATAACGGTTGTGAATTAATCAATCATAAATTTTGCTTTTAAACGGCATATGCACGATACTTAGCAATTTGTTCACAAATCGCTTTCTTTTGTACTTTTCTTAATTATAAAGGTAATTTTCCATTAAATTTTAGAATGTATTTTTGAAGCTGCTGTCAGAAAATAAAATTGTTTACCTACCTACCGACCCAACTTCAGAATTTAGGGTCGGGTTAGGGGAAACAAAGATATTTTTAATTCCGGCCTCACGATTCCCATATTCCTAACAACTTTCAGTCAGAAGTTCGTTTGTTGTAAAGATCCAGCAATTGTCACATGATATATATATATATATATATATATATATATATATATATATATATATATATATATATATATATATATATATATATATATATATATATATATATATATATATATATATATATTAAGTATCCACATCTGATTTCCTTCACTTTCAGATTGATTGGGAGGCCCGGGTTCGATTCTCGATCTATCACGTAAAAATAGCTAGTGACTGTTCTTTTGCCAAGCGCTCGGCATCAGAAGTGAAAGTCACGGGTCTTTCGGATATGACCTTAAAAACGTAGGTCCCGTGTCACTGTAGGCGCTGGCACGATAAAGAACCCTCACTGCTCAAATGGCCCTGAGTATAGGTCTAAATTTGAAATCCTTCACCGGCATACGGTGACTTCTCCATATGAGTGAAAAATTCTCTAGAGGGACGTTAAACAATATACAATCAATCAATCAATCACTTTCAGATTCTGTTGTACAGTACTCCAGAAGTTTCTCTCAGGCAGTTTTCTGTATTATAACTTTAATATTTTTCAATGATACACAACAAAAATGGCACTTTGCTTGGGTATTCAGAATAAAATTTAAAATTTTTAAAAGTGCAAGGATGTACATCAATCATATCCGTCCAGAAATTCAAAGTTTCAATAACTTCGAGATGAAAAAGATATTTATTATATTTTCATGTGAATTGCTATTGCAATATATGTCATAATATTACTAGCATACGGAAAATTTGAGACAATATTAACTTCAAATTTGTGTCTATGCACCTTTAAAGATTAACTTTAATTACACATATACGAAATGTTTTTATGAAATTCTAACGCTTACTTCTTTTACGTATACGGTTGTAAAATTTCAGGTTACCACAACGACCCTGAACCCTGTACATCAGATAATACCTCTGTGATTGTAATCAATCAAGAAGTCTCCTGTGTTTTCCCACATCTAATATCCAATAAGTCCAATGTTTGGATTCGACCCCAGCTCCCGGATGGACGACCACTTGTACTATCGGATGAATGTACCTGCGACCTTTCATGTCCCATGCTTCTAAACGGTTAGTTTAATTTTAGATTGTAACACAAATGATACAATTATTCTTTTTAAACAATTTAACCTTATTTAATTTGATTTCAAGACACACTACCAATGGATGGAACAGAGAGGACAAGCGTGTTCTCCTGTTTTGGACCCTGGAGCTTGATGGTCAGGAGATGTGACGGGTTTTTCGTTTTCTACTTGGATTCTACGACAAATTTGTATTCGTGGTTGGGTGAATCGACATGTCTTGGTAAAATGTTAATGAATCATTTTTCTCTACTCATAGACTTCGGAAATCAAAATCATACGTACGTGATTGAAATTTGAAATAGTTTTCCTTTATTCTTGTTATTAAAAAGCATCCAATTATTTTGTGAATGCACTCAATGTTCTACTACACAGTATCTGAATAATGTATATCCATCATAAATAATGGAAGACATCAACATCCAGAAAAAATACTATAAATTCATTTTTGGGCAAATTCAATACATATACTTTCATATGTTTTATACTACGAGGGGTGATCAAAAAGTTCGCGAACTATCTCTATATCTACAAAACCACAATTCAGATTAGAATGAAATTCGGTACACACATAGCCATACACAAGGTCTATAAATAGCATATGCTGAATAAGATTTTTCTCCTTTTTGTGACGTCACAATGTAAAAAATTGTGTAGGTCACTTGTGACGAAAAATGGTTGTCAAAATCGTTCAACAAACGACTGTACAATTTATTGTATATCTTAGAAATCTCTCTGCAGTATCATATAATAATTTGTACACAGTTTATTTAGATAAATGAGTTCCTATAAATTCAATTATTGATTGGATTGATCGTTTTAGTGAAGGAATGCAGATGGTTAAAAATGATACTTGTCATCTTGCCCAGTGAAAGCAAGTTTGAATAGATATGTGTTTTTGATTAAGCAATTTGCTATCAAAGACCTCCGATTTACACTTTGAAAATTAGTTGAATATTTGAACAATAATATAATTATAAAATACCTAAGATATCGTTTACTTTAGATTTTAAACATATTAGATATGATAAAAAGGAGGCGCCTATTCTCAATCCACATTGAATAAAGGTCTCTGCCGAGACAGAAGATTTGTGTTTTAATGGTCGCCATGCTTATTTTTGGAAAGGATAAATTATTCTTATCCAACCATTCTGTTGCCGAGATTTGACCATTTCTGACAAACGAATTGTTCTTGTCATAAAAATTAACTCACATGGAAAGAAATATAAATGTCAGAAAAATCTTTCAAATTTTGTGACAGAACGCTACGGAGGAGGTCACGTGACCGCCAATGTCACATGATTCGCGCATGCGCAGAACGGTGGTTCATGTGCATTAAAATCGGAGAGGTTTAATTTAAAATATAATCAACATTGATACCAAATATTGTTTCTTTTATGGAAGTTATTCAATTAGTTCGCGAACTTTTTGATCACCCCTCGTATTTTAATAAAATGTATAAAAACTGGAGGATACAAAAATATGGAAACATGTCTTCATAATTATATGCATGCTTTATCAATTACATGTATAAACCTTTTGTGGCATACAATAAACATGTATTACCAATAGTTGTAAAATTTACAATATAGCAGTAATTTCATGACCACTTGTCACAATTAAAATGAAAACAAAATCTTTTCATCATTGCATTTCTACATAAGAGAAATATACGTAGTAGTTTCGTATTTATATCTACAGCTCCGTATCGAGGATCATGCAAGAAATCAGGAAACCCTGATACCACAGGTGGGTACTAGGTCATTGTTTCTAGTATGTTATTGTTTGCTAATTATATACATGTAAATTGTATTGTAAAACAAATTGCTTCGACAAATAATTCTGAATAATAAACTAGAGTATGCATATTTATATTTAACAAAAATGAAGATACACCAAATGTATGTCCCGAGGTGGGGAGTTTTCACGAGGAGACAGAGGATAAAACAGGAATGGAGGCGGTATTTAAGTGTCAATTCAATCCAATTCCTGGAGAAATTGTGTACGACGTACAATGGTATATTGACGGTAAACTCCTCGATAACGCCAAATTCACAGCGATCAGTTACAGCAATATCAACGATACAGCATTACGAACAAGGCACTGGATGAACAACTTTACTATGAGTTTTCAGGTACAAATATTATTGCATGCAGGTAGCTTGTTTCTGTGTTGTCAAGTGTCATCATTATATAATTTTGATGAAGAATGGGAGCGAAATTGCCAATGGATGGCTTAAATCGTTATTTATTTGTAGTTATCCTGCGCTGTAAAAGCTAGGAATATGTCAGCTGGGGTAGAGGGAGATTTTACTGAAAGTTACCCATATTTTGCGGGCATTAAGGTATAGAAGCAATTAAATATTAAGTTTTTACTGTAATAATTTACTAGAAACGAAATATTTTGCTAGCATGTTGATAAAAATAATTGATTTACACAAAAATATACTATTTAACAGTCAAGTCAGCTCCAGTATACTGTGTTTGAGGGGGAGACAATTCAAATAATTCTGGAGGCTACAGTTCCCTTCAGTTGTCCATCTTCTCTGAGTGACGCCATGAAAGCCTCCTTCTGTAAGTTCCAATTCTATATCTTGACCCCGGGGGAGGGGCAGTGTGTGAACGGTCTTTCTAACAATGGAGTAGCCTTCAAGGATAATCCTTGTGGAGTAACCTTTGGATATAAAGACAAAACGACATCTATCAGCGTCACTGGTTATATTGACGGAATGGTCAATTTTAGAGAGAGGAAATCCACCTTGAAAATTAGTTCCACAAGAAATCCAGTGGACTCCACTGGAATATGGAACGGAATAAAGATTCCGGACATCACAGTACGATTAGTTTATCTTGTCTTCTGTATCTTTACTATTTCAGAATAACCATTTCCAATGTCGCAGCTTCACTTTGACTGCCAGCTATTTTGAATTTTTATTTTTCAGTATTATTTTAAATACAGTATGTATTCTAAACATTTTACCTCAATTTAAATTTCCTTGATAAGGATCAAGTAAAAATATTTTTCTTTTGTTAATTGTCTTTTGGCAGCCACGGTGTAGGTTAGCGAAATACACCTCGATCATTAATTAGGTATTATGAAGAATAGTTTGGTTTAAAAGAAATTCAAATTTTACGTTATATTCTATAGGTTATTGTGAAGGACAAAGACTCCTTGGTATCGGGTAAGTTCTGTGCTTCCTATACAGATCCTCATCAAAGAACATTCGGCGGGAGGTACTTCTCCAACCAACGGGCTGGGGAGTTCTTATTGTATAGACACAAAACGTTGCCGTATACGGTATGTCAAATTAATAAATATTTTAAAATATATCAACTAAAGAATGACCACCAATCATTTCGCATTAAGAGATTGATGATTCTTTAATTAAATATCGCAAAACCATAATTTTTTCAGGTGCATGTTTTGTTTTCTACATGTGTTTGGGGACGCGCCACGTGTAATTGTGGTGTCGCTATAAGAAATGGCGGGAGCCTCTTTTCGGTTCGCACATGCGCAGAGATCTCTACAACATGGACAAAGACTTTAGCAATACCAGAGGAAAAAACTGAATTATGTAATGATAACGATCTACGCATTGAAAAAATTTGGCGCTATTACACGGTAAGAAAAATTTTTAGAACGACGCTATTTTGTCCAAACAAAACATACAGAAATTACAGTGTATATCATGTGAAACTTTGAGCTTTATTCTTTTTTTACTAATTGTATAGTTTGAGAAAATGAGTAGTTTTTAACGATTCAGTTCTTTTCCCAATAGGTTACTTTTCCGAGCGGTACGGAAGTGTCTTTTTCGATTTCCTGGTGGGGAAACTGGGTTGGTAGTATTCGAATCAGGGCCTCAGTTTCAGACATCGGGGAAACGGAGGGCTTGTGTGGACCTGCCAACTATAATAACACCGACGACTTTATTCCTAGAAATGGACAGAGTGCTACAGATATAAATAGTTTTGCAGAATCATGGAGGTATGACTTAAAAAATTGAATAGTAAATCTTTATCACTCTTTTTTTTAAGTAGTCTATGCACGTCGACCCGTCAACATGAAATATATAGCTATATTCCACATGAGAATTAGTCTCATAATTCATTGTATAGAATACCATGGAACTCTGCTGAAGAAAGTCTATTTGTGAAGAACCCCAAACTTTTATCAGAGTCCTTTTCGTAAGTAAACGTCTATTCTTATACAGTACTAAATATGTCTATCCTTTCCTGACAAATATTAGGCGTATACTAGTATTTCTGTTTTGAATTTTGCAATTCATTTTATAAAGCTGTATACAGTTGTAATTCTACATGTATCACAGGTATTCTTCAAAGAGCACCACAGACAAAGAGAATTATTGCACGTGTTCATCTGATGAGCCCCTGGATTCTTACAATCCAGACTTTGAGTCTCGGAATCAGGCCCACTGTAACCAGACGACACCAAGCTCTGTGTGTGGAGGTCAGGTTTCCATGGTGATTGACACCTCTTCCTGTGGTACTTCCTCACGTCGACGAAAACGCTCAGTTGAATCAGATGATGTCGGGGACTCTACTGTGCTTACTTATGCCACCGACTACGATGAAACAGCTGTCTTTAATGTGAATATGATACATTTTTTATCTTACCTTCTTTTTTGAATGTCGATTTTTAATATGTTCCATATTTAGACATCTGATTGACTGTTTTTCAGTACATACATGTACCTCAATAAATTGTCTTCTTTGGGGAATCAATTCATACCATTAGTCGGACATATATGATTGCGCCCATGACAAAAGGGTCCTTATGGCATTTTTGCTAAAACAGAGAAATAACGTCATAAAGATGTGACGTTGCAGACTGACGTTGAACTTCGACGCAGATTTTTTTTTTGTCCACGTGTTTTGACGTTTGACGCATCCAGAGTTTTTATCGCTGTTTCCAACATCTGGAATTTATTTTCATTTATAAATTAATTTAATCAATATCTGAATCTCCTAATCCACTGATTTTAATAGATATTTATAAAAACATTTAGAACTGGTTTCTTAAAGCTATATATGCCGTATTAGTGTTTTATTTTAAAAGTAATAAATATATGTGGTGTCTCATCAAGTTATATAAGTTATATACTTTCTGCAAATAAGACAATTCCACTCCATCACTTTTAAAAGTTATGAAATATTATTTGGTAAAAAATATTTTCTCTCCGTGTCGGATAAAAAACCGCCTCTTATTGAAATATTCATGATCACGTTGTCTCGCATGTTTACAGCAAACAATGGTCCAATCTCGTGAATGAACCGAAAAGCATGATGGTCTACTACGTTTTTACTACAAACATGTGAGATAGGGATTGTCAATATTGAAAGCACCTCAGAGTTGGTTGCTTTTTGTACCGAGGAATAATCACGTGCAGTTGTATTTTCAATGGACATTTTCGGTTGGGTGAACTTCTACAGATGTCAGCGACTATGGATAGATAAAGAAGTGTGGAAACCATGTTGCGCCAAAATGAAATAACTAATACAAACAAATGATATACTAGTAATTTGATCAATCAAAATGGTTATTAGATACATTCGATTTTGCATTTCTTAATTGTTCAAAACAACAAAAAGTATTCCACAGAATATCATGTATAAATCTGCACGTCAATATACCGAATGCCAAAACCAGATTACTACTAAATAATATAATTATATTCTTTACATATGAACCACAGTATTTCTGACCCCTTGAAAATAATATAAAAAATCTTGCAAGTAGGTTATCAGCATTGGCTCGGGCTAATTCGAAAGTGAAATTTGGAGTTTGGCAGTATGGCAGTATACGTAAATTGTAGTGAATAAATAAAATTTAGTAGTGAAAGATATTTGAAACTATTTTACTTGTCAGATTTTTTCGAGCTAGTTGATTTTTATTCTAACTGACGATGCTACGTACCTGAATTAATTTTTCTTAATGGTGTTCATCGAAATGCTTGGTTGTGCCCTCAAACTGAATAGTGTTTCAGAGGCGTAGTCACAAACTTAAAAGTGGGGGGGGGGGGGGGGGCTCAAGTCCAGATATCCTTTGACAAGCAAAAAAAAAAATTAAAGTTTCCCAAACTCGAAAATCCTATTTTGTGGGGGGGGGGGGGGTAGAGGGGTAGTGGCCAAATTTTTTTCAAAGGCAACAATGTATTAATATTATTTCAAAATAGCTGTGCTTTTGTTCTTCATTAAAAAGTGGGGGGGGGGGGAGGGCAGACATACTTTTGTCTTGCCCCCCCCCAGGGCTGAAAGTGGGGGGGGGGGGGCGCCCCCCCCCCCCCCCCCCTGTGACTACGCCTATGTGTTTAGAGGCCTGGAATTCCTTCACCAATTTTATTTAATTAGCCCAACTATATTTCTAAGATGGCAAGATGTTTTGTATGTAAGTTTCATCTATATATGTTATGTAGTTCATATTAAAAAACCAAAAGGGATAATTGAAGATATCCCATTCAGGGTGTAAACATAGCAGTTTAAATTACTTTCCATACATTGTACTTCACATAAATTATTTTTGCGCATAATGCGCTCCATACTGAAGATCCGTAAATGCTCACCCAACCGAAAATGTCCACTAGCAGTACAGCACGGGGAAACTCTAAACAAACGGACCTGTACAATGGAGTGGGGAAAACTTTAATTTCATCATTGTTAATCATTTGTAAGCAAATATGAGCATGGGATTAGTAGATAATAATGTACATAATGCATCAAGTCTTTAAAAACTAGCCTTTTTGAAAAACACATGTATTTTATGTAGTAACCCATAAATGTATTAAATGCAACTCATTGAGCTGATTGGTCTATTTGTGTCCCTCAATGAACAGACGTCACAAAAAATATTTTCCTCGACCTGATGATTCTCGCGATACTTTTCCCGCGCACATGCGCAGATCCAGGATAAACGTCAGTCCTTTATTAATATGCATGAGAATATCGTGTTCTTTTCCTGACCAGTACTTTGTTAATACTGAATAAAATTTCGTCGAATTTGCAAGAATGCTTCATTTTTGGTAGCTTATCATACTCCAGAAATTTTTGTTCGGTTTCAACTGTGCAAAAATACTGTTTAACACGGCATACATATCTTTAACAAACATTATTAAATACGTCTCTATAATACAAATAGTTTTTCCTACATGCGTAATTATAAATGTATAGAAGCTGTAGACAAGGTGTTTTCTGATAGCATATTGGACCTTTATACTCTATATAAATTTTATTTACATATCTATACCATTTTTAGAATACATCTTAGACAAGGTATATCGTGAAAAATTTTGCAGAGGAAAATTGTCTTCCTACTTCTTTGAGATCCGCTCCACCACTCTCAAATATACATCGCGATCGCGTTGATCACATATAAACATTGATTCATCGGTGCACGCTACTTAAACTGTTGTTAAATTCTTTGTACAAATGTTGAAACTAAACATACATCTTCCACGTTTTTTACAAATCTAGCAAGAATGTGTAAGAACTGAACAATAGTCAAGATTATTTGTATTTTCTATAAAAAAAAAAATAGGAGAGATAACTCTGATGTCAACAATCGATGTAACAGGGGTACCAGACAGGGACATTCATTATTTTAATTGCGTACTTTTTCACATTTCAGCTGCATGTTCGCATGAATTTTCTCCCGGATTATAAAAGAGATATTTTATGACCAATTAAAACAAATTTTTAATCGTCATCATAATTATGAATTTTTAAATAAAAAAAAAATATTGTTGTACTTTGGGAATAAGGATAATGTAGAAAAAGGAAAAACAAAGAAAAAAAAAAAAAACTGCAAAATTGAACAGACTTTTTTTTTCAAATTTCTTATCTATAGCTCTTTTTTTTTTAGCATGAAATAATTTCATGACGAATTTCATTTTAAAAAAAATAATAAACATGTAAAGCATCTTAACCTTATAATAATGATTAAATAAAAAATGTTGTTTTGTCTTATATTCTTGTTGCACAAAGACACTTCAATTTAGAGAAATTAAAACAAGCAAAAAACATCCAAATGAAAAAAAAAATGTTCTTAATATTTTAACTTTAATAGAGCTGGTCACGTAAATCTGATGAGAGAGAGAGAGGATGTAGGGTAGATAAAAATATTTATATTGAATCTCTTTATCTATATTGAGAAATGTGAAACTCTATTGAAAAAGATGAGTTTTCAAAACAAATGAAATAATAAATGAAAGAAAATATCATTTTTGTTCTCTAAACTATATATACATGTATGCTATATATTTTCAAGAAGTTTAATATACATGTAACTCTTTGGTACTTACGTGGTTTTTTTTTTCATACGGAGTTCAAATGTTTTAAGCATTATCTGCAAATTAATTCGTTGAGCCATGACGAACTTTGTCTTTCATAAAAGCCCGATCAGCACTGAATGTCTCTTAACAGATCAATTATCATGCTAAAAATTCAATCATCACTGAACTTATAATCTCATTGCAGTTAATAATTGTCAGTGTGGTATAATATATTGTTTAATCTGCCATCAAATTATGGATAAATATTATTAAATATGCTCAAACATGATTTTATTTGTTTTGGTTGATAAAAAAATCCTTATAAGTTCAGGGTCGGGTTTTATTTCTTCATGTAAATGCTAACAGAAAATAAAATTCAATGCTGAAAATACATGACATAAAACCGCAACAATATGCTTACATTTTGTTTTATTTTGGCGGCAGTGCAGGGGATGGGGGTGGGGGTGTCCTTATATATTTCCGTAACATGTAAGCTTTACAAGGCTTAGCATATCCAAGCGTCTGGCACCAGGCACGTAGCATCGTTTTTGAAAGTGGGGGGGGGCAGCCAGAGAATTTTTTTTTACTTCCCTGAAAAAGTTGAAAAGCAAAAAAAAAAGGTTAATGTTGCACAAAGTCGAAAATCATATTTCTTGGGGGGGGGGGGGGGGGGGGGGGGGGTAGGGGCCAAATTTACATCGCTTGAATGTCTTCCAACAGCTAGTGGTTAAAAACGCCCAGAATCTACCTACAAAAACAAGGTCTGACATTTGTGAAAGCCTTTTTGAAGTTCTTCCAATACAAGCCGAGATTGATGCAAGGAAGCTTCTATTTTTTGGTCGTCTGTGTCGCCTGGAATACAAAACTCTGTCGAAGAAAATCTTCTTAACTAGACTGTTTTCTTACTTGGCAGGGATCGCTCATAAACAGCTAGGTTTTATTCCGGATATTCTGATTCTTTTGTGTACTTACGACCTTTGCCAGTATGTGAGTGAGTGGCTTACCGGTGCCTCATTTCCTTCAAAGCCTGCCTGGAAACAAATTGTAAGATCTGCTACTTTTCGATATAATAAGCTCCGGAGAGACACACGTGTTTCAGATGATCCTGGATTCGTCCGTTTCCGGAAAATATTTCAGGATGGAAATCCTGCTTTATTCTGGCGACTACCCCAAAACTGTTATGAGATTTCGTTGTGCAAATTCATCTGCAAATTAGTCTCCGAATCTCCTCGAGAAACTACAGAAATTTGTCCCCTTTGTGGATCTCTGTACGTTGATCTATTTAACCATGCGTCTTGTACGTGTCGTATCACATATGATATACGCAATCAGTGGTGGGAGGATGTAATTAACTACTTTGACATTAACCTGTGTGTTGAAATGTGTGCCCTTACTGATGATGAACTGTACATGATTCTTCTAGGAAGTAAGCCGAACACCATTCTATCCGCCTCCAACCTCCGAAACTTCCAGTTACGAAACTTTCGCTGCGTTGTCGATGCGTGTGCCTTTTATAAGCGCAATCTTTCCGCACTGCAAATCTGCCAATGAGGGATGCTTCCAGCTCCTTTATTTCTTATTCTCAAAGTTCATTTATAGATTTTTTTTTTCACGCGAGGACATATATATATATATACATGTGTATGAAGTAGTGATCCCAAATGATTTTGTGTAAATATATATATATATATATATATATATATATATATATATATATATATATATATATATATATATATATATATATATATATATATATATTTTTTTTTTTTTTTTTTTTTTCTTTTTTTTTCTATATATATTTATATGTGGTGTTTGCATGCAATTCATTGTTTATCTCATATGTGATATCATTTTTTGTGTGTTTGTTCAATTTTCATTAATCACTGTAATAGTGGAAATAAAGAATGAATGAATGAATGTACATCACTAATAGTGGGGGGGGGGCAACCAGACTTTCAATTATCATTTCCTATAGTATAAGTAAGGTTGGGGAAAAAAGTGAAGGACCAGGCCCCCCTGCCCCCCTGTTGCTACGTCCCTGGGCACGGGACCAGAATGGAATTCATACTCTTTAAAACTCACTTTATAGAATAAAATTAGAAAACAACATTAGAATGAAGGGGATTTTTTTTAAATATGATGATTTTCTAAGATGTTTACATCCCTACAAAAATCTGATAATTTCAAAGCTCAGCCAGTTCACAGTCAATTGTCAGGAAATATATTATACAAAACAGTCATATTCAACTGATTGTATATTTAGGCATAAACAATTACATGTTATTAATCTTTAACCCAACCCTATCCCAACAGAAGCTATACATATAAACCGTAAATGGCATCTTTGATTTAATTGTATGGGTGTGCTTCTAAAACCATCCATTTCATAAAATAAAACCAGATTTTTTTAATTTTAGGGTATCATTATATACATGATTAACAATACTGAATTCATAGCAATTCAGTTCCAGGCTCATAGTGTTTATGATCGCTGTGCGATTTTGAAAATGGCAATGCTCAGAATTAAAGGTACAAATATAAAATGAAGAATAATAGGCAGCATTATTTCAAACCTAAATAAAAAAGTGAATCTGCAAGTTGTAGGGTTAATGGTACTGGGTGCACCTAAAACTTTTGAAGTAAAATTTTTTTTTTAATTTATTTTAACTCGTGTTCACAAGAATTGTAAGTTTCTGCCATTTAGATTTTTAACCCCCCCCCCTCCCTCACCAACATACACATAATCCTACAAATGTTAATCCTGGGTCTATCTATTGTGTAAATGATTGCGGATTATAACTCATTCATTTGTTTGTAAAATTTCCACCTTTTGATTGGTTAATATTAATATATTTTTACTGCTAGACTGAAAAATATTTCGTGTATCCTTTATATTTTCAAAAAAGCAGTGTCATTATTGACCCAATGCAGACAGACAACCTTATAGATGCAGTGAATCAACCGAATTTCCTTTTTATTTACTGTCTATTGTGTATCGTAATTACGTGTTACATGTACCACACTTCACAATTTTTCTGTCTTTATATAAAATTTAGAAAGAAAGAACAATCAAATAAATTTTCACTTCGCAGTAGCATTTAGGTAGCGTAATGTTGGAATTTTTTTAAAAAAAATCAATTTTCACATATATGGTAACTAAAGATATATCGTTTATGCTGAAATCTTGACCTTTAGAGAGCAATGTTTAAAATAAAATAATTTTCAAATGAATTCTACAGGCTTATCAAATGACTCTTGCATGGATTAATAGTAAATATTTTGTTTGAGAAAATAAGTGTTTCAAAAAAAACAATGAACGGATGTTGCCCGCTGTTCAGGTCTCCCCCTGGTGTCATAGAAAAGTGAAATGTAAAACAAACACTCACTCATAATACTATACACCACTGATGAATCCATAATATACATAGCTAATTAAATAATTAAAAGAGACAATGAGATAAAAATAATGTACATGGAAAAATATTAAATATTATACAACTATTAATGGACGTAGTAAAATTACAGAAGAAAATCATTTAACGTTCACTCTGAAAACGTTTGACGTTGTTGAAAAACATGACGTCATTATTAACCTGTTAAAGTATATTTGATAAAAATGAAGAAAAAACCTACTTAGAGTAGACGTAGGACCATAAAAATTCATATTTGACAACTTCTGACCTTACTCTATCAGAATCCGTGAAAAACTCAAAATGCATAAAAATTGCCATAAGGACCCTTTTCACATGGGCGCAATAATATTTTCTTGAACAGTGTTTCATACTGATGGTAACGCCATTATATACACACTGATCCCGATTATGACAAGGTGCCCACGGAGGGTTTGTTCGGTCTGCAGAGGATGCTCACTCCTTCATCGCACCTGATCCCACCTCCGATGTTTTTTCCTTGGAGGCCCGTGTTTGCTCGCTGCGATATCATATTGTTTAATGGACTTTTGAGCTTGAAGATACTGATTGTTATTTTCCACATATGTATTTAACAGGTAAGTGATTGGATCAACGAATGGAACGCCACTTCAGCCAGAAAATATTGCAATGATGCATTCTCCTTTGACCCTGCTGTGGAAACCTGTAATGCACTTGTCAACATCTCTTCAGAGTCCTATATAGACAGCTGTGTAGAGGATATCAAGGTATTGTATACATGTACTAGTAATTTCATGTTCGGCATATTTTTATATAAGTTTTAAAGAATTACTGTTCAGGCAGTATGTCATACACGTTAATATATTCCAGAATCCTCAATAATTGTATTTTTTTTTCAAGATGTATTGAGTAAGTTGGGTTATCTATAGTAAAATAGAAAAAAAAGCTTGTAATGATTTCAGATGTCTGGTAATACTACGTGGGTAGAGGATACGCTGGACACACTGAAAGGGGCGTGTCTTACAGAGGCAAAAAAACAGGAAGTGTTTTATACTAACACCACCTCTAACTCCTCCTCTGAGCTGTCAATCATCCAACTGATCACAGCCCAACTTTGTCCCTCCAACTGCTCTGGAAATGGAGAATGCAAAGATGGTAAATTAAGCATACTTTTTAACGCAAATCAATTTCTTTAAAAATCTACATAGTAAATTGGCAAATATAACGTAATTGATAAATTAGCATTCTGCATAATTGCAATGCAAAGTAATAAATCACGTTCATGACTAAATTGTAATTCGTTACTTGCAGATGCATTCACATTGTATAGATATTTTTTTTTTCTATTTGAGTCATGTCATTTTTATTTTAAATAGCTGTGTGTGTCTGCCAGAACGGGTTTATTGGAAGTGACTGTTCTGTCCGTGTGTCAGTGCCACCGACTGACTTTTCTTTGCCATCCAATGGAATTTGTGATACAAGACAACGATCATGTCGAAAAACAAACATTGCTGGCAAATTCTACTCTGAAAATGTCCTCGCAAAATTGCTTTATTTTGAGGTAGAGAATATTTAATTTAAATTTAACAAACGTAAAATATATCATAGTTACGTTTTTCCTAATTCAATGGTCAATAAAACTAAACTTGATCTAAAATATATATGTATATGTTTCTAGATAGGAGAAATGGAGCCCTCGGATTTTAAGTCTGTGACCACAAATGCCACGTTCCGTCACTTTAACCTGATCACTGTGACGTTGCCTTCCATTTCCGAGTCTTCCCGACGTCGACGTCGCTCAGTGACGGACGATGTACACGGATGGAATATCTCGCTTAGTTATGACGGCATAACGTTCAGTGATCACGTGACTCTATTGATGTATGACAGTCAAAGATATTCGTGTGACATGCAGACTCTAACGTGCCAAAAGATGGTATGCGATAGAAAGTGTCTTTGTAAAGCAAGCAAGGATGAAAAAAATTTCGATATATTTATAGATATTAAAAGTATATATTTTTAAAAGTACTTAGAAGATTAATTATGTAGTTGAGTGTACGATATATTTCAGATAAGCGAGGCTGGATCCTCCTCCAGATCAGGTATGTTAGAATTTATCATGACATTCGTAGTTCTGGTACATAGCTAAATTGAACTTCTTTTTTTCCAACTCAAATAATTTTAAGTAAACTTATGTTAAGGGTTCAATTTCATTTTCCCAATATGAAGAATTGTAATTCATTTATGTCCTTTTCGGCGGGGATATGCTCTTACCGACATACACACGACGATAAAAAGTTTATAGATTAATCACTTCAAAGTATCTCATTATTTAAAGAAAAAGCATGAAGGATTACCGTAATGCCATACCACATACTTTACTCTATTTTAGGTCCTGCTGTCAATATCCCAGCTATCGCTGCAACAGGTGTTGCTATTGTAGCAGTTGCTATAACTATTATTGTCATTGTTCTCATCAAAAAGAAAAGGTTAGTCGTCATGTTATTTTTTCTGGACAATTACAACGAAGCATGAATAAGAACAAATGAGACACGCTTTCTTTGATTGTATATTGTTATGATGTTAGGATATTATGATTAAGAATTCAAAAAAGCTTGCAATTTAGATGTGATTCCATTTATAAATTTCTTCAACTGTGCAGAAGATTTCTTTGGAAATATGTATACTTATTAATTGTTTGTGTATCTTCTGTCCACCTGTTTATTTTTCTCTTTTCCAGAATTCCAGTAGGTCGCTCCCAGTCTGTGATAGGTATACAGAAGGACGAAGGACAGAATACGGTACCAGGAAAGGAATCTTTGTGGGTAGGGGGTACAGACTACGTTCAGCCCATACCGTCCCTGCCCCCAGCTTCCTGTGCTTACCAGCAGAAACGACAACCCACTGATATTTCTCTGCATTTTGAAGAAAAGAATTAGTTTTTTTTCTATTACAAAAAGGACGTTCAATTTGACAAGTCCGGAATTTGAGAGTGTTTTGTATCGTTCTGAATATATTATACATGTATACGACTTAGTGACCAAACACTATATGACTCATAACTGTGGTAAATGAATTTTGATATTTTCTTTTGGGGAAGATCCGAAGAATTCAGATCTCTCCTAAGATACAGACTTAAATTTCTCAGCTTTCATGCATTTAAATGTAAATGTATATGTGTCATTTATCATATTAAAAATTCTATCACAATTATTATTAACAGTAACCGCAGTTGTTGATTTATGATACAGTATAATCAATAGATGTAAATTGATCCACTGATGTATAATCCTTGCATTACAGTGTATATTATACGTGGATATTTCTGGTATATGGAAGATTGATCCTTCACAGATGGCAGCATCGGTGAATGCATTTTACGTTTGTTGTTATTCACAACATTATTGTTTCAAGTCAATTTTTTTGTGATAAGTTATCATGCTGTAATAAAAAGATGTTTTATTGATTGAATTTTACAGAATTTGCCTTTGTTGTGCTTGGGCCGCTACTTGTTGATTTATTATCTTTTGCATGGCAGTATCTACATTAATATCTATAATTTTAAGGACATCTTACAAGATTAAATTGGTTTTCTTAAAAAAAAACATTTTTAATGCGCAAGAAAAAAACCCGTCATGTTTCTGTGTACTCCGTAATCGATTCAGAGAGAGGGTTCTATGGATACAGAAAACCGCAGTGTAATGTGGTAATCCGGTAAGTCGGATCAAACCGTCGCGTGGTTGTACATGTACCAAATCTCAAAAGTGATACACACTTGGATAGATAATAGATATGTAATTGATTAGGTACATGAATGGAATGTTATACTCAAAGTGGGATCAAGGATATCCGTATATATTGCACCAACTCATGATTTTGCTGAAACATAAATTTTGTGAGCATAACTAGGGCTTATTTGGTAAGAAGTCTAAATTTTTCTAATACATTTTCATAAAAATCATAAAGAAAACAAAGTTTTATTTTTTAAATTACAAATTTCCTGAATTTCTAACATGGTTATTCAGGACATGCTCTTATACTTATTTAGGCATAGTATATCCAGACGATAAACCGACAATGGAAACCAAAGACAAACTAACAGTTCTAATTTGTGGAGGAGGAAATGGTGCTCACTGCTTGGCGGGATTGTCAGCTAGTCAACCAGAGCATGAAACACGTGTCCTTAGTTTACACGCAGGCATGGCAGAGCGATGGAAAAAAAGACTCCAATCTCACGATTTGACGGTCTCCATTACAAAAAATGACGGGAGTTCTGTTGAGGTGAAGTCCAAACCTACTCTGATAACGAAAGATCTAAAGGCAGCCGTCACCAGTGCTGACGTCATATTCTTGATTGTCCCTGCTTTTGCGCATAAACAATATTTTAAAGAGATTTTGCCTTTTATTGCTGACAACACATTGATTGTTGGACTTCCGGGCCAAGCTGGATTTGAATTTCAGTGTTTGCATATGCTTGGTGAGAAAGCTAAAACCTGCACCATTATGTCTACAGATGGACTCCCGTGGGCATGTAGAATCCTGGAATTTGGTCGCCTTGTACACATTCTGGGCGTTAAGGAGACACTGAGACTTTCAATAGTACAGGGAAGTCAGTCAGAGTTGAAGAGATCGCCCATTGAAATCGTTCAAAAAGTGATTGGTCCCAAGCCAGTCTTGAGAAAAATTCAAAACTACATTGCTCTTAATCTTATTGCAAAGTCTGTCGTTCACCCGCCACTGATGTACGGGAAATGGTCAACATTTGATGGAACCCCTCTGAATGAAGCCGCTGTTTTACCAGGGAGTAGATAAAAAGCAAGCCAAATTGCTATCTGATGTAAGCGACGAATGTATCGTCATCGGAAGAGCAATAGAGAAACAGATCCCTGGACTGGGCATGTCGGATGTTATCCATATTTTTGACTCCTTAATCACCTGCTACGCTAACCAGATTACTGACAAGACAAACCTAATGACATTTATGCAGACGAACAAGGTGTACAACGGTTTGCTTCAGCCTATGAAGGACGTGGGAGAGGGTCAGTTTGTACCAGACTTTACCCAAAGGTACACTGCGGAGGACATTCCCTTCGGTCTGGTCGTTATGAAAGGGATCGGCCAGCTGGCAGGAGTGTCTACTCCAGTGATGGATAAAATCATCACGTGGGCACAGGAAAAACTTAACCAGCAATATCTCATCGGGTCCGAATTAACGGGGAAAGATGTGTCGAAGACAAGAGCCCCGCAAAGATTTGGATTTACAAGCTTGTGTTTCAGTTTTAGATTGCTGATATGTTTTTGCAAACAACAATATTATTTACTCTGACTTATACAGCTATAATCATTCCTTCTCAGTTAAGAATCTCTAATCAGACAAAAGTCTGTAAAATTGATAGAATTAGAATATTCATAAAAAAAATTACATGTACTTATTGAGGAAAATCATACCCAGTATAAAATAATTATTTTTCGTCTGCCGTGATGCTTTATTAACAAACACAGCTCGTAACATAAAGCTTCATAAAGGTAAGACGTAAATAACGGTTGCGGTTGTAAATGATGTGAATAATAAATCTCTAAATTATTTTCTGAAAGTGTTTAAAATTCTACCTTTCTGCAACCATCCTTATTAATATATACAAATTTTGTCACTTAAAATACAACTTTTCTTTAATTAATTTAAGAAAATAAAAAAAATAAAATATATGAATTTCGATTAAACTTATTTGTTTTACTTCTATGAATATGACTGTCACAATCAATATTTAATTTTAATTGCATTTACATTATGTTTATGGTTTTTATTTTATTTACAAGCCGTTATTTTTCGAAAGTTTTAATTAGTATCTTTTCTTCTTATATGTTATTTCAACATTTAAAACGTTATAATTAATGTTTTTGTTACCCCTTTTACAATGGAATTACGTAGGGTTATAAAGTAACGTGCTTGTGTATGAGAGGGTGTATTTGTAGTTGTGTACTTGGTGTATGTGGGTGACTTAAAAAATGTTATTTAATTCAAAGGTTCCTGATGTTATCCAATGTTAATCTATCCATGTGTGTGTTGGCAATGAACTTAACTAAATTTAAATTTATTACATACTTTAATTTCTGTGTATTGTAAATAATAGCTGTAAAAATACTTTTATATCTGCGTTTTAATTAGTATCTTTTCTTCTTATATGTTAAACATTTTTATAACCCCTTACAATGGAATTGTAGGGTTATAGTAACGTGCTTGTGTATGAGAGGGTGTATTAGGGTGTATGTGGGAGGGGTCCGACTTCTTTCACAACTAAATTTAAATTTATCACATACTGCAAACCAACTTTTATTCGCGTGCGAAAATTATTCGCGAGTTTCGCGACCTACCTTTAGTCGCGAATATTAATCGTCGCGAACCATTCTTTTTGCTTTGTTTTTGTAGTAAATGTTTCTTTTTTCGTGAAAATTAATCGTCGCGGATTGATTTCAAACTGATGAATCGCGAACAAAAGATGACGCGAACAAAAGTTTGTAAACCAACTTTTATTCGCGTGCGAGAAATTTTCGCGAAGTTCGCGAGAGCCTCGTCATCGCGAATATTTCTCGCCGCGAACCGGTCCTTAAAGTGTATTTGTCTTTTAACTACAGATCCAAAAAGGCTTGATCGCGAAAATTTATCGTCGCGAACAAGTTAATCCCTAGTAAATCGCGAAATAAAGTCGTCGCGAATAAAAGTTGGTTTACAGTAACATGTACCTCAATACCCTAATTCGATTACCTGCATTAAAAGGTGGTATAAATTTTCAACAGAAATACCTTAAAAATATACAGTTACCTATTTTCTTCCTGTTCTATTCGACCCCATTCATATGTATTCAATTCAAAAACTAGAGAAAAGAATAGGCATTAGAATATTTAAAACTGCTTGTCAAAATAGAAAACTTTGAAGTTATTTATCTTTACTTAATAGTATACGATACCTAATATTTTCTTCCTGCTATATCCCTTCTGTAGACACCAATAATGTGTATCATATTACAGTTTAAATTCTTGAGAAATGAATAGGCAATAGAATGTGTAACAGTCATACGACTGTTAAAGAAAAACACTGGTATTTGCCAATACAAGACATGCATAATGATGATACCATTTGGGCTGGTTTTTCTTCTTTTTCATGTATCTAATGGTAAGTTAATAAATTAGAATACTGTCATTTCTAGAATAATATGTGTTTCCAATTTCACTGACAACTTTTTCATAAATCATTTAAAGATACGAACCAATGTACAAGTTTTTTTTTCATATATTGGATTACAATTCGGATTTGAAGTGTGATATCCATCTATTTTTCCTTTTAAAAATTAACTTCTGTCAAATTATAAACAATTCTAAGTACTTTTATAATTTTGTATATCCTTTACTTTGAAAATTGATAATGAAAGACAACCTTTTATTTTTACCCCCACGATTATGGCGTGTAAAACGTTGCTTTATTCGATAATGTGATGTATATTCAAAATCCTGTGATGTATATTTAAAATCCTGTGATGTATATTCAAAATCATATGCTGTATATTCTATAATCTTGTGAAGTATGTTCAATATCTTGTGATGTATGCTCAATATCTTGTGATTTATGTTCTAAAGTCTTGTGATGTATGTGCAATATCTTGTTATGTATATTCAAAATCTTGTTATGTATATTCTATAATCTTGTGATGTATGTTCAAAATCTTGTGATGCATATTCAATATCTTGTGATGTATATTCGATAATCTTGTGATGTATATTCGATAATCTTGTGATGTATATTCAAAATCTTGTGATGTATGTTCTACAATCTATTGATGCGTGCAATAATATTGCATTATGGGTGTTATGAGGGAACAGTATTCTTGGAAAGTAAAGACAATTTTCATTGGTTAGAAATAATGAAAGTAGCCGTAGGGACGGTCCTACTAAACAGAGTACATGTACACTTGTGCAAAAGAGTACATTAGAGTACGCTAGTAAATTAATTATAATTTAATGCAATTAAATTGCTTTTTGTATCATTTTCTACTTTAGTTTAATATATATATATATATATATATATATATATATATATATATATATATATATATATATATATATATATATATATATATATATATCAGGCTTGGGGTAATGCTAATTGTAATGGTAATGCATTGCAATGCATTACATGAAGTCAAAGTAATGCTAGTAATGTGTAATGCCCAAAAATTTCTCTCTTTGGTATCCCGAATAAGTAACGTTTTATGAAAATTCATATAAATATCTATAAAAATTTTGAAAATCATTCGAATATGTTACCTTTTGAGAATTGACTTGGAGATAGGCGGGAGAACAATACTATCGTTCGTACTTCTTTCTAGATTTAAGTGGGACTTATCCAACTTTATTTTTTGCAAAGATGAAACGTGAAGCTGTTTTAGACACTTTTGACGTTATCATCCGTGCGCCGTAGGGTGATGCAATACATTACATAAAAACTAATAATTTGTTTATTTATGCATATATCCATTTGAAATTTGCTCTGTATGTTCATAATATATGTACTAAAGAAATTTCAGATTGCAGTAATGATTATTTTTTAAACTAGACAACTTGTCCACGATTTTACCGGACAACCCTCGTACATCACAAGATTATAGAAAACACATCACAAGATTTTAGAGTATACATCACAAGATTTCAAATATACATAACAAGATTTCAAAAATACATAACAAGATATTGCACATTTTAGAACATAAATCACAACATTTCGAATAAACATCACAAGTTATTGAACAATCATCACAAGATTATTGAACAGACAAGAATATATACATTTGTGGTATTTTTCACTATATAAACATACAGAGAGAAAATATATTCAATTCTTGTCGGAGGTCAAAGGTCAATACATGACCGAATCACACGGCGCAATAATATCAGAGTCTACCGTTACTTATAAATATAAAATAAAATGACTTGCTTTTCATGTATAAAGATGAACAAAATAAGCAAGTGAAATAATTGTTTTATTTACAATGTGAACAAATACTTCATACATTTTTGGCGATCGATTTAACCTATGTTTATAAAGAATACACCGTTAGAATCTAGCCTTTGTTTACACGTTGTATGTCAATTTTGTAAACTGCAGTTTCTAACTTTTTAGTGTATCCTTATTTTTGATAGACCTTAAGTTAAATCTTCATAATAAAGGCTAAAACTATATTTTTCATTAAATTCTTTTCACGATAAATGTGTAAATCTATTGGAAAATATCAAAGCATTGCAATCACGCCACGAACAGCTGAAAAACAACTCGATCGGCGCTGTCGTACTTCAATGTAAACTGTCGCCAGTGTCTCCGTGCTAACATCATAAATATACCTTTAGTTACTGAAATCGTAGATTAAATGTTTTTGATCAAAATTAATACTTGAATGCAAACGAACTGGCTCGGACAAGTGTCTCAATCTATCGGATCCATCCATCCCTCTCAGGCGGCCGAAATTCCTCCAACTTTTTATCATCAATTCTCGGACGTGTTTCTTGGGTCTTTTCAGCATTAATGATCAATTTTCACAAATAAAAATATTCCCAGACAAAAATCTATTCACTATTAATGATCACAAGTAGCTTTAACAAATTATTCCCTTCGAAACAGAATTCTTAGCTGACGAATTCGAAGCGTAACCGCCTTTCAAGCCGATTTACACCTTGCGTACTTTTGACGGAAATCTACGGCGACCGGTTAGTGCAATATTTATATCCGAATATATTAAATCTAATATTTAATTGTCCATCTCAAATGTATATACATGTACTTGTATAAGTAATAAATAACAAGTTTATAAACTTCAATGGGATTTGAAGTGGGTCGGTACGTGATCAAATCTTCTGAGAAGGCCTTGGGCCTTCAGAGGATTTGATCACGTGACCGACCCACTTCAATTCCCATTGAAGTTTATAAACTTGTTTTTTATTTCTTAATTATATATTATACATCACAAGGTTATAGATTATACATCACATGATTTTGAATATACATCAAAAGATTTAGAACATACATTACACGTTTTTGAATTTACATCACAAGATTTAGAATATACATCACAAGATTTTGAATATACATCACGAGATTATCGAATAAAGCAAAGTTTTACACGCCATACACGACATGTTGTTTAACGAAGTTTGATATTTATTTGGAATTTTAAGGCTACCTTAACGACTCAGAACCCTGTACATCCGACAATACGTCTGTAATTGTACTGGATCGCGAAGTCTCCTGTGCATTGCTGCATAAAATCTCAAATGAATCCGATGTTTGGATTCGATATCAGCTTCCAGATGGGCGACCAATTGTATTGTCGGACGAATGTATTTGTGCGTCTTCTTGTGCCGTGTTTCTGAACGGTAGGGAATAAATAATGACTTTTACTATAAAATTAATTTATAATCCTTCAGTTTTAAATATTTACATTTGCTGTGTTTTCCTGAAATATGCCTATGTGACAAGTTTGTTTGCTTCACACACCAATAATTCACACAAAACTTTAAACCATTCCTTAAATAACAAGTTTACTTTTACTTTGCTTTTTAGACACACTACCGGCGAACGGAACAAAATGGCTGCGAGTGTTTTCTCAATGTTATGGGGCATGGTACTTAAGAGTGAGGGAATGTGACGGGTTTTTCGTGTTGTTCTTGGATTCATTGTCCTATCAATATTCGACTCTTAGTGGTGTAACGGCATGCCTAGGTAGTTTAGACTTTGTAACTGTTCCCATGGATTAAAAAAGGGGAAAATCTGTTTTAAGTTGACCTTCTCATTAGAATTTTGATTTAAGTTTCAGAAAATACACAAGAATCTAACATAACTTTTCTAAGGTGTGTTAAGCAGAACAAAGGTTATTAAAGCTTGCTATTTATATTCAAAAGTGTTATATACTCAGTATACATGTTAATTTTATTTCTTTATTTTTGGAATATATCTCTGGTCATGATTTTTTCTTGCGAACAAACATACAAGTATAATTTTTTTTTCCGGTATATTACAAGTTTCCCAATTTATAATACATGTATTTATAAATCAGTTTTCCTATATGTGTCACAAGATTTCGAAATGGATTATCAGTTTGTTTCTTTTTTTTTTAATTTGTTTAACAGGATTCATTTCATGTAAATATAATACCAGATTTATATGATATAATTCTGGAACGTTTTAAAGGTCAGATTAGTCAACATTTCATTTTCACAAAGGAACATTTTTTTGATTTTTATCTCGATAGCCTCGTATCAAGGATCGTGCAAGAAATCGGGAAAATCTTATGCCAAAGGTGAGTTCTTAGGCACAGTTGTGTGAATGTAAGCGCTACTGCGCATGCCATGTTACAATATTTCTATTAAGAAAATCCGAACATCTAAATATTTAATCCAAACATTAGGTCTTATTTTATTTTCCTTTTCATTTGTGTCAGTCTTTTAAAAACCTCTTTTCAGAAACTAATCGTACATAATTTAAATTTATCATTAGGGGCTTCAATTTAAAAATATAACACACAAAAAAATTAAACAAACAAAATAATAATAGTGATTGTTCATTATATAAAAATAAAGACGCACCAAATGTGTGTCCCGAGGTGGAGAGTTTTCATGAAGAGACAGAGGATGGGACAGGAATGGAGGCAGTCTTCAGGTGTAAATTCAATCCAATGCCTGTGAATGTTTTCTATGACGTACAGTGGTATATTGACGGTATTCTCCTAAATAACGCCAAATTCACAGCGATCAGTTACAGCAACATCAATGATACCGCACTGCGGACAAAACACTGGGTGAACAACTTCACTATGAGTTTTCAGGTATAGTTTGTGAGTGTGCTTCATATGCTCATCAATAAGTATCACTAAATCTGGATTTAAGAAATAAAATATGTCGGTGATTGTCTTCCATACCTGTCTGTAGGTATCTTGTGCTGTGAAAGTTTACAAATCAACATCTGAGATCCTGGCAGATTTCATTGAAAGTTACCAATATTTTGCGGGCATAAAGGTAGAGTACAGATAGCAGTTGAAACATATTTTGAAACTGAAGGACAAGCATTGACCTTCAAGACATGATCTGAGATAATAAGTCTAGAAAACTTGAAGAAAGAAATAGTGGAGACTGCCAAATAAATTCAAGACACCAGTCATTAGCCAAAATAATCCGATTGATTTTTTTTCGATAATAAATCACTCTGAATTTTCATTTTACACAGAGGTGGGCGAAAACAAGTGACATGAATTAACAAAAATATAATACTATCTTACAGCCACGTCAGCTCCAGTATACTTTGTTTGAGGGGGAGACAATTCAGATAATTCTGGAGGCTACAGTTCCCTTCAGCTGTTCATCTTCTCTGAGTGACTCAATGAAAGCCTCCTTCTGTAAGTTCCAGTTCTATATCTGGACCCCAGGGGAGGGACAATGTGTTAACGGTCTCACAAACAACGGAGTGGCTTTAAAGGACAACCCTTGTGGAGTCACATTTGGATATAAAGACAGATTGACTTCTATCAGCGTCACTGGTTATATTGATGGAATGGTCAATTTTAGGGAAAGAAAATCTACTTTGAAAATTGGTTCTACCAGAAATCCAATGGATTCCACTGGAATTTGGAACGGAGTAAAGATTCCGGACATTACAGTACGTTTAACATTTGTTTTGTACAATCATGTATCTTGACATGTACGCTTTACAAATTGCGTCTTCTTCGCCGTGAAGTACAGTATGTTGCATATACTTTGCACTCTCCTTTGTCTTCCGACCGTTTTATGCAGTGAGTTTCAGCAAGTTCCTCAGTTTCTGATAGTCTTGTATTTAAGGATGTTTTTTTCTCATCTATGAAAATTTCTTTCTATTGGAAAGACTTGCATTATGTTGCATTTTATTTTTAAGTTTATCGTGAAAGACAAAGACTCATTGGTATCTGGTAAGTATTGTGCTTCTTACACGGATCCTCATCAAAGAACCTTTGATGGGATACGCTTCTCTAACCAACGGGCTGGGGAGTTCTTGTTGTACAGACACAAAACGTTGCCCTACACGGTATGTAAATTCACCTTAAAGTAAACAACTCTATCGTTGCCCATCACTTTGCCGTTATTGACAATTAAAAGAAAATGCATGGCAATTCTGTAAACATATTGTGTTTATTATCATTTCAGGTACACGCATTGTATTCCACCTGTTTCTTGGGGCGTGCTACCTGTACCTGTGGTATCGCCATCAGAAGTGGTGGGAGCCTCTTTTCGGTTCGCACATGCGCACAACTCTCTACAAAATTAACCAAAACTTTATCAATACCAGAGGAAAAAACCGAAATTTGCAATGATGATGATCTACGGATTCAAAAACATGGGCGCTATTACAAGGTATTAGTATATTACACAATGACAATGTAAGAAATTATACCATCGCACACTTTTGTAATGTCAACAAATAGTCATCATTTTTTACTAATCCAACCATCTTCTTTGAAAGTGTCGGATATTAATTTCGGTATGTCTGTCCTCCCATCAGTCTGTATTTTTGCCTGTCTGTCTATGAGAATTTCGTTTCCGCACGATAAGAATCTGTGTCTTCACGCCTATGGAAAAAGGAAGGGCATCCACGGATCTAGGATGGAGGTCGAAAAGGGGGGGGGTAAGAAGGGTTGCAAAAGCTCAGAAGCTTTTTGAGATATCGCCTGGAACTGAAAGTTTTACACACACACACAGAATGTATGAATAAACGACCTTGACCTTTGAACTTCTGGCCTCAAAATCAAAAGAGGTTTTCCTTATGCCAAATTGAGTCGTAGTACATATAAACTTCACCTGCAAAAGCTGAAAGGTTTCTAGACAAACCACGCGGAAAACCATTGCTAAAGGAAAATTTTTGAATTTATGACACTCATCTTTGACCTTTTGACCGAAAAAATCAACAGAAGTCGTCTTTCGATCATATGGGGTTGTGTAAAATTATATTTCAAAAGCTCAAAAGCTTCTCAAGCTGTCACGTGGAAACAAAAGTCTAACACACAGAAGACTTCATCGGAATGGGTTTAGTGTTTTAGAAATATAATATGACTGCCTTGTTTCATACCAATTATTAATTGTTAGGCCTATCATCAAACTTTGTCAATTGATACATCTTGGGTCCTCTGAGAACTGAAAAGTAGGCCACCTTGACTTAGCTTTGAAATTTATTGAAATATTTAAATATAGTATGCACTATTAGACTTACCATCAGTTGATGTATCTTGGTTCCTCAGTGTGAGTCAACTGAATACAAAGTTTCACAACCTTTTTTTGGAAGTTTAAGCATTTAATACTGTCTTAGATCTGTTCTTTTGGCAAGTGGACTTCGATTGCTGTTGTTTCTTGGCTTCTATCACAGCCTAGTTTAGTAAAAGTCACATTCTGAAGTTTATAAATTCAACTGAAAAATTCAAAATTGAAAACAAACAATAAAATAAACGTACTGTCTTAAATCTGTGTACTGCTGGCAAGTCGATCGCTATCATATCTTGGCTTTTCTCACAGCCAAGATTTAGTACAAGTCACATTCTGAAGTTTATGAATGAGTGGCTCAAAACAGTTTTTGATCCACTGGATGTGTTTATAGCATAAACAAAATCAGGGAAATTAGTAGCTGGTATTACTTACACTACCCATTCAAAATGTGACTTGAGTGCATCAACAATGTCCACTTCTCTTGGGCCATGCCTACCATTTTCAACTGAAAAATACCTCCTACCCGCAAGCTTTACGACTGGAAGTTTCTTCTAATTCCTTTGGTTGCTCGTGCAAAAGACTATTTTCGTGTCAATGTTGATAATATGAGTTGACCAATCACACAGTGGCGGCTGAATTGCTTACGCTGGATGCATCTGTCGAAAAAGATCGTGACATAATGCAAAACTTCACATTTAATTTACCAATAAACTTAGGTCACCTTTTAAAAATATTTGAATGTTCTCCTCCGACCGACTGACTTAAAATGGCCCGACTCAGAACTTTCTTTTACATTTTACATTTACATATTTTTCTGATGATCTTTCTCATCCCTTGAACAAATATATTGAAATTTTCTGGAAAAAAGATTTTCATACCTACCTACCAAGCCAATAATTTAACCCTGAGTCGGAAGAGGGCATGCACAGATCATTTTAAAGGTGATCTAATCTAAATATTATTTTTAATAATAAAAGACTTTAAATCATCAATTTTTGTTAATTGATTCATCTGTTTAATGAAAATGTAGGTCATGATGACCTCTTTTAGGAATTTCAAGGTTTGATCTAAATTAGTAAATATAAAGAATACTGAAGTGATAATTGTACGATTTATCAGAAGATTGATTAAAGGCCCTTGTGCCTCTTGTTAAAATACTGAAACACTTTTCCAGCAATTTTAAGTATTTAATACTAGAACCAATCATTTTCTCTTCTCTTTTCCTCATGACTTCGAACTTTTTGTTCGAGAAAATAAATCAATTATATGGTTTGGTTGTAGGTTACGTTTCCGAGCGGTACGGAAGTGTCATTCAGAATTTCCACGTGGAGTAATTGGATGGGAAGTGTTTGCATTAGAGCCTCTCTATCAGATTTGGGGGAAACGGAGGGTTTGTGTGGACTTGTCAATGATAATACCACAGATGATTTTATTCCTAGAAATGGACAAAATCCTACAGATATAAATTCCTTCGCAGAATCGTGGAGGTTTGTAATTCACTATCATGAAAGTAAATATAGTTCTTTTTCAGCATTTTAAATTTCACCAACAATTTATCAACAGGCATTATATGTAATCTATCTTTATATTGAAGTAAATATAGAATTAATTCTTTTTTTCTGCAGAATACCAAGGAACTCTCCTGATAAAAGTTTGTTTGTCAAAAATCCCAAAATCTTGCGAGAGTCATTTTCGTAAGTTAATAATTAATCTTATGAATAATTATACGAATCCAGCCGTCATATATACGTTAATATTATTGTGATTTTAATTTGCAATTCATGGTAAAAATTTCTGCATGCACCACAGCTATTCATCTCAGGACAACAATGAAAGTTATTGCACTTGTCCATCCGAGGAGCCCCTAGATCCTTACCGTCCTAACTTTGAGTCTCGGAATCAGGCCCACTGTAACCAGACGACACCGAGTTCTGTTTGTGGAAGTCAGGTTTCCATGGTGATTGATTCTTCTTCCTGTGGCACCAACTCACGTCGCCAAAAGCGTTCAGTTCTATCAGATGATGTTGTGGATTCTACTGTGCTTACCTATACCCGTGACTTTGATGATACAGCTGTTTTCAATGTATATCATGAATCTTACATGTTACTTAACAAATAAACTTAAGAAATAAAGAAATATATTAATATGTTATGTATATACTGCACTTTTACCCATATCTGTTATTTTCTATCTAAGACACATAAAAAGTTACTTTTTTAAAATCAAATCATAAAATCGTGTCTCTTTTCTTATTATATAAGGTAAGTGACTGGATCAACGGATGGAACGCCACGTCTGCTAGAAAATATTGCACGGACACTTTCACCTTTGACCCTGCTGTGGAAACCTGTAATGCACTTGTCAACATCTCTTCTGAGTCCTATATAGACAGTTGTGTAGAGGATATCAAGGTTTCTAGTCTTTTGTTATCATTTCATTTCTTGTAAGGTATATTTGACATAGCTTATTTAAATAAATACCGATTGCATGACATGCCCCTTTCCCTTTACATGTACATTAGAGACAATCCATTTTGTTTGCATCAGTAAAAATTCTTTCCTATGTTTTTACAGAATTGTTTCAAATAATTGTGTCGTACAGTATACGGTCATTGTATCATAAGATGCTTATAGAAAACTGAAGGTGATTTCAGATGTCTGGTAACACAACGTGGGTAGAGGATACATTAGACACACTTAAAGGGGCGTGTCTTACAGAGGCCAAAAAACACGAAGTGTTTTATACTAACTCCACCTCTAACTCCTCCTCTGAGTTGTCAATCATCCAACTGATCACAGCTCAACTTTGTCCCGCCAACTGCTCTGGGAAAGGAGAATGCAAAGATGGTACATTAAGGACATTACAAATTATTTTATTAAGACCTCTTTAATAAATTGAAAATGTTACATAAATATGTTTACGTTTAAAATATAGAAAATATAGAGGTCCCTATCCTTTTTCTAATGTGAGATATCTGTCAAAAATTAAAACTATGCTTGGACTCAATAGAAGCAATGCCCTTCTTATCGCTATACAGCTTTGTTTTTTAGTTTTGTATTATTAATATTTTAAAAAGCCACGTGCTTCTGTTATGATGGATTCCTTGGAAGTGATTGTTCTGTCCGTGTGTCAGAGCCACCTACCGACTTTTCTTTGCCATCAAATGGAATTTGCGACACAAAACAACGGTTATGTCAAAAAACAAATATTTTTGGCAAATTTTACTCTGAAAATGTCGTAGCAGAATTGCTCAATTTTGAGGTAGGATATTTTATTCTTAGTGTATAATTTTATTTCGTCTTATTTACGATGTTTGAGATAAAAATTCAACCTAGAAATATATTTCTAAGATAGGAGATACGGAGCCCTCGGATTTTAACTCCGTGACCACAAATGCAACTTTCCGTCACTTCAACCTGATCACTGTGACGTTTCCTTCCATTTCCGAGTCTTCCCGACGTCGTCGCTCAGTGACGGACGATGTACACGGATGGAATATCTCGCTTAGTTATGACGGCATAACATTCAGTGATCACGTGACTTTGTTGATATATGACAGTCAGAGATACTCATGTGATATGCAGACTCTAACATGCCAGAAGCTGGTATGTAAGAAAAAGCTTTTACTGACTTTTGATCAATATAGGGTGGAAGGGGGAACAAGAGATTTAAATCCCAGTTATCTGATCTGAAAAACGATATTTCAAATGTCTGGATGAAAAATATTTTTAAAATTTAGTTGAGTATTCAACGATATTTTTCAGATAAAGGATGGTGAATCCACCTCCAAATCAGGTATGTTAAAAATGTTGTACTTTATTATTTCTTGTATGCAGTTACAAATTTAAACTAGATTATATCTTAAGCTTAGCCATCGTAAATCTTTTCAATTATATCTATTTTGAAGGTTCACTCACGTGTCTTTTGGGGGCAGCGATATGCTTTTACTGACAGACAAAATGACAGGCAAACACGACGACCAAATTTGTTACACCATACATTACCCTTCAATAAATGAAGAAAATACATAATGACATACTTGATGCTTTTATAGGTCCAGGCGTCAACATTCCCGCCATTGCTGGTGCTACAGGTTTTGCTGTTGTAGTAGTTGCTATAATTGCGATTGTCATTGTTCTCATCAAAAAGAAAAGGTTAGTTGGTACTAGTATGCAATTATATCTCAATACAAATACTTTTAGATAACACGTACAATTGGAAAGATACTTGTCACTGAAATAGCAATAATTCAAGTATAAAAAAGTATTTTAAAAATGATTGAGATTTGGACATCATCTCCAGTGAGTTTGAATAAAAAGATACCACAGAGTGTGACACATCTGCATCATGTTTGGATATTTTTCTAGAAAAAGACGTTAACGGATGAAATTAGTAAAGCAACTTAAATTGAACGAGGAACAAGACTGAGATAAGATATGGACTGTAGAAGTACAATTTACAAAACATATGTGGCAGTCAAATTTAACCCTTAGTAGTGCTCAGCTTTAAGATTATGAATTCAGGAAAAAAACATGTATAAATTTCTTTTAAAGAACAAGTATCCGAGATGATTTTTGAATATTAAAAATACCAGATCATTTACTTGTTTTATAATATCATTTTACCCACATGCTTATCATTTGTTTATTTTAGAATTCCAGTAGGTCGCTCCCAGTCTGTGATAGGTATACAGGAGGACGAAGGACAGAAAACGACACCAGGGAAAAAATCTTTGTGGGTAGGGGGTACTAACTACGGTCAACCTTTACCGTCCATACCCCCAGCTTCTTATGTCTACCAAAAGGAACGGGAACCAACTGATATATCTCTGCATTTTGAAGACAGAAATTAGTCCCTTTGTTTAAAATAAATACTAACAAATCTTAAACGTGAAGAACTGCTCTAAATCATTCCGAATATATACAATTTAATGACAGAGAAGTTTACTGTTATTATTTTATTATTTTTGTATTACTCTACGTTATCAGTAAAGTAATTTTGATTTGTGTGTGATAAGGTAGCTAGTCACGATTTTTAAGAGATTTTATTATGAATTGACGACGGATTTTCCCGTTATTTCCCGATCATGACAAGGAGCACACGGCATGTGTGGCCAGTTTTCAGGGGATGTTCACTCCTCCATAGCACCTGATCCCACATCTGATGTTTTGAAAGCCCGGGTTTGCTCTGCTCCTATTTTGTATTATTTTATGGACTTTTGATCTTGAATATTGTTCGTTATCTCCATATGTTTCATGTAGACCAAAAGATCAAAATATTCCCTATTTACCAGATATATATTTGAATGGCTTTGCATATATTACTTGTACATTATTGCTTACTATAATTTCATGCTATTCATAAACGAAATAAATTGTATTATTAATGGTTATAATGGTTGTTAATTGATGATGCAAAATAATTTGCTAAGGCATAATTTCATTAGTTATTCCCGCATTTTCTAAAGAAATTTTGAGTAAATTCCTGTTTTCCTGATATGTCCATCCGTCGGTCTGTCACACTTTTTTCTTCTTCAAACTTTCATTTATCTTCAGTAGTAACCAATTAAGGAAGTTCTAAACTCTAACAAAACGTGCTCTTTGGACTTGGAGAACAATTATATATAATATAAAGTCATGAATATTGAGACTACATGTATGTAGTTCAATTTCAGCAAAGACCACCTGCTTTTTCAGCAGACAATGGACTTTTCAAAGTTAATGGAAATTTAAATTCAAATACTTACTGTATTCTTTGTCTAATAAAGTGTCAAGATTACTTTTTTAATCTATTGCAAGTTGCGTAATTACCTGTAAATAACAATTTTTCTATCTTGCTTCATCAAGGGCAGTTCAAACTAACTGCATAAAACTGCCCTAGAAGTAGAACTCTTTAGTGTGCAGTACGTGTTTACAGCTTCTTCAATCTTTTGGAATATGATAGGTAGTGTTCTGTAGATGTGCAATGAAGTTTTGGAATTTTGAATATTATCCTAGGGACATAACATCGGGCCAAAAATGAAGTTTTTGTACAAAAAAACCATTAACATTTTAAGAAGTAGCCTAATCATCTTTTGGAAGATGATACATGGTGGTGTGTGCAATAAGATTTCGGAACTTTCATTTCCAACCTTAGGGTCAAATGGGAGTCGGAAATGATGGTTTCTTTTACTATGACCTGGTTCCCAGTATACATTGTATAGAGAAGCCTTAACATCTTTTGGAAGTTGCTTGGTGGTGTCCTATAAATGTGGAATAAGGTTTAGGGATTTTCCTTTTCACCCTTGAGGTAAAAATGATGGTGTCCTGAACGTGTGCCATAAGGTTTTTCATTTTCATTTTTATCATGGATTTCAAACAGGGTCGAAAATACTTTTTTCTGCAACATCTAATGTGAAAGGAAATCAAAAACCTAAAAACATAATAATGATTCTCGGTATAGTCTACTTGTGCTCCACATTTTATTGAAATTCAAGGTCAAAGCTGTAGGAAGAGTTTTGAAAGAAGAAATTTTGAAATAACACTACGATATGAAGTTTTTACATGTTTGTCTAATTTTATCTTCCTCGGTGATTTTTCAGAAGAAGTTTGAAGATTTTTTCCAATTACATTCCCCTGTAAAACTTTGATCACCGATTGTGGCCCCCGCCCTGCTCGTGGATGTCATGATTTGAACAAACTTGAATTAACTATGTATTGAAGATTCATATAAGTTAAAAGAGAGGCTCATGTATTATAATTATACCCTGAGGGGTATGTTTACTTTTCTGACAAATCAGGTAACAATATTGTCTTCGTTTGTAAGGCTCATTATACGAGGGGCATTTCAAAAGTTCTGGCAACTGTTTTATAAAAACTTACCGTTTTAAGGAAATTATTGAGTTTGATATCATTGTAAAGATCAGGAAAATATATACATATTGTGACCTCACGTCATAATTTTTATGACATAATAACTCCGAAAATGACGTCAGAATATAGAATGTTTAGCATACTGACCATAAAAAATGACGTAACAAAACTTTTAGAATTTTTGGACGAAATGACTGATTGATCAAATTAAATTTTTCAACTTTTTACAACTTTTGACTTTTTGATATCATTGACAGCTGCTTTTTCAATAAAAATGGAACTCGTAAATTTACTCACCTGGTCATTTGCAAAATTATTTTGTTAAAACACATTCTGATTGTACACACAAATACTCTGAAGTCGATATTTAAAAGATGCTTGAGTGATTGACAATATCTGTGTTGTTGTTGGAGGTTTTCCAACACATTATTGGAATTTCCATCTATTTCATTAGAAGATCTTTTTTGTTCTGAAATGGTTGTTAGCGAAAACACTTGCTGTTTCAACTTTTAGATATATTTTTATCAACAGATGTAATTTCCATTCTCAAACTATATCTGAGCTTGATATAAAAAGAGACCACAGAGTCTACACATTTGTTTCATATTTGGATATTTTAGAAAAAGACGTTAATGACAATCAAATAAAATAGGTTATCGTGTTACAAAATGTGATGGCATAAATTCGTCAGGTGTTTTAACCAGATTTGTGGGATTGATAAAGGCTTAAAAGTTTTAATTTTTGAATCCAAAATTGCGGCAAATAAGCTGAAAGTTATGTAACCCCACATCAAAAGTGTGTTAGATAATCTTTTTCAATTTTAAACAGTCGGCAGCAGCTTTATGAATATGTTTTGAAATAATTCTTTAAATACAATTTTACTGCATTGACAGGTTGTGATACGTATTTATATGTTCGGTTTGAAATTCAGATGAAAAGATTTGAGTAGCTTTCCTTTAGATTTACGAACTTAGATAACTTACCGGGGAAAATATACCCATTAGGATAACACAACAGGTAATTTTTTGTGTTAAAGAACTGTCAATTATTTCAGAGAATGTTGGTATTGACTAATGACACAACAATATTTGAGAACGTTTCTTCGTTAGAGCCATTTTGAATATTTCAGCAACGATAACGTTGTTGTGTTGTATTCGTGCGCACTGTTTTTGATGCGTAAATTAATAATAAAAAAAAAGTGAAAGAAAGTTTCATTTAATCAATTTAAAATCTGCAAAATTATTTTATTAGAACACATTCTGATTGTACACACAAGTACTCTGAAATCTATATTTTAAAAATGCTTGAGTTTTGATTGACAACATCTGTACGTGTTATTTTTGGGGACTAGGTCTTCCAACTGTCTATTGGAATTTCCATGGGTGTAAAAAATGATTGTTTTTCTTCTAGGAAAAGACACAGTATAAAACAGTTTTATTATACCCCGCTTAAAAAGCGGGATGATATAGAGTAATCAGGCCGTCTGTCTGTACGTCCGTCCTTCTGTCTGTTACGCTTTGGGGTACCCATCTCCTATTCTCAACTCCTCTTATACCACTGAATGGTATTTGATGAAACTTTCAGAGAATCTTTATTACATAATGCCATTATGTACCTCCTATTTTACTTTTTGATCCGATACATATTCAGAGTTTTCCATGGCAAAGCATGGACACTGCCATTATATTCATATGGGAGGCGGGAGTATCATTTAGTGAGCTCATTGCTCACAGTACCTCTAGTTTTTATTCAAGCTTACCAATTTGTTTACTTTTCTCCCGTAGTCAGACAAAAAGTGGATGAAAAAAAATGCTATACAAAAATATACTCTGGGTTCAGAAAAGTTTATGTGAACTCTAGATGAATACCAATGTTCACCCCAAAATAATGTGTAATATTTATACCCCCGCTTGAAAAGCGGGAGGATATATAATAATCGGTATGTTCGTCCGTCCGTCTGTCTTTTACGCTTTGGGGTACCCATCTCTTATCCGCAACTCTTCTTATACCACTGAATGTAATTTAATGAAACTTTCACAGAATCTGTATTACAGATTGCCATTGTGCACCTCCTAATTTACTTTTTGATCCGACACATATCTTGGGTCTCCCGGCCACAGCAATGCATGGACTTTGGCATTATAACCATATTGGAGGCGGAGGTATCATTTAGTTAGCTCATTGCTCACAATACCTCTAGTTTAATTTAAATCTGTTCTGATTTTATGATCCTGTAGCAAGATTATAATGGCTTGTGATTACCTATACCTACATAATATTAAATTCCTATTGTTCTACCTGCACTCCATTCTCATTTAACCAACACAGATTTACCTTTTTTTAATGATGGCTAAATTGGAAGACACCGCATATAATTTACTTCCTGGTTTCTTTTATTTGAAACCAATCATGCATATTAACTGCAGGCATTAAAGGGAATTCTCAGTAGAATATTCTTTAGCCATGAGAGGCAATGTTTTTATGTGATGTATGAACTGTAAAACGAAATACCTACAAGATGAGGATTGGGTTGGTGTTCTTTTTTCTTTTGCAAGGAACTTACGGTAAGATGAAAAAAAAATGTACACTGGAAAATCAAAACTTTTAAGAACATGTCATACATATATAAATAAAAGCTTATTTCAGGAATGTTTATGTATCATTTTACAAAATCCATTCAATTGATTTTTTATTCTCCATCAAAAATTATCAGATTTACTGGCTGCAAAGTGAAACCGTCTCGAAAGATTCAAAATAATATATACAATATATTTATTGTTGATTATTTTAGGCAGCTATTACGACCCGGAACCTTGTACATCAGACAATACCTCCATTGTAGTACATAGTTTAGATACATCGTGTGTCTTTCTACACGAAATCTCCAAAGACGCCAATCTTTGGATTCGACCTCAGCTGTTGGATGGTCGACCACTTGTACCCTCGAACAAATGTTCATGTACTTTTTGTCCTTCATTCTTAAATGGTAAGTGGTTTTTCGTTTGTAATTTATAAATTCTATACTCGGGTTTTGGAGATAAGCAGCAATCCCATTGGTTTCAAGTAAACAGAAATATCTATATGATTTTTTATATCCACAAATTTGAGAGAAGACAATTCTGGCTATTCGCAGTTTATTTTTGTTTAAACTCTTGTATAAATTATCAAAACATAATTCAGAGTGTAAATGTCATTTATTGAACTAATAAATGACTGAAACTAAAACTACATTACATGACTTTTTTTTACTTACGTTCAGTTTGTAATGCACCCTTGGCCACAATATAAATGATATATATATATTTTTTAAATATTGTGTGGTCAAAGTAAAATTTAGAACTAAATACCAAGTAAATGAGACTTTATCAAGTAAGTATTCAATGGTACTTAATTTTGGTGAAATATTTTTCAGACACACTTCCAACCAATGGAACAGAGGACACGTACATTTTTGCAGAATGTTACGGATCTTATTATATGAAGCTCAGAAAATGTGACGGCTTTTTTGTATTTTACGTGGATTACTCAATGATATACTTCTATTCTATTTTCCTGGGTGAAACGATTTGCCTAGGTAAAATTCACGTTTAAAATTCTTTTCCCCCTATGTTGCCTGTAAACTTAATTTTGATGTGCTTTCTCAATTTTCTCTGTTTCTCTCGTTCGTTTCCCTATTTTGTGTTCTCTCTCTCTCCCTCTCCCTCTCTCTTTTATTATTTTTTTGTTCAAAGGTCCTAAAGTAAGACATTTTTAAGCAATGTACCTGGTATACAGTATGTCTTTTAAAAGGCTCTTTCATTGTTTGAATTCTTATTACTTACCTAAGTTAAAATTTGCATTTTAAATTTGATATAATTGACACTAGATTAATTATGAAGAAGCACAAAAATAATGACAAGATTTTTCAAAAAAAATATTTGTACACTTGAACGTCAGACATGGATATTTGCTTTACTTTGCAAAAGACATATTATTACACAATCCAACAAAAAAAAAACATCTACATAATTTGACAAAAGTCAACAACTGTGAAAACAATTCCAATACTAGTATATGTAAACGAATACAGCTACAGTTTACATGTCTTTGAGAAACAAATATGTTTGGATAAAGAAATTTGATACCTCTCTATTGATTTTAAAAGAACTGTGGTGTTGTATTTGTGGTGTTGTAATACAACACATGTTTTTATCGTCAACAGACTGCAACACGCATGAAGCTTTCATGTTATCAATTTTGTATTTCCTAGGTGGAGATAAATGCAACATTTATATAATAATGTTACTACGCCTAATAAATTTAAAAAGTGCACAAGATAATAATGCCCTTTGTATGATGAAATTGTATTTGGTGTCATATATTAAAGCTGGATTTGACATATATGACCACTGGTAAACTTTGGTGATTAAATTATATTAAAATGTTAAATACGTTTGAACGGAATTTAAAATAGCACCTACATATAATGTTCGTTTTCCATTTCCACTACAATATTTTTTTCCAAAAGAGAAAGTTCTGTTTCCATTTCTGGTAACCTTTTAGTGCTATTTCCTCTGTAGCGCCATATGGAGGTTCTTGCAAAAAACAAGAAGACTCTATTGAAATTGGTGAGTAGTAACATACAACAATTGGGAAAAACCATACAGTATAATATTCATTATGTATTCCGATGAATGACATACTGTAACATAAAAACATGAAATCAATATTGATATAACCAGGTAATCGCCAAATGTGTTAAATATGGTATAAGCTTTTTAAAAATACAATGTATGTCGTGCTGTGATCACATGATTCATTTATAACGAACATTATCATTTTTTTAGATGGTGCCCTTGATTTGTGTCCTGAAGTGAGAAGTTTTCACGAAGAAACAGAGGACAAAGCGGCCATGGAGGCGGTCTTTAAGTGTCTATTCCAGCCTATACCTGGAAATATATTATACGACGTCCAGTGGTATATCGACGGAACTCTGCTAAATAACGCCAAATTTACAGGGGTCAGTTACATCAATATCAATGACACGGCGCTCCTTCCAAAGCATTGGGCCAACAACTTTACCATGAGTTTCCGGGTATAGTGATAATTAAGCTTCTGGCTAATTTGACGTTGTTTTACTTTGCCTCAACTAAAAAGTGTGTTATTGACTAAAAGTTTATGCCTACATTCTTTACTTCTCTGCAGGTATCATGTGCAGTAAAAGCATACAATACAACCTCTGGTGTCAAAGGGGAATTTATCGAAAGTTATTCATTCTTTGCAGGCATCAAGGTATACATGAAAATATGCTTTTATTTGGTAATTTAGAGATTTTCCTTCTTATACGTCCTCAAACAATAACCATAATTTTATGCAAAATTCAGCCGGCTCAGCTGAGGTATTTAGTGTCTGAGGGAGAAACAGTTGAAATAATTCTGGAGGCTACAGTGCCCTTTAGTTGTCCATCTACTCTAAGTGACGCTATGAAAGCCTCCTTCTGTAGGTTCCAATTCTATATTTGGAACCCGGGGGAGGGGCAGTGTGTTAACGGCCTTTCTAGCAAAGGATTGGCTTTCAAGGATAACCCTTGTGGAGTCACATTTGGATATAGAGACAAAACGATATCTATCAATGTCACTGGTTATATTGACGGAATGATCAATTCTAGAGACAGGAAATCCACGTTGAGAATTGGTTCCACAAGAAATCCACTGGACGCATCAGGAATTTGGGATGGGGTGAAAATCCCTGACATTATGGTACGTATAAGGTATATTAGTAGACCTATTTTGTTATGAACAACTTAAAAAAAATGTTTGAAATTTGATATACTAGTATCTGTTATGTAAAGATTACCGTGAAAGACAAAGACTGGTTGGTCTCTGGTAGATATTGTGCTTCCTACACGGATCCTCATCAAAGAACTTTTGATGGGACGTACTTCTCCAACCAACGAGCTGGGGAGTTCTTGTTGTACAGACATAAATACTTGCCTTTTACGGTATTCGTAAACCCTTTTCCCTCCATATTCGTCAGAAATTATTAAATTAAAATTAGATATCTGCAGAAAAACACTATACTATTGTCCTCTCTTTCTTTATAAAAAAAAAAAGTTAATTGAAAGAAAACTTGATGTTTTTAACATTATTCTAGGTACATGTTTTGTATTCTGTGTGTGTGTGGGGACGCGCCACGTGTAACTGTGGCATTGCCATAAGAAGTGGCGGAAGTCTCTTCTCTGTCCGCACTTGCGAAGAAGTATCGACAACTTGGACCAAGACTTTGGCAATACCAGATGAAAAAACAATAATTTGTAAAGACGACGATCTAAGAATTCACAAGTCTTGACGATATTACGTGGTGAGCAAAATATGCTTGACAATAATTGTTGCTCAAAATATGATACGTGATATGATTTTGATAGTTAGAACATTCATCTAGGTAACGTTTCCGAGCGGAACAGTTGTGTCATTTTCTATTTCTTCGTGGAGTAACTGGGTCGGTAGAATTCTACTTAAAGCCTCAGTCTCAGATTTCGGGAAAACAGAGGGATTGTGTGGACTTTTCAATGGTAACGCGACAGATGACTTCATTCCTAAGCATGGGGAAAATGAAACAGATGAAGATAGTTTTGTAGAATCCTGGAGGAAAGTTCGATATCTTAAGTCTATTTTAATTCGATAGATTCTCTAATTACCTCTTTATTGTTGAGCAATACTTCTATATATCAAACTGCTTATATTCTTTATTTCCTTTATACAGAATACCAATGGTTTCTGCAGATGAAAGCTTATTTGTGAAGAATCCTAAAATCTTAAGAGAGTCTTCTCTGTACAATATGTATGTATTAAAATATTTCATTTAGTGTTAAAAAACATCGAAAGTCTCTATTTTTCATTACAAAAACTTAAATATTCAGATAATCCTGAAACAAATGCTGAAAAATGCACCTTGTTAAAATAAATCTTATTTTTTCTCCAAAAGTTATTCAACTGAAAGCAAAACCACGGAGGAGACATTCTGTACATGCCCCTCTGATGAGCCACTGGATTCTTACAATCCAGACTTTGAGTCTCGGAATCAGGCCCACTCTAACCAGACAACACCAAGCTCTGTGTACGGAAGTCAGGTTTCCATGGTGATGGACACCTCTTCCTGTGGTCCTTCCGCACGTCGAAAGCGTCCAGTTGAATCAGATGACGTTTTGGACTCGACTGAGTTTTCCTATGCTACCGACTTCGACGAAACAACTGTCTTTAACGTACGTCATGTCTTAAGTTTCCCTAGTTACCGGTAATATTACTTTATCATTTATTTTGTTAGCGATTTTTTTTCAAGAGTACATGAAATATTTAAAGCAATATGAACTACATTTTTGAAAAATTGATTTTGATTGCAAAATGTGTTATTATGATTAATTTGTATGTAATTATAATCCTTATGATCAATAGGACCAAATTAAAGTTTAAAAATGTTTCAGAAGAAATATTTCTGTTCAATCAAATATATAGTGTTATATAAAAAATCAATATTGTACAACACGACAATAATGAAATTTTGCTTCAATCAAAGCTTATAAAAAGCTCTTCCATCGCAAATATAAAGAAAAGAAGTTATAAATCTTCTGTTATTCATTCATTAGAAATAGTGAATTACAAATTTGCAACAAAATTTTCCTATGTCAAACATGCAACTCATATTGCTTTAAGCATATGAGTTTACTTTTGCCTTTAGTGTTTTTTATTATAATTACTTCTTCAGGTACTTCTTACTTAATTGTTCCAAGAAATTATCAATTTTTATATTTTCTTTGTCATATTTGTCTTAAACAGGCAAGTAACTGGATCAACGGATGGAACGCCACATCAGCTATGAAATATTGCACGGACTCATTCACTTTTGACCCCGCTGTGGAAATCTGTAATTCACTCGTCAACATCTCTTCGGAGTCTTATATAGACAGCTGTGTAGAGGATATCAAGGTAGAGTTAATATGTTGATTTTAAAATTTTGCACATTAAAAGTTCCTGCTTCTTGTATTTTAAACCAATGCCTTATCATTTACTATGAGGTATATTGCTTTGACAAGTTATTGATTTTTAATACCCTAATACATTTGCATCACTTTTAGCATTTTATACTTTAAGTCAAAGGAATCAAAATGTTTTCTAATTAATTAGACAGGATTTAGACATTTTATCATAGAGTTACTGGAAATGATTTCAGATGTCTGGTAATACAACTTGGGTGGAGGATACGCTGGACACACTTAAAGGGGCGTGTCTTACAGAGGCCAAGAAACAGGAAGTGTTTTATACTAACTCCACCTCTAACTCCTCCTCTGAGTTGTCAATCATCCAACTGATCACAGCCCAACTTTGTCCCGCCAACTGCTCTGGAAATGGAGAGTGCAAAGATGGTAGAGTTATGGAATCCTTTACTTAATTGTATTCAGTCTGTAAAATTAATTGCAAGTCCAATGCAGCTTAGTTTATGAGACTTTTTATTTTATTTTGTTTATTAACAGCTTTGTGTTTCTGTCATATTGGCTTCATTGGAAGTGACTGTTCTGTCCGTGTGTCAGTGCCACCTTCCGAATTTTCTTTGCCGTCCAATGGAATTTGTGACACAACACAACGATCATGTCGAAAAACAAATATTGTTGGCAAATTCTTCTCTGAAAATATCGTTGCACAATTGTCACATTTTGAAGTAGGATATTTTAATCTAAGACTGTACTTTTTTGACGTACTTTGGCCAATAAGACTATTTGAATGTAAATTTTCTTTAAAATATTTTTTTTTCAGATAGAAGAAATGGAGCCCTCTAATCCTTTCTCTGTGACCACAAATGCAACATTCCGTCACTTCAATCTGATCACCGTGACGTTGCCCTCTGTTTCCGAGTCTTCCCGACGTCGACGCCGTTCAGTAGTAAATGACGTGCTTGGTTGGAATATCTCGCTAAGTTATGATGGCGTTACCTTCAGTGATCACGTGACTTTGTTGATATATGACAGTCAGAGATACTCGTGTGACATGCAGACTCTAACTTGCAAAAAGTTGGTATGTTAAAGACTAAAACAGCAGATAAATGGACAAATAACCTTGAAATTTCATTTTTCTTTGTAAATCAAAGGATTAGAAATACATATAATCTAAACATTTCTTTAAAACAATTTTTTTTACAAATGTTTTAGATAAGCGACAGTGCATCGTCTTCCAAATCAGGTATTTAGAATTCGTTATACAGTTTTAGTTCTAGCATATTCTAGAATGTTTATCTTAAAATCTGCTAATCGTAGTCTTGTATGTAAGGTTCAAATGTTTGTTTGTAACCTTTTCTTAGCCTTTTGGTTTTTCCTCAAAGAAATGTACTCTGAATACCTTATACCTTTCTCAAGTATTTCCTCCATTTTTATTTCTAACATATAGATATAAAAGATTGCTTTTGTAGGGCCTGCTGTCAACATTCCCGCCATTGCAGGTGCTACAGCTTTTGCTATTGTAGCAGTTGCTATTATTGTGATAGTCATCGTTCTCATCAAAAAGAAAAAGTATGTTTGAACAATTTAAATTTCAAAACCAATATCACGTATTGTAATTTGGTACAAGTTAAGGTAGTCCGATCTTCAGGTTTTTGAAATAAGGAGTTGGGTAATTGAAAGTACTCCCAAAAATGTCTCTGAATTCCTAGAATACTGAGTATTTACCTATGGTATTTTCGAATTTTTGCAAGACGGTTTCTAAATGAAAAATGTTTGACAAGAAAATTTGAATTTTATTCTTAATTTTGAGACTTCTTTTATTTATTAATTTTAAGAGTTATCCTTCCTGGTTGAGGAGCGGATATCCTTAAGTGACACTTGTCATATTAAGACAACATTCTTGTTTACTTGGAGTCCATACTATTTAAGTAGATATATTCTAATAACAAAGTTAACACGAAACCATCCTGGGATTTCTTAAATATTTTTTTATTTAATAAAAATATAATTCTTTGAAAGTTAAATTTGTTCATTAGCTCTATACACTATATGAAGTTGTCTTATCTTCGAATGACATGCTTATTTTGATTTTTATTTCAGATTTCCTGTAGGTCGCTCCCAGTCTGTGGTAGGGATACAGAAGAACGACGGACAGAAAACGATACCAGGAAATGACATCGGGTCTCTGTGGGTGGGTACTGACTACGGTCAGCCTATACCGTCCGTACCCCCACCTTCCTATGTCTACCAGCAGAAACGGCAACCCACTGATATATCTTTTAACTTTGAAAACAAGAATTAGAATTTTTCAATTTACAGATCTTAACCATTCCAAATTTAGAGACATCATTGGAACCAGTGTAAAATGTTTTAACCTTGTTTACCTAATGTTATCTAATTTTAATTTTGTTTGTGGCGATGTTTAATTCTTATATATCGATAAACAGGATAAAAAACGATGAACAATTCGAGCAACTGCGTACATATAATTTATTCTTTAAAATTTTGTGATGAAATAGAATCATTCCTTTTCAAACATTAGTGAATAACATAGCATCCACCTATGGTAATGTCTGTGAATGTTACTGCTATCCTTAAATATCATAACTTGTGTCACTAATGGATGTTCTATTATTTTGATGGTGTTTACATAGTTGGTCGTAAATGATACCGTTATATAACTATGGTGCATGAATAGATGCAAACTGGTCCGTTAATCAGTATTTCATAATTGAAAGAACATACTTTAAGTTAGTTGTAACATGCAGATTTTATCTTCATGTGGATGGCAGAAGGGATCAATGTTGAATTGTTGTAAAAATCATTGCCCTTTATATTCAATTTCTATTTCTAAAAAATGCTGATTAACTTTGAGACTTTTTATTTGCTATTTTTGCAGAGAGTAAAGTTTTCTGTCGATACTTATCGGTTTCTTTTATCATGTACTCAACATACATTTTTATTACGATAGAAATGTACAGGCAATCTTGTTCTTGTACAAGAGCATGTGACCATTATCACTAGTTATTGATTAGCGAACAATATTCATTTAATTAATTAAGAATTTCAAATAAATGTATAAATATCACTTTGCTTGTAAATATTGAAAATTTAACTCTGATCAATGCTAGGGAATTAAAAATGTATCTTCAAATAATTAGTATGTAAAAACTTTACTTCTGACCATGTTATCTCATAACATTTCAGTGTTGAATTTAATATTTAAAAACAAATTTACATGTACAAAATTTGTAAATACATGTACATTTTATTAATTACTTGTGTTGCATTCACGTTGCACTCACGAAACTTCATAAGAATCCTTACAAAAAAAAAAGATACATTGCGGGTTCCAGTGAATGAGTAAAAGAGTACTGTGCAACAATATATTAAAGAAGTGGTGTGAATCAGATGTGGATACTCAAAAATTCCAAAAAAAAAGAACTTTTGGACAATTTGAAATCACAAGATTTTACCAAAATCAACAGCTTAAAAACGTACGACTTTTGAACTTTATACACAACCATTCCCCACATAAATTGAAGTTCAGGCTTTTCGATATCATTGACAGCTGCTTTTTCAATAAAATGGAACTCGAAAATTTACTTACCTGTCATTGGTCATTTGTCAAAATTATTTTGTTAAAACACATTCTGACTGCGCACAAAAGTTGACATCAAAAAGATGCTTGAGTTTCAGTTGATTCACAATACTTATGTGGTTTTTGGAGACAAGGTCTTCCAACAATCTTTTGAAATCTCTGTGGGTACCAATTGCGCTCCATTATTAGCACACCTATTTTTGTATTCATATCAAGCAGAATTTGTGCAAAATCTTACACGTGAAAAGAAGAAAGCACTTGCTGTGGCCTTCAACTCGACATTTAGATACATCGACGACGTACTTTCAATTAACAATGGTAATTTCCGTTCCTATCCCGATATGATATATCCTCGTGAGCTTGATATAAAAGATACCACAGAGTCTGACACATCTGTTTCATACTTGGATATTTTATTTGAAAAAGACATTAATGGTAATTTAACAACCAAGCTTTATGATAAACGTAATGACTTTCACTTTTCTAACGTCAACTTCCCTTAATTAAGCAGCATTATACCTTCATCACCTGCATACGGAGTTGACATATCTCAGTTGATTCGGTACGCAAAAGCATGCTCTACGTATGAACAATTTCTAAAACGAGGTAAATTATTGACAAACAAGTTGATGAAACAAGAATTTCAACAGTCCCGTTTAAAGTCATCATTTCGTAAGTTCTATGGTCGATACAATGACCTTTTCAGCACATACAGTTGATCAATGAGTCAAATGCTGACTGACGTTTTTCATACTAATTGTTAGTCCATTATTTATACACTGAATTGATGACGGATTTTTCCGTTATTTCCTGATCATGACACGGAGCACACGGCGGGTGTGGCCGGTCGGCAGGGGATGCTCACTCCTCCATGGCAAGTGATCACACCTCTGATGTTTTGGAGGTCTGTGTTTGATCTACTCCTGTTTTGTATCGTTTAATTAACTTTTGATCTTAAATATTTACTTTCATATGTTTCATTTAGAAATAAATAACATGTTCTTGATAAGGCATAACATATATTTGTAAATGAGCCATTTACCTAAAATTGATTTTTTTTTCTTCAAATTTACACTTTCCATAGCAACAGGCGAAATATGCATTTTTTTTTTTAAATCATTTTCCTTAAACAAAACTGAAAACTTATTTGAAGGATGCAGGAGTTCCTTACTGACAATATTTGGGAGGGTCCTCAAACGAATTTGGTGCGATTGCAATGGGTACTAATTTTGATCCGTTAAAAGTTTACTTAATTTAATATTCTTATGAAGCATTCTAGATAAGTCCAATAAAAATACAAAATGGGAGAAAAGCCAACACTTAATGTGGCCTTCATCTCGGCATTCATATATATCGATGAAGTTTTTTTTCAATTAACAATATTTACTTCATTCATTGGAAGTCTCGATATGTCCCAGTGAACTAGTAATCAAAGACATTCACAGAGACATTCACATCTGTTCCTTATTTCGTTGTTTTACTAACTATACAATAAGGACCAAAAAACAACAAAATTGTATTTTAAAAAATCAAGATGACTTCTATATCAGTATTTCCTAGTATAATTGATATCATCTTGTGTTGACGTCTCCCAACTTATCCCAACTCAAATGCATGCTTTCAGAACGATTAATTTTTTTTTTAAAAAGTAAGGTTACTGACAGACAGGTTGATGTTACGGTGAAATTTACAACCTCATTCAAAGTCGGCATAATGTGTTTTCTACAGTCGTTATAATGACTTTGTAAATACATTCACCTATAATTTGCTTACATTTTGACTGAAGCGCTTCATCCTAGTGATTGGACCTTGGCCCGATGCTAAATTTGACTGCAGTGTACCATATTCCGTCTATCTGATGAATTCAATGGTCTCCCGGTATGACTGGTCGACAGTAGATATACTTCTCCCTGATCAATACGCGAGTTTTGAGATTGTAACTCTTCTACTAACTTATTGTTAGTCCATTATATACACAATAAATTATCATCGGATTTTTCCGTTATTTTCCTATCATGACAAGGAGCACACGGCGGGTGTGACCGTTCGGCAGAGGATGCTTAACTCCTCCATGGCACCTGATCCCACCTCTGATGTTTTGGAGGTTCGTGTTTGCTCTGCTCCGATTTTGTATTGTTTAATGGGCTTTTGAGCTTGAATCGTGTTCTTTCTCTCTCTATATTTTACAGTTAACTGTAATCATAAAAAATACGCACCACAATTGACATCTCATTATACGCATAAACTCAAACCAACTGGAGAGTTAATGAAATTGGATGACACGGTAATGTAAACACTGACCAGAAATGCCCAATTTATATAATATATAACTTAACTCAAAGAGCTCTAGAGTGATATAGGACAAGGTGTTATATTCCTTAATAAACTCCACAGGAATAGTCCTAGTATATATCTCTCAGGGGATCTTATCTAATTTCGCTTTGTTAATCGATACAGTTCTGTTTAATTCTAAATAAGTTAATTGCAAATTTAGCTTTCTTGTGTATAGTTCAAGAATGACACAAAGCATTAAATTTAATATTCAAATACAGAGAATCTGACTTTGCTTCATTTGATTTTTTTAGCTCTACTGGTCAGAGACCAGAAGAGCTTATGCGATAGTAATGCGTCCGGTGTCCGTCCGTCCGTCTGTCTGTCTGTCCGTCTGTCTGTAAACAATTTTTCAAAATGCTACTCATCCTACAGTTTTGGTCTGATTTCAACATAACTTGGCACACAAGTAAACTACACTAAGATACATAATTCTGTATATCAGTTTTTGATTTCGATGAACGGTGTTGCCGTGGTTACTAAAAATAGAAATTTCTGTGAAAATCATTCAAAATGCTACTCCTCCTACAGTTTTGATCTGAATTCAATATAACTTGGCACACAAGTAGACTACACTAAGATACATAATTCTGTGTATCGGTTTTTGATTTTTGATTCATGTTGTTGCTTTGGTTACTAAAAATAGAAGTATCTGTGAAATACTTTTAAAATGCTACTCCAATTACAGTTTGAGTCTGATTATAATATAATTTGGCATGCAAGCAGATTACACTGAGATACATAATTAACAGTTTTGTGTTTTTGATTTTGATGATTTATGTTTCCATAGTAATTTAAATTGAAAATTCAGTAAAATTTTATTAAAAGCTACTCCTACAGCTGTAGTCTTTTTGCAATCTTGCCTCAAAAAGAGTATTATTCAAGGATCATTATAATTCTATTTATTTCTTTTGTAAAGTTTTAAGTCCCAACTGCTACTTTTCTTTTCTTTATTATACCGGTAAGTACAAACCAGTAGAGCTACAGTCTCGACAGAGACTTCTGGTTTAGTATAAGTATAATATTTTGTCCAAGAAATGGTAATATCTAAATTTTTGTTTCTGTATTAATGTATTGAATGTTTTTGCCTTTCATTGTATTGTGAGCCTGTAAACATTCTGAAATAAAACGTAACAGTATAATGAAGTCAAGTTTAAAAACAGCATCACAGCACGAACATTTGCCTTGCTTTTGGAATTCTGGAATTTCCCATTTTTAAAAATTATCCGACAGCGGTGTGTATAATGTCGTAATTATTCTAAATATCGACATTTTTGATAGCCTCTATATAACTCGGTAGTTTCACTGTGGAAACCTGGTGGATATCAATAGATTTCACAATTATTAGCAACACAAAGAGATTATGAACTCAAAAGTGACTTAGACTACAGGATACATGTTAAAGTGATGTCTTCCAGGGAAAAATCCGGGGAAATAAGAAATAACTATTATCCCTGTGAGGTCCGAGTTTTACCCTGTGATGACGAAGAAGAAGCCTCGGGTCAGCACAGATCGACATGGGGGCACCTGTGGGCGGATTTTGTTTCCTCCACTACTCTCCACGGGATCCGGTACATATTCTACCAGGAAACCTATATATTACGAAGGTAATTACTTTATTTACATTTCTGTATCGTAGGTCGATATTTATAATTTGAAGTGCCTTCATTCAGGTCGTCATTCAAGTGACCTTAATCAGTAAACGGTACTTTAATTTTACATTGAACAATGCATTGAAATACAAGGCAATAAGACCTGTAAAGGATGATGCTTTTTTTGTATTGTTTTTATTTTTGTATATTTCATTGCACTCATCTATATTTTTGCTGAGGAATCTCATTCAGCTTTAATCCAATGTGGGGATTTCAAATAAAAAAAAAACATGATCTGTATTCTAAGTACACTTTCAGATAAGATCTGGTTTTTCTGAAGAAAAGATGCCCTTCTTTCTGTTTTTGTGACCTAATCTGATCTAACTTCAGCTAGAAGCAAATTTCAATTTTTAGGTTTCTAGACAACTTTTAGTGCGTGTAAACTTTGAGGCATCTGTGATTTTGCAATTTCGACATCTCAATATCAGACGGTTCAGAGCTTATTTTGTTAACGTTTGATCCAACTGAGGTATCTGGATACACTGATAAATAATTGTAGATTTTGAACTAACCTATGTGATAGGAGAATGATTTAAGTTTTGAATTAATTTGAAATTATGTACATTGATGTAAGCGACATATTGGAATGGACTTTTTATTAAAAAAATATATTTCAGCCTTTCTATCAATGAATGAATCGAGTGCAAGGATTAAAATGTGTATTATTTTTATACCCTACGTGTAGTTCTCATTTAGATTGCCATAAAATATTTCAAAAACGAATAAAGGTTATCAAAATGATGCCTGATTAAAAAGAAAAGATTTTATTGAAATATACAGAGAAGATAATTGATTTTTCATTTCATATACTCTTTTCCTTTACATTTCAATAGCTTACTTATTTGCTTAATCGTATCAATAAAATCGTGCATAGAATTCGCTTTAGATTCAAATTCAATTTAGACGCAAAATTTCAAAGAATGAGTCTTTCGGAAATGTCCTATAACTCCTTTTTAAATGTCGATTCTGGATAGGAAGTTTAACTGATAAAGATCTGATCACAGAAGTTAAATCTGCAATTCAATGGGTCGCATTATCCCAGTAATGGCATCATATAAATATCTTTAAGTGCTTCGGCGATTCATTAACCGGTTTGTTCTTAGAAAGACCAAAAACTAATATTTGATCTATTTCAAAGTCAGGAATGATAGATACTGATATAAAGGCAAACTGTTAGGAATGAAATGCATTCATTGTTCAGGAATCAAAACTCAGGTGATGGTATTATATATTTTTAAATCACAATTTCATAGTTTTTGTCTCATTGACATTATTTTTGTTTTATTTGATTATGATATTTGAAACAACCTTTTATGATATGTCAATTACAATGGATTTTATACATTCATTACCTCTATGTTAAAATATTTTTCAACTTACATCATGCATAATTCGGTAATTCTACCCTATAACCTTTAAAATTGATAATGTTAATAATACAATGAGGTCATTAGTAATCAGTATCAGTAGCTTTTAAAGTCAATTACTGGAGTAATTTACGTGACATTTCTAGTTTTCAATGAACACCTCGTGAAGTTTTTGCGTTATAAAATTTTAGATAATATGTTAATGTAATGGCACTTAGTTGGTGAAAAACCCAATATTTCTATGATTTCGTTAAAATTATTGTTAAATTCACATTTTTCATTATCTTTATGCTACATTGTTGCACATTTTTTTAATGGATTTAATTAGCTTTACAAGTACATTAAGACGAAACAATAACCCTCAAATAAAATGATTAGGGGTCTTTATGCAACATTAAAAAACCCAACCAAAGAAAAATATTTTTGGTGAAAAATCTATGGCACGCCAAATTCACAAAAATGAGATAATCATAGCACATTTTTCTACAAATCGTAAACTATAGTTAACAACGTTAATCTATATTTCACATCTGTAAATTGAAAAATCTATGTTTCACAACCGTAAACTATACTTAACACCGAAAACAATCATTTGCGATTGCAAAACAAAATTTAAACGTGATTTGTAAACTTGTTTACAATTAACTATAGTTAACAATCTGATAAATATAGTTTCACAATTTGTGAAATATGATTAACCTCTTAACTATAGCTAATGTAAACTATAGGTGAGTTTATCATCTATTGTTAACGTTTTATTACAGACAGATAAACTTAAATTAACATTTGTAAACTATAGTTAACAACCGTTAAATATAGTTTTATATAGTTTTAGTTTCACAATTTGTGAAACAAATCTTAATACTATTTAAAAATAGTTTACAAACGTGAATCTATGTTTATCAACAAAATCTATTGTTAACGTTTTATTACAGACAGATAAACTTAAATTAACATTTGTAAACTATAGTTAACAACCGTTAAATATAGTTTTATGAAAACTATACTTAACGAATCGTTAACTATAGTTTACGGTTTGTAAACTATAGTTTACAGTCGATAAACCTAGTTTATCAATTGTGAAACTATGATTATATCATTTTTGTGAATTTGGCGTGCCATAAAAATCACTAGGTGCCATTTATTCTACAAACGCAGGCTATAAGAAATTGAAAAATGACCCACCCTCATACTTATAGAAAGAAACAAAATGTAAACATTATTGGCAAATTCCAATGTTTGAGTGAAATACCGATAATAAGGAGATATAGAACAGTTTTCGCCCACAACATTTCATTCAAATAATACATATCAGGAGCAAGCAAACAGGGACCTCAAAAACATCAAAGATGGTGCAGCTCTTGTCAAACCATCATATCCACCGTGTGCTCCTTGTCATAATCGGAAAATAACGAAAAAACTTGTCGACAATTCAGCACTCGGAGTTCCTTTCTTTCTGATTTAGTCATGTGATATTTTTTGAATTTCATTCAAATATCATACATTTGAAATCTGAAGTACTTTGTGGCACGCCCAGCTCTTAGTTCTAGCTTTCAAAGCCTACTAACATAAGGTTGTAGCCAACGCCTATTTACAATGAAGAATTGGATAAATTAAGATACCTCTTCGAAGAACTTTGTGCAGAGCGAAAAATGAAATGAGTGACAATTTCTGGCGGAGAAATGTATCGACCTGATGCGTATTCCTCCACCTATCACATCCAAAGTTTGAATGGAGCGTATAGCGAAGTCAGCCGATTGACAATTCAGTGTGTAAATAATAATTGTTATGAAAAATGTCAGTCATCATTTGACACAAAGATAGATTGTATTTTCTTACGTCAAGGTCTTTGTATTGACCATAGAACGTACGAAATGAAGACTTTATAATTTAACGTGACTGTTGATATTCTTCTATTGTCAACCTGTTTTTCAATATAACTAATAATCATATGTAGAGCATGCTCTTACATATCAAATCAAGTGAGAGAAATAAACTCAATATGCAGGTGATAAAGGTATATTGCTGCGTAAGTAAGAGAAGTTGACGGTTGGAAAGTTAAATTCATCACGTTTATCATATAAAGCTTTGTTTTTAGGTTACCATTAACGTCTTTTCTGGTAAAATACCTAAGTATAAAATAGATGTGTCAGACTCTGTGGTATCTTTTATTTCATGCTCACAGGGATATATCATGTCGACATATAAATGAAAAATAACTAATGTTAATTGATGATATGTGATATATCTAAATGTCGAGTTGAAGGCCACAGCAAGTGTTTTCTTTTTCTCAGTTATTAGATTTTGAATAAATTCTGTTTTGTATGAAAAATAGGAATTTCAACAGACAGTCAGAAGGCCTGATCTCCAAAAACCACATCGATATTGTCATTCAGAAACTCAAGTTATTGGTATAAGTTGGATTACCACTTGTGGAATTAGCACAAATCCAAGATCCTCTAAAATACAATTAAAATGATGAGCCTTTCAAACAAAGATAATGTTTTTACTTGTTTTGTCAGCTGGGACCAGTACACACTGATCGTGTAGTCTATCTTGTTCATTTTTCACTTCTGAAATGTTGAATACAGAAGGTCTCAACGTTAAATTTTCTTACGTTTTTGATGAACACTGGACGAATAGCAATTAGAATGTAAGAAACAGCATTATATGTGATTTTTATACCTACATGTATTGGGATGTTGGACTAGAGAAAGTGAATGATAACAAGCTAACAATAAAGAGTTGACTTCACAACTTATCATCATCATCCCTAAGCCTATTTAAGTGACAATGTACCACTATCACCTGTATATATGAGTTAAACCATGTTCTACGTACAATTTCTTGTATAACTTGATAATACAAGGATATATTAGTCTCGTTTAATTAACATCAGTGTTTCGCAATTTCTGTGAATGTCACAGTGTCCTTATTTGCAAATTAAATCTATCATTAAGTTGAATGTTTACTGATAATTTTTATGCCATCAATGCTACACGGAATTCTCTACAGACTTTTCAATTTCCACGACCATATGACAGAGAGCCTTTGGTGGGTGTTAATGGTCTACAGGGGGTGCTTTCTCCTTCATATCAACTAATTCCATCTCTGATGCTCACTTCCCTTAAGCACTTGGTCCCACTTCTGGAATTTCCAGAGTTAGATGTGATTCACGCCCTTTTCACATATTTGTTTGTAAATTATTTGAAATCGATCACTGCACATTTTCGTCACCGTTTACATTCGCCCCACTTTTCAAATACGTTGTTGAACAACACTGGTGAATTTGAATTTTTTGTGAGGAATAAAGAAAGAGGTCTTGCAGAAAACCTACTAAAACCCGCTATTTATCGTTGTTTGTAATGGGTTTATGTAATTTGGAACTCCTACACACGTATGTTAGTTTCAACGCGAAATGGCTTTTGGTAATATTAAACACATTTTAAACCGACATCCATGCTATTTTACTAAGAAAATCCTACTAAAATAGCTACTCGATCATAGAATACAATAGAAAGTAAAATCGTGTAAATCGTTTATTAATAATCTTCGAAACTCGTACGTTAATTCTAACTAATTCAATACAGACATGTTTTCCAATGGACTCAGCTGGAGCATCGTTCATAATATCTATTGCAAATCGTGTACTAAACAGTTTTTAAAGTATTATGTGCAAACACATTCGTTTATCTGTTGCCTTGAATCCTGCAATTCTTCACAAACATGATAAACACAGACCTTATTGTTCCCATCAAGACAAATAAAAAAACTTTCAAAGACATTTAAGTGGATTTTTGTTTCTAAATGGTGAAAAATGAGTTACCTGTAACAATTCAATGGACATTTAAATGGATTTTTTCAAAGATAATTTATATTCTTCATACATAACTCATGTTAAATTTGATTTTTAAAAATAGTTAATGGTTAACAGATAATTGACTTAATTCTTAACACTCCGGGAGGTTCCTTTATTAGGCCCTTAATGGTAAGACTATAGCTTTTATCTGCGTCTGTCTGTATGTATGTTTGTCTGTCTGTCAGTCTGGCCCACTTAGTTTTACACACTTTTTTCTAATCGCTTGTTGATTTTGAGGGCTGATTCTTCTTAAGAGTGTATCTTGGTGAGTTACAAATCAAATTTACATTTCATTCCGCTTCAATGATTTTTGACGGAATTACAAGCTTTGCATTTTTTTTTTTTTTTTTTTTTTTTTTTTGTTTTTTTTTTTTTTAATTTTTTTTTTTTTTTTTTTTTTTTTTTTTTTTGGGGGGGGGGGGGGGGGGGGGTATGTGGCTTCACCTTGATATAGTTTGCATGATTTTTGACGGAATAATTATAATAGCATTTTTAATTTTTAATTTGAACCAGATAATACTTGCCAGTAGGAGACAAGAATTGCTAAATAAATGCAATAGTTTCTCTTCTCTTAAATCTCTTGTATTTTCTTCCGATTTTGAGAAAATTACGAGAATCCAAATTAAATTGTGATATCTTTATAACGCAATTGACTTAGATTTTGTAATTTACGGAAAAGTTTTATCTTTATATAAAGTAATGAAACAAATAATAAGTTCTTATAATTTTAGTCTAGCAATTTTTATTGTACATACGCCATATATGGCTTATAGGGTAACACATGTGTAAATATACAAATAAACAATCGTACATATTCATATTCAGAAATATTCCTTATTGATATCAATGGTCAGAAACTCACACATTTCGAATTCAAGACACATATCAATAAAAAGGTTACATGTAAGATGACTAATTTCTTCTTTCTAGAAAACCGTGTTCAAGCCAGTAATGATTGAGTACCAATTTAATTATTTTTCATTATTTCAGGTTGCTGTGGACAGTATTGATGTTGTTTTGTATTACCTTGATGTCGTATCAGATTATAGACAGAATCATGTACCTACACAGTAATCCCGTCAACGTTAACGTCAAAATCAACTACAACCAATCACTGACCTTCCCCGCCGTTACTATCTGTAACCAAAACGCATTCAAGTAAAGTCTATTTCATTTATTTTGTTTCTTTGTTTTATTTTTGTTCGTTTGTAATTGTAAATTATCTTGGTAAATTGGGAATTTGATCATTTGTGTAAATTTATTGAAAATTTGATAGATTTGTCAGCTAATTCACATGTTATTTAAATGTTCAAAATGTAATATAAAATTTGTTTATGATTATACTTTAGCCATAATGATTATATTTCATTGTGCTTACTAATGCTTTTTATAGAGCTACAACTGCAGCCGAGAGGAATTGGTATCGTCTTATAGAGACTATGTACAATGGAAGCTCGAAATCTTTCTCACAGAGGGACCTAGACAGGTTCCACGCCTCCACTCTGACATTCAACCAACTCTTCCAGCAGGCCTCTCACAGAAAAGAGGACATGATTGTAAGGTAATGTGAGTAGCTTTTACCTGTATGTGATGTTTACATATCCCAACTTATTAGAAACTCAAAAGCATGCTCAGAATCAGATTAAATTCCTCAAAAGTGCAGGCTCTTGAGACATAAGTTGATGTTACAGAGGTTTCAATAACCTCCTTTAAAATCGGCATTTAGTATAATTATTCTATGGTCGTTATAATAACCTTGTCGGCAAATATATAAACCTATCATTTGGTCATAATTAGGCTGACTTGTTTCATACCAAATGCTAAGCCTTGGTTGTTTTATACTGAATTTGAGTACAAAATGTTCCGTCGACCTAATCAATCCATAAGGCTCACGGCGGGTGTGAGCTTACTCCTTCCAGGCACCTGGTCCCAGGATCATGAAACAGACTTACCCCTGGTAGACTTAAGTCCAATTTTCTATCGCCTGTAAAATGTTTATTCATTATTGAACGAATCTCTAATTTTGCAGATAACAACCCTTTTGTAAAGCAATATTAAAAAATATTTAAGTTTTTGTCTACTTTACTTAATCAAAATTCTAGTTCAGCATGAATAATTTGACTTAAAACTTAAGATGTTTCATGATCCTGGGACCTGACTCATCTGGAATTCCCAAGGTTCTGTATTTTATGCCCTTTTCACAGATTTGTATTGGTTATAGGGATTTTTTTTTTTAAGATTGATCATTGTATCATTTTTCATCGTTATTAAATGCCGTAAAAGACCTCAGAGAAAATTGGTTTCTGGTATGAATCATTTTGTAAATGGATAAAGGTACATGCAACATTTTATTTTAAAATTTGGAACTTTTCCCCACCCAGTTTCTTTATTTCAAAATCCTTTATTTATTTCTTTTGTATTGAAAACTTATTTATTAACTTTTTTGCTGTTTATAAACCTTTTGTTTTTTTAAGTTGCCGATGGGCGGATTTACCTTGTGGACCCAAAAACTTTTCAGAACAGCTGACGGACTATGGCAACTGTTACAGATTCGTGGCTCCAGAGAATTCCAGATCTACAGGTATGCATTGAAGATACATGGAATATTTACCGAAGAAGAGAAATACAAATTCTCTGAAGATGATATTAAAAAGATGATTGTTTCTGATTGACAATATCTGTATTTGGAGACAACGTCATAATTGCATCCCATTATAAGCAAAAAGCAAATCTATTTTTGTACATACACGAAATCAAATTTTTTAAAGATATGTATTATCAAGTAATAATAGTTACTTCCATTCATCAACTCGATATTTCTGTGAGCTTGAAATGAAAGATATCACGAAGTTTGACACATCTGTTTTTATATCTGAATATTTTTACTGTAAAAAAGACATTGTTGGTAACTAATTTCACAACAAAGCTTCCTGATAAACGTCATAACTTCAACTTTTCAATCAAAAACTTTACTTTACTTACGTAACAGTATACTCTTACCTCCTGCATATAAAGTTTATGTCTCTAAATTCAGTCAATACGTACGAACAATTTCTACAACGAGGAAAGCTATTGACAAAAACGTCGATGAAACTAGAATACAGCATAGTATAAAGTCATCATTTTGCAAGTTCTATGATTGATACGATAACCCTGTAAGTGAAAACAATCTATCATTGAGTCGAATGCTAACTGGTGTTTATACTAATTAATAGTCCATTAATTGCACATTGAATTTTCTACGATTTTTTTCTCAGTGGGTATGGCTTGTTAGTAGGGTATGCTCACATATAGCAACTGATCCCATCATGTTTGCTCTGCTCCTGATTTGAATATTTTGAATAGATTTTGAGCAACAGCTGAATAAGCCCCTATCTATGTTATGTGTTAAAACATGTAAGAGAAGGATATAAATTATATGTAGCTATTCAAAAATTCTATGCTTATTTCTCCTAGGCACCGGATCTCACCCGGTCTATGTTTTATGCCCATTTTACAGTTTTGGTTTGTTTGTAGGTCTGTTTGTAGGTGTTTAGATGGATCATTGATTGTTATCTTAACCTATTTCATTTTGGGTGAAAAAATAAAATAATTAGCAAAAAGCTTAAGAATTGACCATTGGTTATTTCATAATTATGTTGCAATAATATGGCACGCCGATTGGTTCAAAATTATTTTCTGCACGACCTTAAACAAAAATTACACGAGTAAGTAAAAACTTACACAAAGTGAGGAAAGTATACACAAAGTTATTGAAATTTACACAAACTACAGAAAAACTACACAATCAACAAAATATTTACACGATATAGTGAGAAAATTACACAAACAATAAAAACGAAAACTGCACGAGTGAGAATACAACATCAACATAATATACGACGCATCCTCATTGCGCACATTTCATTAATATTCATTAGAGAACAGCTCAGGGTGGCTTGGATGCTTTAAACATAAACCTATAAATTTATCCTAAAGGATGAGTAACGTGTTAGTAATATTTATTTAATCTTTTTAAAAAGGATTCAGTCTTTTAGAATTCCGCTAGACTCTCAAGAATATGTACAATGTGTTTTATGCATGTATAAATTTACAAACAATCTTAAGTATGGAATATGAACACCCCCGATTAAAAACATTCTACACATGTATAAATAACGTAAAAGGGATGCATATTACCAGATGTGTGTTTAATTGTTAGATTTTTAAATTGTGTCATTCCTCTATCATTGTCTATATAGCAATTTCTTTTGAAAGTGTAAAACATTGATATAGTAAAGGTCTTCATAAAATTAATAAAATCAGCATGTGATGTAACACAGGGCAGTTAACAACAAATCAAACTCTTCTCCTCTACCACCCACTGTGTGTACGTCGGTAATAATTTACAATTAGACAAGGGTAAGGTACTTACCTGAAGGATAATTGGGATTATCCGAGTCCTCGTCGTACATTCAGAGCTAAATATACAGTATCCAGCGCATGCGCAGATAATGACCACTTATTCATGGAAACAATAAAAGATTTCCCGCCACTACTCTCCATAGTTGAAAAGTGCTAAGAAAAAGGACACAAATAATTGCATGTGATACACATAAATATGGGATGGGCAGGGAGGGATTTAGCTCTGAATGTATGACGAGGACTCGGATAATCCCAATTATCCTTCAGGTAAGTACCTTACCCTTGTCTAATTGTAAATTATCCTTCGTCCTCTTACGTACATTTATAGCTAAATATGCAGACTTCAAAGTAGTTAAACATGTATAATTATATAATTATAAAATTACTTCTTACCTAACTAGAGGACTTTAAAATTGCCTTTCCAAAGGAAACGTCAGATGACACAGTGATCTTCTTATAGAACTTGTTGAAGGTGGATGCATTCGACCAATTAGCCACATTCATAATGTCTTTCACTGAAAGTCCTGCTTCTAAAACTGCTGAAGTAGATGCACTTCGAGTGGAATGGGCACCATATCCACTTATCCCAGATCTAATCAACACAGACTTAATCCATCTGGCAATTGTACTTGAAGTCACTTGTTTTTGAGGTTTGAATATTGAGATAAACAATATCGAGCTACTACGCAAGTCATTATTTCTTTCATTATAACATTGTAAAGTTGATGAAACACACAATTTCTTACACTTAGTGTAAGTTGGTAATACTACATGTTTGGCTGGCTTGCCAGGTCTTGAGGTTTTTGTAAGTTTGTTAATCACAAAAATTGCCTTTGATGGGAGAATCTTTAAAAATTTTAGATCCAAAAAGGCAATGGATTGTCCCCTATCTGCAGACACCAAAGCTATTAAAATAGCTAATTTATATGTCAAATCCTTAAGTGACAAATTGTCATTACACGGTAATGAATTAAGAAATTTCAGGACAACTGAAACATCCCACACACATGAATATTTAGGAACGGTAGGTTTTAAATTATATACACCTTTCATGAATTGAATAACAGTTGGGTGCTTTCCAACAGGAAAGCCATCAATTGGTGGAATAGTGGTAGATAGTGTTGAACGATAACTGTTAATTGCACTATATGATTTGTTTTTCTGAAATTCACAAGACAAAAATTCCAAAACGTCGACTTTAGAAACTTGAAAGGGATCCAAACTCCTGCTGCCACACCAGCCCAACCACAGTTTCCATGCAGATTGGTACTGTTTATTAGTTTTAGTTCTCCATGCTTTGCTGAGAATTTCTGCTGTTTTCTTCGAAAATCCTCTTGTAATGTAACGTCTCCGCACACTGTCCACGCGATTAATTTGAGAGTCCTCTCTAACGGGTGTATCTGTTCTCTGTCGTACGGTAGTGTTAACATGTTGTTCACCACAGGGAGAAGAATTGGATTCCTGCAAGACAGATGAAGAACCTGTGGATACCATGGTTGAGTCTTCCAAAAGGGAGTTATCAGTATTAATAGAGGATTGTCTCTTATTACTTTCTGAAGAACAGCAGATATTAGGTTGAATGGTGGGAACGCAAAGGCTTTCAGGTTTGTCCAAGGAATTAAGAAAGCATCCGTCTTCCAGGCCAACGGATCTGGTTGCCATGACACGTAACATGGAATTTGGAAGTTTAGACGACTTGCAAACAAATCCACTTGTGGATGGAAAAGTTGTCGAAATATCTTGTAAGTTAGGTCCTGATTTAACTGCCATTCCATTTGATCCATAAAATGTCGACTCAAAAAATCTGCATTCGTGTTCTCTACTCCTGGAATGTGTACAGCCGTCAGATGAATCTTTCTCACAATTGCCCATTCCCAAATTTCCTTTGCCAGGGAGTTCATTGACATTGAGCATGTTGAGTGAGTTCCTCCCATGTGATTCAAGTAAGCTACGGCCGTTTTGTTGTCTACTTGAATTTGAATATTCTGGCCATAAATCTGATCTGCTGCTGTCATCAGCACAAAGTGAACTGCTTTCAATTGCATATTTAGCTATGAATGTACGTAAGAGGACGAAGGATAATTAAGGATGTGGATGCGTGACCTTTTCATATAGAGAGAACCCTCCCTGCTGGTGAAGGAATGAAAGACACCTGTACGCTAATCTATTTATAGTTATTTGACACATCAATAATACCTTTTGATTAAGGATTACTAGCAATTCATACAGAGATTTTGAAGCATTGTTGCGATCATCTGGGTTGTGGAATTTGACAGAAAACTTTTGGGAAATAAACAGGAAAAAATAAAAATAAGGCAAATAATTGCGCAACTTTAAGTTTTATATTGAAACGATCGAATATAATTATGAATTTTTTTATATAATTATGTATGTGACAAAGTAGAACATGTAGTCTTTAATTTTGAACAATGTGTAGTGATTTCATAAATATCCATGTAAATGTAGAAAATTGTATGTAAATTGTAGTCGTTTTAGTTATGTGAATTTAAGCTTGATATATAATGTTTTTATCGAGTTTGCTTTGAATAAGTAAAATGCATATAAAGGAGTTAAAACAATTTAAAATTATGATATACAGACACATATAATATCGGTATAGCATCACTTTTAATAGTGGGGAGGGGGTTAGAATTTTTTTTGACAAATTACCTGAAAAGTCTAATTGCATGACAAGCGAAAAAAAAGGCGGGGGGGGGGGGTGTCCAAACTAGAAAATCCTATTTCGTTGAGGTAGTGAGGCACCTTCAATATTCCACATTCTTTTCGAAACACATAAGCATATATTACTTAGATTTAAACTACCAAACAAAAAAGGGGATGAGTATGGAACGCCATCACTGCCTTATAGCATACAACTATGCATTTATTATGTCAATTTATCATTACATGATGTGAACATATCTTAACGTTATGTCCATTTTTTATGAGATGATGTAAATATATCTTAACATCATGTCAATGCTGCATTACATGAAGTAAATACATCCTTTCATTATGTCAGCACTTCATAACTTGAAGTAAAAAATTCATTATATGAAGTGATAATGTGTTTACATTGTGTTAAAACTTTCTTGCATGAAATGAATTTTTCTTTACATCATTTCATTTCTTTAAAATATGAGGTCAAAACTGCATTACGTCAAGTAAATTGTGTTTTATAATTAAACTTATCATTACACGAAGTCAAAAGCCCATTCCTTTTTGAGAATGTATATTTCTATTATATCAAAGCATTATTACGTGATATGGATTTATCTTTATTTTACGGCGAGGGCATCATGATATGAGGTGAACACATCTTACCTTTATGTCAGTGCTTTATTATGTGGTGTAAAAAGTGTATAACATAATGTGAACATATCTTTATATTATATCAATACTTTATTACATTATGTCAAAACTCCATTCCGTGATGTGGATATATAATTACGTTATGTCAACTCTTTCTTATGTGATTTAAAAATATCTTTATATTGTGTTAACTCTTTATCGTGTTGATTCCAAAAGTTCATTACCTGATGTTAAAAAACATTTACATTATCTAAAAGCTGTATATCTAATATATAATGAATGTTGACGACCGTGATTTAATGAGTAAGAAGGGGGGGGGGGTCCTGAATGATTAGGACAAGTTACAGGCACATAATATCATCCCCCCCCCCCCTCACTATAGAAAATGTAATGTTCATTGAAACGGTACAGCCCCCACCCCCACTTTTTGTTGAAGTATAATCCACTAAAGGTATTGTAATATATCTGGAAAAAAATAGGACTGATCGAAGTTGGACCCCTCTCCCCGAAACAGCATTTTCGGGCTTGGACTTTTTTTTTCTTGGCTTGTCAAGTTTTTTCGGGTAAATGATTTTTTTTCTGGCTGACCTCCTCTTTCAAAAAAAAGATTGTACGTCACTGGAGTTAGTAATTTTTTTTTAATCATTCCAGGGCCAGAATTCTATTACAAAAATCTACCAGTCGCTCATCTAAATCAATTGAATATGCCTTAGTAAGCATGCATGGGCACATATCAGTGGCAGATATGGGAATCTTGAAACAAGGGGGACGGTATATGGTTGGAGACCAAGGGCGGAAAGCGGAGAAGCTCTCAGGCTTAATAGTTTTATAGAAAAAAAGTTTGCAACTTAATTCAGCTAAGCTTATTGTGAAACTAATGCAATGTCCTTCAAAGTTTAAGACTTTTATTAAAAAAAAAGAATCAAAATAAAAAGAAAAAAAATTATTGCTGCACGACTCATAATATTTGATTTATTTAATTATGAGATTAAAGTAAACACCACTGAATTTCGACGTGACTTTAATTAATCTCTTCTACGACAGTTTTTCTCCCGCCATTTTTAGTGCTTGCGGAACGCGGAAAATACGTTATGCTCATATAAAGACCGAGGATACCCGTGTTCGCATAACGTAATAGTGAATCGACATAATGTAGAAGAGTGCGCACAGTATGGCATGAGCTTTTCACATCAGTTAATAAAAACTAAGATCTCATGAAAAGTAAACATAACGAAATGCAAGTTGACGAAATATAATTGTAGTATGTGTAAATGTCATAAAGAGTTGACATAATGTAGAGGAAAGTTAACACGATGCAATAATAGTGTGGGTTAATGTCATAAAGAGTTGACATAATGTAATGGAAGGTTGACACAATGCAATAGTAGAGTGGATTAATGTCATAAAGAGTTGACATAATGTAATGGAAGGTTGACACAATGCAACAGTAGTGTGGGTTAATGTCATAAAGAGTTGACATAATGTAATGGAAGGTTGACACAATGCAATAGTAGTGTTCTGCTATAAGGCAGTGACGGCGTTCCATAGATGAGGCTTTTCAGTGGATATTTACGATAGAAAAAGGTTATGTTTGCCAAAGAAAAGAAAACGAAAAGGGGGAGGGACATGCCCCTCCTGATGCTACTAGCTGAAATATTTTTCTATGAATTTAAGCGTACATGAAGTAGTCGATCGAAATCAGGATTGCAATTCAACCTAAAACTATAACGATAAATATTGTAATTTACCGTCCATATCCTGGAATTTGCGCTCGGCCTAACAACATTTAAAAATTGAAGGTTAGGGGGTCAACCAGGATATTGGGTTGAAAAGTGTTATTACAAAAAAACTTAAATTTAGTGTTTGGGAAATAATAAATTATTAAAATTTTATGAATACGAATTCTGAATGTAAAGAGAATTTGTTTTCTTTGAAAATATTTGCAAAAATTGTGCTCTATTTGGAACATGATTTATATGCATTTTTCAAGAATGATAAAACAAGTTTTATATTCTTTTCATTTATTATCAAACTGCAGTATCCATTCCCATTTTATTTATGACATTGTATGTAGATGTATTTAGTAATTCACAATGTTTTTAAAGTCTTGGTGTGTCATTATGGTCCAACGATTTGAAACTTAAATAAATTTATACTGGGACTCCAATCGATCCACGAGCCAGGTCCGCCACTGATCATGTGTTTTTCCTTAGCCAGGATTATTTGAGTAGAGTTTTGTTATTTCATTTGGACAAATTTAATTAACAAAAAACAAAAGCGCATGTACATAGAGTATATAAGTATATTCTCCGTTTATCTGGTCCTTTTTATTATAAATGAAAACATTTATCAAGTAATCGCCATTGCGAATAAGGGCAACGCTTACAAGAAATATCTTGTTTTTATTTCGAAGTTTATAACTGAAAATATGAAATATCATGGAAAAAATCATAACAAAAAGTAGGCTACAGATATCCAACCAAAATTGATATCGGATATTTTATAAGTTTGGATACATATGTAAATAGAAATAAAATATTTTTATGTTTGACATTAAAAATACGTTGTGTACATCTAAGGTAATCCTCACTTTTTAAATTTAAAATTGTACACATTTGTATATATCCAGCCAACTGAATATTTAATTTCCTATTCCGAAATGGGGGAAAAATCTCCTCAAATGATTTTTTTAAATCAAGATCCTTGTCAGCCGTACTGTAGTTCATCGTTAGGTACTTTTAGTTCGGAGTCGAGTGCATCATACTCAATGGTACTTTTTTTTTAACCCTGCATTGTAGCACAAACGTACCAATTCATTCTTGTTACAATTTTTGTCCGGCATCATATAATACATCCTTGATCTCGGTCAATATAAGAAATTCATATTATTTTCAAAAAGCTTTTAAATACTCTCGCATAGATCAGATGGAAACACTTCATTCGAAATCGGATTGTAAAAAAGCAACTTCCATTCTCGATAACATTCAGCTTAGCATACATGAAGAGATAAAGAGTACAGAAAACCAAGAACACTATGAATATTCTATGTGCATAGTAATGATATGCGCAGCTGTATGCGCAGTAAAATTGTTTGTGTAATTTTTAGTTTCCTCTGCTCGTGCAATTTTGTTTGTGCATATTAAACCCTTTAATCGAGTAAAAAAATTCGGATTCGTGTATTTTTCGTTATGTTTGTGTAAAAACCTTTTAAACTATGTGCAATTTTTACCGATACGTGCATTTTTATTTTACTCGTGTATATTTTTCTTCTAGTTCGTGTATAAAATCGTGATCGTTGTGCAGAAAATAATTTTGAACCAATCGGCGTGCCATACAATAAAGCCCTGAGTATTGTTATTTTTTAATAAGGTGCAGACAATGGCCTGAAGTTGCTGTTGAATGTAGAACAGTATGAGTACATGCCAGGACCTAATGAAGCAGCCGGTGTAAAAGTACTCACTCACGTAAAAAACGATCACCCAAGGGTCCGTGAGCTGGGCATCGCTGTACCCACGGGGACACAAGCATTCATAGGTCTTCAAGTCATACTAGTAAGTATGTACATCTATGCTACCAAAATTGTACAATTAATTTGAATTTCGTTGTAATTGTTAAAGTGTTTTGAAAGTTTGTAAGCACGTTTCAGTATTCGAAACTTTTTGGACTTCTTTTATTGCGTTATATGTTTGAATATGTACAAGTGCAAATTCATTTTTTGAAAGAAGATGAGGAAATGATTTGCTAGTTTGATATTATTTAGAGCGTCTATCTTTTCTCATGAAAATTTACCTACATTTCAATCATCAGAAAGATATTTCTTTCTAGGTGCACAATCTAGAGAAACCCCACGGTCAGTGCCAGTATAAGTCTTTGAAGTTCTTCCCCCATTACTCGTACGATTCCTGTTTGGTGGAATGCTACACGGAGGTGTCTGCTAGACGGTGTGGATGCCGAGATTACTACATGCCCAGCCTAAACGGTGAATTACTTTCAAAAATTGAGGTTTAGAGCGTATTGGGAATGCAGGATATCTAATAATGATACTTTCTCCATGAAACACTTATACTCAGATTTCATTAAAAGGTTTTCTCAGATTAACAATATTTATTTATACCTGCAATTCAATTTATGCTTAATTTCGAAATACAATGCAATTTACCCTTGATTTTCATCATTAGATTTGTAACTAGCCTAAATTGTCAACTTATTTTTCTGAGTTTTTCCTAATTAGTCACATGGGAAATAAATGAAAGAAAACAATCTCTCCAGTAATAAATTGGCACTTTGTTATTATATATATGGCACGCCAAATTCACAAAAATGAGATAATCATAGTTTCACAATTGATAAACTAGGTTTATCGACTGTAAACTATAGTTTACAAACCGTAAACTATAGTTAACGATTCGTTAAGTATAGTTTTCATCTGTAAAACTATATTTAACGGTTGTTAACTATAGTTTACGAATGTTAATTTAAGTTTATCAGTCTGTAATAAAGCGTTAACAATAGATTTTGTTGATAAACATAGATTCATGTTTGTAAACTATAGTTTACAATCGTAAACTATAGAAGTCGCGCATAGTATTGGGGTTTAAAATTGCGTAACTCGTAACACTGTAAACGACGGGCGTAAGTATTTTTGGTCACTTCATCGTTTTGGCTACATCGATTTTTCTGCCAATTCGTACAATGCTTTTATAATGTCCTGTGATGATGTCACACAACATTCATTAATAAATTTCCAATTTACTGACTGATTCCGACTGTTCCTAATATTGAAAGCATTCTGTAATATGCCGTGATCTTGATAAGAAAGTATAAAATGTTTGGTAATGATTTTTTACTATATAACAGTTTCTTTTCGTAAGACTAATTTGATAAATAAAATGTGCAAATCAAGAAGTAGTGAAATAATTCTTTTAAAAAATAAAAGCAAGTAGTAGGAGAAATTAATAGAGCGATTTTGATGTCTAGTCGGTTTTGTTACTACGACACAAATGTGCGTATGATCTGGTATTTAACCGTACATATAGCATCAATAAGAGCTTTTCGTTATTTTCTGGAAAACGTGTAACAGATCAAATCTCACTTTTAAAATGTGCAAGTAAATAAAATTTTGTATTTAAAGAAACACAAAAAAGCAAGACATTTGAAGAAAACAGGAGTAAAAATTTGACGTCTAGTCTAATTTGTTACGCCTTAAATTTGTGAAGTTTTTACGCTCAAACGGCGTATACAATAACGTCAGAAATGTACATTTTGACGTTACAAAATCAACCCCAATTCTGTGCGCGACTTCATAGTTAAGAGTTGTTAATCATAGTTTCACAAATTGTGAAACTATATTTATCATATCGTTAACTATAGTTAACGGTTTGTAAACTATAGTTTACAAATCGTGAAACTGTATTTATCAGATAATCTATGTTTTGCAATCGCAAATGATTGTTTTGTGTTAATATAGTTTACGGTTGTGAAACATAGATTATCGCGTTAACTATGGTTTACAGATGTGAAATGTAGATTAACGTTGTTAACTATAGTTTACGGTTTGTAAACTATATTTACAAGAAAAACCTATCTCTCGATTGTGAAACTATGATTATCTCATTTTTGTGAATTTGGCGTGCCATATATATAATTGACATTTTATCATGAAGAATATGATTCTTTTTAAAAATCCCCCAGGGTTGTGATGCTCGCCCTGCGCTATTTGTTACCCGTCATTGCTTTGATAGTTTTTTTGTGGTTTTTCTGTTGCTTTATTGATAATGCAAGACATTCCAATTTCAATCAAGATCTGTGATTTGTACATCCCTTTTCAAGTCCGCTACTGAACTTCAAAATCAGCTTTATCGTGTACAACGTATTGCTTTATTCTTCTTGCACATAAGAAAAAAAACAGAGAGTAAAAAAGATTTTGGATCTGATAGAGTTACATTGTATATACTCGTATAACCCTGTCTACGTTTAGGTCCGCTTAATGTCTTTTATGCACCACACTTCTGTTTGTATACTGGAGTAGATGTACAGTAAAAGTAACATCCTTGTTTTTTGCTTGCAGGTTTTCCTCCTCCTTGTGACCTTGAGCAATATTTTACATGTCTTAAACCTCTCTACGGTAGAACAAGTGTTTTTTACAAATATTGTAAAAATCGAATACGAATAGACTTAATGGAATAATGATTTTCAAGACAATGAAACAGAGGAATATACATTCCATATAATGCATATATACTTATTTCTATATGCTATGGATGACTATTTTTTTTTTTATTTATACAGATGATTTTTCGCTGTGGTTAGAGAGCTGTGATTGTCCTACCGACTGTGATTACACCATGTATGACCCCGTCATGTCATATGCAACAACGTCAGAATATGCAGGTCAGAGGTTTATGGACAAAATAAACGTAACAACTCTCAACTCAAAGCTCAAACGAGCGCGGGAAATTACACATCGCATGGACGCACGAAAACTAGAGACATTCAAAGAAAAAGTGAAACAAATGGAAAGAACTTTTGTAGACGTAAAACAGCTGATCGAAGAAACTATTCAGAAGCATATTATGAATCAAATTGGGAATGTAACAGAACATTACAAGAATGCCATCAGAGTTACGAACAGAAGAATACTACTGTTAAGATTTCAAATCTATAATGTTCAGAAAAACTTTATGAGGGGGAGGGACGCCATGGAAGAACGAACACTCTCCCATTTGTGTAACAGTTTCCATGAGTTTGTGTTTGCCTACGAGACAAATCTGCGAAATTTGATCACGGAGAATGATACAGCAATAAGAAGAACATTTTATGTGAGCACAATTAATATGGTAGACGTCCGGACAGAGAACGCTAAGAGAGCACTCGCTAACTTCACAGTTCTGTACGATGCCTATGTGACAGGAACGCCAATATTTAGATACAAATTCCAGAAGTTTGCAAGACGTTATAATAATTACATTGTACCCAGACCACTACTGAACGAGTCCACCTACCACAACCCGTAAGTCATAACTTACATAAATGTACTAATTTCATTTACTATTTATTCATTAAACAAACATTTCTTTTCCATCATTATTTGTATGAATTCAAAATTTCGGGTAAAACAGTGTTTACATTATTGTATTTTATCGCAAAAGTAGTGTACAAAATTGTCGCTGTACCTGTGCCTATTTTTTGCGTGTTTTTTCTGGTATCGATAAGAGTTTATTAGTATTAAGTTATCTTAGTTTTACATTGAAGGTATGCGAGAAGATACAGTGTAAAACTGGGAGATGACATCTTGAGCATCATGGATGCGCTGTCAAGCTACAGAAACTTGACTTGGGAAGTGTTTAGCGATGCGTCTCTTAATATCACAAAAATGAACCTTGTCAGTGGGAGTTTTATAGATGCATGTGAGAAATTTTACCACACAAAAAGTACTCTGTATTATGAGACGGTGGATAGACCGGAGAGAATTCTCAAAAAGAGGCTAGAACATACGGAGAAACAGAAAGCTGACTTGATTAAAATAAAATCTAGTATGTTGAACACTCTCGAGGATCTACAGAACACGTCCATAGAAATGAGAGGTGGTGTTTTGGTCAGAATGGAATCCATTTTGCAGGCGACATTTACATATTTTACATACAGTAATCGTTCAAAAATATCAGTTAGCGATTTATTTCACTCCAACGAATTTATATCTGACATTAGTCAACTGAGACAGTTTCTGCAAGAGATCGCAACTCGTGGTGCCCTTCTGTACGACCGGTGGCTATCATTGGCAACCAGAGTGAAACATATTTGGCAAGATATAATTAAAGATCGCGATTTGAAGGAATACTACGAATTCAAAAACTATACAAACTTTCTAAGGGATTTAGAAGACGTGAAAAATGAAATAGATAGCGACTTCCGACACGTGCGTGCTAAGGATGACATTCGGTTCATTGTTGGGAATAAAGACGTTTTGTTATTTGATGCAGTGGGAAACTTGCAAAGAGAACTGCTGAAATTTCAAAAAAGCACGATATTTGATGAGGAAGTCTTGAAGTATGAAATTTCCTCTCGAATTGACATATTTCACACATCACACTGTATGAAACTGTTTCTAATTTTTTTTAACCTTTCTTTGTAGGAATAACTTTCTGGAGCTAAATATATTTTACAGACAGTTGAGTTATGAAGAGATTACACAACAAGAGGCCTATGATATTTTTGCCTTGCTTTGTAAGTAATTCATACATTTAATATAATTTACTGTAATTACATCTTGATGTGCCTATTATTTTAAATCTAATACATTCTATCTTGTTTTTCTTTAGGTGATATCGGCGGATCCCTGGGCCTGTTTATCGGGGCCAGTGTTATGACTTTATTTGAGTTGTTTGATCTCTTTGGAACGTACATAGCGGATAGCAAAACGAGGAGCAAAAAAAATGTCAAAATAAACCAGTGATTTTTTTTTTTTTTGCATTCTCTTGATTAGTTTGATTTTGAAGATCTTTATATTACAGTGGAACGCAATGTAGAGGACAATTTATGACAAAGGTTTCTGAGTTATGAAAACTTTGGTAGATTTTTGGAATCACCGTTGGGTATGCCAGGGGACCTACAATAACGGGCAAAGAGATTCCTAATATTCATATTTAATTGGCCCCCGCTTTCATGAAAGCGAGGGGACAATAAATCTCAATCATCTGTCTGTCTGTCAGTATAGCTGTCCGTTTGTCACAAAAACTTTAGCCTACTTTTCCTACAGCTTTAGTCTGATTACAATAAATATTGTCACAAAAAGAAACTAAACCAACTAACATCATTCCATTTATTGCTGTTTTGCAGTGACAAGTGCTAGTGCTACTTTTCTCTTCCTTCGTTATAATTAGAAACCAGTAGAGCTACAGACACATTAGAGACTTCTGTTTCCCCTACAATAGGAAATTATATTTTAATTTTTCCCAAAAAAAATTATAAACAATTCTCTTTTTAATCAATGAAAAATATGGAGATAACGACAGTATTCAAGCTCAAAAGTCCATAAAACGATACAAATAGGAGCAGAGCAAACATGGACCTCCGAAACATCAGAGGTGGGATCAGGTGCCATGGAGGAGTGAGCATTCCCTGCTGACCGGTCACACCCACGGTGTTCTCCTTGTCATGATTGGGAAATAACGGGAAAATCCGTCGACAATTCAGTGTATAAATAATGGACCAACAATTAGTAAGAAAAACGTCAGTCAGCATTTGACGCAATGATAAACTGTTTTTGCTGATAAGGTCATTGTATTGACCATAGAACTTACGAAATGATGACTTAAAACGAGACAGCTGAAATTCTTGTTTCATCAACTTGTTTGTCGATAATTTACCTCTTTTTAGAAATTGTTCATTCGTAGAACATGTTCAAGATTGCGTATCGAATCATTCAACTGAGATATATTTGTAAATTCCGTATGCAGGTGAAGAAGGTATATTGCTATTAAGTAAAGGAAGTTGGCGATAGAAAAGTTAAAGTCATCACGTTTATCATAGAGCTTGGTTGTTAGAGTTTTCAAATAAAATATCCAAATATGAAACAGATGTGTCAGACTCTGTGGTATCTCAGTATATATCGTATCGACAAAAGAATGGAAATTACCATTGTTAACTGACAATACGTCGTCGATATATCTAAATATCGAGTTGAAGGCCACAGCAATTGTTTTCTTCTTTTCACGCATCAGATTTTACACAAATTCTGCTTCATGTGAATTCAAAAATAGGTCTGCTAATAACAGGGCGCAATGGGTACCCATGGGAATTCCAATAGTTTGTTGGAAGACCTGGTCTCCAAAAACAACACAGATGTTGTCAATCAGAAACTCAAGCATCATTTTAATGTCAACTTCAGAGTACTTGTGTATACAATCAGAATGTTTTTTAACAAAATAATTTTGCAAATGACCAATGACAAGGTAAGTAAATTTACGAGTTCCATTTTTATTGAAAAAGCAGCTGTCAATGATGTCAAAAAGTCTGGACTTTAATTTATCGTGGGGAATAGTACTGTATAAAGTTGAAAAGTCAGAAGTTTTTAAGCTGTTGATTTTGGTGAAATCTTGTGATTTCTAATTGTCCAAAAGTTCCTTGGAATTTTTAAATATCCACATCTGATTTACACCACTTCTTGAATATATTGTTGCACAGTATTCTTGAAGTTTCTCCTTCACTACTGTTAAAATCTTATTGAGGAGTAAAGAAAGAGGCTTAGTTGAACATTTACTGGAACCCGCTATGTATCTGTGTTTGTAAGGATTCTTATGCAGTTTAGGAATCCAATATATATATATATGGAAGTTTAAATTGGTTTTGGTGCTTTGGAATATTAAAAATATTCAAAACTGATATATGATTTTGAAGAATTTCTTCCTTAGAAAGGGAACTATGAGTATTAGTTGGATTACCACTTGTAAAATTTAATCCAAGTTCTTCTAAAATACAATTTATGTAATGAGCCTAACAAACGAAGACAATGTTGTTACATGCTTTGTCAGCAGGGACCAGTACATACTGATCATGTAATCTATCTAATTCTTTTATCACTTCTGGATTATTGAATACAGAAGGATATATGGTTTTCATAGTGCCCCTCACTCTTTTAATGCGCAATCTTAACATGGATCTGATACATTTCATCCATTCTGACAAAGTGTCAATGTCTTCTTTTTCATATCTGGCCCATCGCCTGGCGTAATCTTCAACAGAATCCATAACATTTTAACATGAAATTCCAATGCCAGTTGAAGGATCGGAGTTCCCTATATTTTGGACCTTTTAAAATAAGTGATCCAAGGTCCTCGTTATTAACAATAAAAACATATTTAAAAACATAGGTAATCAGAGATTACAGAGCTCACCTCAACAAATGTTGTCTTTAAGTAAGGCAAAGTCACAAAATTACCCAACAAAAAGTGTACATCTAAAAATGCAAAATTTATGCAATTTTGATCTAAAACTTTGGAATAGACCTATATAAAAACTTCAAACTAGTTCTTCAACATGAAAATGTGATCAAAATCCAGCATCTGAAGCAAGCTCGTTTAAGAGTTCTCATCCCTTGATGCATCATTTGGGCAAGTTTGGTTTATTTAAGCCTTATAGTTTCTTGGTGATAGACCTGCACCCATAACTTTTACCTGGTCCATTATCTGGAAATGTATGTCGAATTCAGCATCCGGAGCAAGTTCATTAGTATGCATCCTAAGATGTATCATCCATGCGAGTTTATGTCGAATTCAGCATCCGGAGCAAGTCCATTAGTATGCATCCTAAGATGTATCATCCATACGAGTTTGCACAACATATGGCTAATAGTTACTTAGAAATGAAACCTGCATAAAAATTTAACCTTTTCACTCATCCAGAAAAAAATGTAGGTCAGATTCAGCATCTGAAGCCAGCCTTGTAGAATGCAACCTTAGATGTATCATCCATGCAAGTTTGGTCATTATAGAGCTCATAGTTACTTGGAAATGAATCCTGCATCAAAAACTTTAACCTGTTCACTCATCCAGAAAATGTAGGTCAGATTCAGCATCCGAAGCAAGTCTGGTAGTATGCATCCTAAGATGTATCATCCATGCAAGTTAAGTCGTTATAGGGCTCATTGTAACTTGGAAATGAAACCTGCCCGAAAAACTTTAACCTGTTCACTCATCCAGAAAATGTAGGTCAGATTCAGCTTCTGAAGCAAGTCTGGTAGTATGCATCCTAAGATGTACCATCCATGCAAGTTTGATCATTATAGGGCTCATTGTATCTTGAAAATGAACCCTGCACCAAAAGCTTTAACCTGTTCACTCAACCGGAAAATGTAGGTCAGATTCAGCATCCGAAGCAAGCCTGGTAATGTGCATCCTTAGATGTATCATTCATGCAAGTTTGGTCAACATAGGGCTTATAGTTACTTGGAAATGAGACCTGCACCAAAAACATTAACCTGTTCACTCAACTGGAAAATGTAGGTCAGATTCAGCATCAAAGTCTGGTAGTGTACATCCTTAGATGTATCATCCATGCAAGTTTGGTCAAGATAGGGCTTATAGTTACTTGAAAACGAGACCTGCACCAAAAACATTAACCTGTTCACTCAACTGGAAAATGTAGGTCAGATTCAGCATCCGAAGCAAGCCTGGTAATGTGCATCCTTAGATGTACCATCCATGCAAGTTTGGTCAACATAGGGCTTATAGTTCCTTGGAAATGAGACCTACACCAAAAACTGCACCAAAAATGTTAACCTGCTCCAAAAACATTAACCTGGTCATTTCTTTGGTGAAATTGCAGCATCTGAAACTTTGACTGGAACAATGAAACACATTAGAAGCATCTTCCATGCATGTCTAATCAATATAGGACATAGAAGTACTTAAAAAGAAAACTGCTCCAAAAAACTTAACCTTAACCTGGGACGCCGACACAGACGCCGAGGGTATTACATAAGCTCCCCCAACTTCGTTGAGGTGAGCTAAAAACAAAATGAAATGTTATTAAAACAAAGTTTAAAGAAGCAAAAATCACACTCACAAAACATTCAATAATTTATTTATTTATAAATATTTATTTTCTAAAAAAGTCAAAATCACTGGTTCAAGTATCTCAAAAATAGTAACAATCAGACAAATGTATAATCTCTCAGCATCTTCAACAATAGACTATACCAATAATTCTTAATAAAACACTTTTTCAAACAATATACCGGTACGGTAGATTATATCACAATATGAGTACACTGTATATATGCAACAGTTCTACTAAAGCAAACCTGAGACTAAATCAATTTGTTTTAAACAAGAAATACCGGTATATAACAAAGGGAAAAAATTAAATAGTAAAATAAATAAAATTATATTTATGATCAGTACAGAAATGCAATTTTATTTGGCCTAGCAACAGCCTTCCAGAAAAAATAACAGAGTCTCAATTTTCACTTCTTCCATATTCAAATGCATTTTTGTTTTCTGAATGATGTTAACATACTTATCTTTCCAAATCATCAGGATGTGTGGCTGAAAAACCCATAAAAGCTCAATATTTGATCTGAATTTCACTTTTACAAAAAGAAATTCATAAAGGTAGGTATTGAAAAAGTCAGACTGGTGAGATCAAAAGTGCTCATTTAACTTAATATATGGTCTCAGAGCCAGAAGCTTATTTCTGGGATGTCAGGAAGTGTTGAATGTCATGGAGACAGGAATGTGATCTGTCAGCTCGGCCAGCCTCGTCACAAAACTGTATTGTCTGATTTCCTGCAAGGTATGGAAAAAGTTTCTGTATCAGTTAATAAACAGATAAAAATGAAATTCTAGGCTCCTGGGTCATAAAACTTGGAGAGTCTCATTTTTACACAGGTCCCACCTTCTCACTCTATATTCCTTTCTTTATAGTGAGACTGAGATCAAAAGTGAGCTCAGCTTAGTTTTATGGTCCCGTAGCCTGGTGAATTAATTAGTACTTTACAGTAACTTATCATTTCTTCTACAATGCTCTAGTGCCAGTTTTACTTACAATGTCTGATTCCTTGTTGTACAGAATGTAATCTATCCTCCGTTTTCCATCACATTTCTCGTTTACCTCCCCTGTCTTTGGATGAGCATTGTACACAAGATTAGACAGAGTGGCCACTTTTACGTCAGCGTCTAATATGTACCGCCGTCGCATGGCTGGATTCTCCAGCGCTCGCTTGAGTCCCTCTGGGGAGGAAATCTCCTCCTCCCAAAAACAACCCTGTCTCATTTCTGTTCCTTTATAAATCAAAAGACAACAATCCATTACTTATTTATAAGAACTTTGTGGAGCATTTAAAATAATTTTGTGTTTTGAATATCTTCTATTCCAACTTTATATGGAATGTAATTCTCTTAAGTATTTTTTAATGAATCAATTTGTATTTGTCATTCAGATAAATTTCTTGGTACATGATTTTTTTTTCTGATTGTCCAGTATTAGCTAACCCACAGTCCATTCATGGTCCTGCCCTGCACTTTTTCGAGCTGGATCTATGTACACAGAAAACAAACTGTGATCTGAAAGACACTGATCACCTAGAAAACAACAAAATATCTTTCTAAGACCAAAAATATATAGTCACTTCACCATAATATACATGCAGTGTTTATGACATAAAAAAGTCAAGTTTTCCAATACAAAATTAGCATAGGATAGTAGGATACCTGGGGATATGTTATCAAAGTTGAAATCACCACAAAGAATGTCAAAGGTCACACTGTCCCTCTGGTCACCGGTCAGTGTCCTGAATTCCTCGGTCCACAGCAACACTTCATCCAGTTGTTTCTGGATAATTGGTGTCTCACCTATGTATAAAAACAAAAAGGCCAAGAAGATTAAACTTAGAAGTTTGCTGAAATTTCAGGGAATTCCCAGTGTATAAAAGTGTTAAACCATTTCAGGCTTCAGCAGCTGCACATATCTTTTCCTGAGAAATGAATGCATTTTTCCTCCATCTTGATGATACTATTCGTTTTTCTGACGATGATTTTTTTTTAATTGACAAAATTTCGTATGATGCACATATTATTATTTCATTGAATTCACTTTGCTCGTTCTATATTGTAAGTAGTTAGTAATGGAGTTGGTGTATGATTTACACTACCTTGATAAGCCTGTAGATGTGTGTTGAAGATGTATCCCACCTTGGATTTTCCCTTTGACCTCCCGAGCAAAACCTGTCAGTAAAAGAATTACCAGTAAACAATATATCAATGAAAGAGCTAGGGAGTGAAATTCTGAAACAATACTTTACCTTATCAAATTGAAATTATTTTTTTTTTATAATTTAGATACACAATACCCATACTTAATATATGATAACAAGAAGTAAGTCTCAATCTATTTTTACTTCTACATGTGTACTTCATTACTTTGTCTGTTTGTCATAAAATATTACAAGTAATTGTATAAAATGTTTTAATTCTTTTATAATAAATACCTTCACCATGAGAAGTCCTTTCCCAGAAAATAAGCACTGTTTGCAGGAATTACTGTACGTTTTAAAGCAAGCATGGAGGATTTCATATTTACTAACAAACATCAACCCACTATTGAAAATAAAGTAATTGTTAAACAGACTAGTATCTCCTACATCATATATTATCCAGGGATAAACCTTATGAAGCTCCTTAACCAGTCTTTTACTGTGATCCCTATCCCAACCTTCCTGAATACACATAAAATCTATTTCTGAAAAGTTAGTCTGAATATCTCCCACTTGTTTTGTTCCATTAGCTATACTTTCAGTTCGGATTTGATCTGCTATGATTCTTTGTCCTGTTATCTGTGCTCGCTGTTTTGTATGAGACAGGTTGTTAAATCTAGAGAGAAACTCGGGCATCAGGCAAATATTCATTGTTGTTACATTATATGTTTTTTTCTCTGAGTCATATTGTTGTCCATCGGTCCCCTTTACTGAAAGAATATATGAATTTCTGAACAAATGTAAAACACATCTCATCAAAAAGGCCACTACAGCAGGGACAATGAGGCAGGTCAGAATACTGATATACAGAGGAAGGAATGCTAGACTGGTGGCATAATGCCTCGCAATGTGGGTTCTCTCTTTTGTGGTGGGAATGAAGATGGACACAATTTCACTGAAGCTCCATAAAACTGGCCTGAGGATGAATTCAGCAACTGTAAATGCCCACTGCTGGTATTTATGAGGAAAGGGTGTCTTGTGAAGCATAATGTTTACTCTCTCTCTTTACAATATATCAAGGCATCATCTTGATCATTCTGCAATGTAAAATATATTTTATAGTACATGTGTATTAAATGAAAAAGTTCTACAAATGTCATTTGGCAACTTGGATTTATAAATATTCATTTTTTTTTTCAATTTCAATATAAATCCTTGAAAAGGATGGGAAAAGACCACTGATTCTTTAGTGTTCATAGACTGTATTAACATACCACAGTTTAGATGAAAGTTTCTGCATAAAACTCTCAATTTAATTTTGAACATTAAAATAACGGAGAAAGGTAAGCATGAAAAATTTTCCTGGCATCTATTTATACCATAAATTTTTTGGAGGTCCTTGTTTGCTCTTCTTTTTTGTATTTAAATGGACTTTTGAGCTTGAATATTGTTCGTTATCTCCACGTATTTCATTAAAGAATCTCAACAATTGGGATACCATCTGATCTAAGTACATGCACAAGCACAGAATCATCACTATTGGAACATAAAAAAATATTTTTTAAACAGTTACTGTAATCTGGGAGTGCTTCTGACACGTAAATAGCCATTCAATACGTGATCATAACAAACAGTGTAGTCTGTAGACACTGGTAGAGTCTACTTCTAAAGTTCTAGTTTCAGTTTGTTCGGGTATCAAAAAGACAAAGTTTTTAAACTATGAAACACAAAGTTAATCTTCCTTTCTTCAGAGCAATGCTTCCTTATTTTGTGTTTTAGCATCTCAGTAAAATAAACTTACATGTCTTTGCTATATGGGCATACTACGGCAATAGATTACAGAACGTCCTATGGACTCGACTACAGTAGCAGAAGTCACGTGTAATGTAATGCCAATCCCGAGTCCGATTTTCATTTCGCACAACAAATAAAATTATATTTGGCGGAGATTTATACGAATAACATTTTTTAAAATTAAAATAAGATCACATATATAAAACTGATAGTCAGAATTGTAAACATTTTCGATTTTACACGTTTAAACATCCGTTACAGTGCACTGGATCGGGTTCATTTGTTTTCACTTTCAACTTTCATTTTGCGGAATGGTCACAAACCAGTGAAACCGACAAGCCAAAGGACTGACAGGTAATTTTCCAGTTTATCAAACCAGATAGGAATTTCAAACAATTTTTGATACAATTTTGGTGACTCTGATATTTTTGTTTTGTTGTTTTCTAGCTTTCCGGTGAGAATCAATTGGTGAATTGTTCTAGATAGATCGTATGTTCCAATTTTTAACCATATTTATTAATCAGATTTTATTCATATAAATATATATTTTTATTGTACAACCATAGGAAGTTATCAACATGGCAACTGTTCTGGAGGGCACAAAAATCGAGGAGAAGAGACTTCAAGATTTAATTGAAAGTGCAAAAGACATTGCACTTATTAATGGTAATGAATTTGAATATTGCTAAAAAAATTTGATAAACTAAGCTGTTAGATCTGAAAGAGAGCATTACTTTAATATACAAGATAGAGGGGTATATATTTGACTAATGTCTGTTGATGATATTGTGTTTGTTGACAACTTTGAAATCACAAATGTTTAATTGTGTAGTGATTGACATTGTATCTGTCAATTTGAGTGAACTGATTTGAACAAACTGATTTAATGAAAAACATGCAATATAAATTGTTGATATACCTTTGAAAATTTGTTCCTATACAAAGCTATATGGGAAAAAAGTATAACATTTATAATGTTTTACTGACAGAGGTATGGTCATAATTTGACCACTGAGTGAGATGTTGGAAATGTGTTTTGTTGGACTCAAGAACCATATTTCCCTAGAACACATTCAATAAAATGTATAATTTTTAATTTACTACAGGTGCTTTGATGAGGACGAAAGAAAAACCTGGGTCATCTGCTGTGGTCAATCATTCTCCCTTTTCTTTATTTCCGTCTGTTGTACCTCAGAATTTATTAGAAAAAGCCAAGGGCATCCAAAAGTCCTTTAATCTTCTAATGCATCGAGTTTCTCATGACCATCAGTTTCTGGAGCAGGCATTGCAGAAGTAAGGATGTCTGTTAAACTTTGTATGTTTTTTTCCTCAGACATCTAAATCTCACATACCATAGATACCCATGCAGTTCTAAGTGTGTTGGAAGTCCCAACTTATTAATGTGTTTTTAACATTTATGTTTTAAATCCTTAACTTGAATTTTTTATTGATTAAGATATCTACTTCATTTTCTTACTTAATGTTTTAGTGTTATCAAAGTAGATGACTTCACAAGACAACTATGGGATATTTACAACACTGTTAGAGAAGAAGGGTTTAGACAGGTGAATATAGGCAATATATGATAATTAACTCAGATAGTTCAATACAAGTATATGCATACAGCAGTATTGGGTTAAAAAATCAAATGAGAAAAGTCGTTATTAGAAGTATAGCTTGGAAGATGTTGGATGTGAGATAACTTTGTAAAAGATAAAAGTTCCATTTTTTCAATCAGGAGCCGACTTCTTACTTTAAAACCAACACTGTATTTGTGATATACATTGTACATACTTTTTGTGTTGGAAATTAAACCCTTTTTTAGCTCACCTGAGCTGAAAGCTCAAGTGAGCTTTTCTGATCACCCGTTGTACGTCGTCCGTCCGTCCGTCTGTAAACTTTTCACATTTTCAACTTCTTCTCAAGAACCACTGGGCCAATTTTAACCAAACTTGGTACAAAGCATCCTTGGGTGAAGGGGAATTTAAATTGTTTAAATCAAGGGCCAAGACCCCTTCCAAGGGGAGATAATCAAGAAAATACAAAAATAGGGTTGGGTCATTAAAAAATCTTCTTCTCAAGAACCACTGGGCCAGAAAAGCTGAAACTTATATGAAAGCATCCTGGGGTAGTGTAGATATTAAATTGTTAAAATCATGACCCCCGGGGGCAGGGCGGGGCCACAATAGGAAATCCAAGATTTACATAGAAATATATAGAACAAATCTTTAAAAATCTTCTACTCAAGAACCACTGGGCCAGGAAAGCTGAAACTTATGCGGAAGCATCCTTGGGTAGTGTAGATATTAATTTGTTAAAATCATGACCCCCGGGGGTAGGGCGGGGCCACAATAGGGAATCCAATTTTTACATAGAAATATATATAGAACAAATCTTTAAAAAAGATCTGCATCACCCAAGTTACTCAGGTGAGCGATGTGGCCCATGGGCCTCTTGTTTTAAAATAATGAAGCCTTACTTTTTTGTTTCAGCCAGTGTCCCTTGGCCTGTTCAGAAATGACTTCATGATGGACACTAAGAAAATAGAGAAGAATCCAGACTGCTCATTATCTCAAATTGGTGAGCATGCTCAACTCAAACAGATTGAGTTTAACACCATAGCATCCAGTTTTGCAGGATTAGTTGGGGCACTGTCAGATGTACACAGGTTTGTCATATTCTGAATCTTGTAAGTGGTCCAGATCTTACATTTATGTACTAATTAAAATTAGATTAAAGTTTAAATCATTTACTTGCCATAGCAAGATTCAGATGCATTTTATAGATTCTTTGACCATATAATAGTATACTCCCCTTTTTCAATAATTTTAAGGAGAAGAAATATAGTTTGTAGGTTATTTAAGTATTTTATCTAATTAAGGATTCACATGTTGCAGTTAAAGACACACAGTGCTTCTTATAGAATGAAATTAAGATGAAATTGGCTCACATCTGTCAGATGGATAGGACGTTTATATGAATAATTAGAATAGAATCTTTACAAACCAATATGTTTCCTTTACATATGAGTTATTCGTTATGATTTATTAGTAAATATGTATGTGTAGAACTATTCAAAATTTACATCAATAACCAAGTGCTATGTTTTATTTCCATTGCAGATACACAATAGCTAAATCCAAGATTAAATATACCAAAACTCAGGTAAATGTTTGCACAATAAGATGATTGCTAGAAGGTTTTAAATTATTCCATTGCTAACATGTTATACAGTCAAAACTTTATTATCTGAAACTCACTGGGACTGAGAGCAAAATTAAAACTTCAAGCTATCCAAGGTTTCATGTAGCAAAATAAAAATTTTAAGAATAAGTGGTTTGGACTTCCAAATTACTTTGACATATCAATGGTTCTTGAGATAGCAGTGTTTAAGATGCTGAAGTTCAACTGTATTGGTTTACATATGAATATAAGATATATTATATATTAATAAACATTTGATTTCATGATAAAATTTTAAAGGCAATTTTATATCAGCAGTTTAAGTTTCCAAGAAATGTTCCTTTTAGTAAAAAAAAAGTTAATGTTACTAAATATTTGTAGTTACCAAGAAATGACCCTGCCGTTGGTTTGTCTCGAGGAATAATTAAAGCATGGCAACACTATGGGAACAAAAAGTATTACTTTTATTTCAAGAGTTTGTTAATCAAAGTTGATAGCATATCTATTACTTACATATACATGTATTCTTAAGAACATCTTTTGAAACTAAAGTTAGTTTATTGTTCTCTCTGAAAGACTAGGTTGTGAACAGCATTCTTGTACGATTTATTGAATTTTTCTGAATTTAATTGTAGTTAAGAATAAAGCCTATCTTTCAGTGCAGCCATCTTGTTTGTGGTTAGTGTACCTGAGCAGAATCGCATGGACCAAGTTTGGTTGGAAAAGAAAATCGTGGAGCTTGATCACTCAATAGATGTAGTCTATTATAGTCTACAGTCACTATCCACTAATATGTTACTGTCTCCAGACAAAAAACTCTTTGTGTAAGTAGGTATATGAAATAATGACGCAATTCACAATATTTAATATTAGAATCATTGATGATTTATTTCATCGGATGCTGAGGTGCAGATATGGTTCTGTGTACTACAGTTGATCTTGTTATCTAGGTATATATTTTTGTTTCAGTAACAATACAGAGATAGCTGTTGTCTACTACAGAGAAGGATACTCACCAAATCATTACCCTAGTCAAAAGGTACCATAAATGGTGAATTTTTTTATGTAACATGTTTAACATTTTCACATGCTTAGTTTGAATTTTTCGATCATTTACAGGAATGGGACGTAAGATTGAGTATAGAAAGGTCAAAGGCCATTAAATGTCCCACTGTTCACTATCAGCTGGCAGGGACCAAGAAGATTCAGCAGGAACTGGCAAAACAAGGGGCTGTGGAAAAGTTCATCAGTGACGAAAAAGAAGCAGTAAAGATCCGATCATTTTTTGCGGGACAGTACAGTCTAGATCTGGTAAGGAATGGTGTTATAATTCTGTGACATCAGAACATATAGGGGTGTAACTGTACATCTATAAACATCTATATATGTAATTTAATGTAGAGTGGGTCAGTTTGTTACATTAATATGAAAACAATGATCCAGAAAGTTTTAAGAGTAGAAATGCATGAAGGTAAAACCAAGCCACTGATATTGTTAGTCTGTGCTCAGTGGTGTGTGCAAACTAAACATATTGAACATACCTGGTGAAACATAAACATTAGCTGTAACAGCTCGTGCAGTGTTTACAAAAACAGTTTACGTTTCTCGGGTGTGTTTATTTTGTTAAACTCTGCACAAATCATTGAGCACAAACGGACAACACTGGTGAATGGATTTTGTGTTTTTACATTTCTACTCTAAATTTTCTGGATTATAGTTTTAATATTTTTTAAACAGCAAAATTTCTGATTTTCTTTATTATTATTAAAGGATAAAGTTTACTTGTAAAATGGTGCAAGGATGTGTCAGTCAAACAAGTCAAGAAATTTTTAGTTTCAATCATTTCCAGATAAAATAAGTGTTTATTATATTTCTGTTTGAAATGCTATTGCAACATATAAGTCATGATATGTTATTCAAACCTTTAAATCACAGAGCAAAGATTTGTACTGACTGATCTACCATATGATGATTTAGAGTTATCTCTCTTAGATTGTGTTGTTTTACTTTGAAGGACCCAGAAGGAGACAATAATGCAGAGATGGCAATAAACAATCCTCAGGACTACGTGTTAAAACCACAGAGGGAGGGTGGGGGTAAGTATCCTGGTAGTGCAAATTCTTCTTCATCAGATGATAGCATATAATGCTGCAGGAATAGACCTCTGGCTTCAGGCCCATAAATCTTAGTCAAACTCACTTTTGATTTCAGACTTACTTTTACAAGAGGAGTGAATTTGAAAAAGTGAGACTATAGATCAAAAGTGCTCAGCTAAATTCTATGGCCTTGGAGCATGGTGATTGCCTATAAGATTCATTTGTAATTTCCTTAAATGTACATACATGTTGATCATATTAGCACTGGATGTATAGGCCTGTTTTTTCTGTGTACTTTAAAGGGAACAACCATTACGATGATGAGATTAAAACTCTGCTGTCAGACCTGAAGAATAACGAGGAGCGAGCTGGATACATCCTGATGGAGAAGATTCACCCGTGGGTACAGGAGAATTACCTGATCAAGGTGGGAGAGAGCTCAGTACTCAGGAAGGTGGTCAGTGAGATCGGAGTCTATGGAACCATACTGGGGTATATATAGCTTTACAATGACTGCTTAAGAAAACTAATTATTTATAGAAATTTAAAAATAGCATTGTAAGAATTCAGATATGTTTATATCTCTTTAAATTATCTATGGAAGTGACCCGATCATTACCAATTTTATAGAGGATATCTGAAATTTAAATAAATGCATTGTATTTTGCAAAATATAAATTTGCAATATGTCTTGATTCTTTCCTCCTCTCTTTCAATCTTTCATTGACATATTTTTCCCCTCGTTAAGGTCAGCTGAGGAGGTGATGGAGAATGAGGAGGTTGGACATCTGATGCGGACCAAACATTTAGGGGTGAACGAGGGGGGAGTGAGTACTGGATACTCCTGTCTGGACACACCCTTCCTTATTGAATGAATATTTCGCTATTAGATACACTGTTCATAGTTTTATATAAGAAAAGTTGAATATTTGTTAACAGAGGGAAGTCCGTCTCCTCAGAGATAAATGCATAATTATGTAAAGATCTGAAAGCTACATAGTGTCACATAATAAGGGTATATATTTTTTTGTTTAAGTACTATGCCATATTTAGTCAGCTTAAGCTTTAATTTAGTTGTCTCTTTAAAACATGTACCTCAGTATATATACATGTATATATGATGTTTTATTTATCATAATGGATTGTTAAAATATTGCATTTTAGATAGTATTTAGTTACATTTCTGCTCAGTTTTTCTTCCCTGAAAGTCTTTTTGGTAGATATATTTTTACAAAAAGCTGTTATACCATGCCTTGCTGTCTCTAGCTCTAACCCCTGGAAAGGAGCGAATTTTAAAATATAATGGCATTACTTTTCATTATCCCCTGCTCCATGAAAGAGAAAATCAGTTATGGTATATGTTGTCTTATAATTGTTTTGTCATTTGTTTAAATGACTTTTTTATGCCCCCCCTTCGAAGAAGGGAGGGCATATTGCTTTGCTGCTGTCTGTCGGTCCACTTAGATTCCGTTCATTTTCTTCGCAACCGTTGCACATACTTAAATGAAATTTGGTATACAGATATATCACATTAATATCTAGGTCAAGTTCTATTTTGGATACGATAGCTCCATTTTTGGCAGAGTTATGCCCCTTGGACTTATAAAAATTACAATTATTTGCCATTTCCGTTCATTTTGTTTGCAACCGTTGCACATACTGAAATGAAATTTGGTATACAGATATATCACATTAATATCTAGGTCAAGTTCTGTTTTGGGTAGATCGCACCATTTTTGACAGAGTTATGCCCCTTGGACTTAGAATAATTTCTATTATTTGCAGTTTCCGTTCATTTTCTTTGCAGCCGTTGCACATACCAAGATGAAATTTAGTATACAGATTTATCAGATAAATATCTAGGGCAAGTTCTGTTTTGGGTACGATTGCGCCATTTTTGACAGAGTTACTAGTATGCCCCTTGGACTTAGAAAAATTTCAATTATTTGCTGTTTCCGTTCATTTTCTTAACGACCGTTGCACATACTGAGGGGAAATTTAGTATACAAATTTATCAGATGACGATCTTGGTCAAGTTCTGTTTTGGGTACAATCACGCCATTTTTGACAGAGTTATGCCCTTTTGGACTTGGAAAAATTCCAATTTGGGGGGAGGGGGGATAAGTGTTTTACAAACATCTCTTGTTTATAATGAATATATGTCAGCTTTAAACTTTTTAACAGATAATTCTGCCACATGTTGATACACCATCAATTTTTTTCCGATGAGTTCTAGTCAAAACTGCAGGCTTTGAAAAATTATGTAGTTATTTACAATTCTTTTTTATTTACATAGAATAAAAAAATTATCAAATGTGCATGTACATCCCCCCCCCCCCCTTGAAAATGAGGGGTATATACTGATTATATATTGATTGGGGGTGTCTGTCACACTTAGCCGTCATTTGGCCACAACTCCTTTTGCAGAATATTACAAGGGGGGGGGGGGGGGGCTCTGGTGAAGAAGAGTAGGGCCAAAGTTATTTAGGTGAGCATTGTGGCCCATGAAGCTTCTTTTTTTGTCAGGTACATTTGATTTATTAGTGTATGTTAATGTTAAATTTGCAAGTAGCAATGTATTTTTTAAACTTTTTAAAATCTATATATAAATTAAGCTTTTTGTACAAAAGATGAGACAATTAATTTCCCATGAGGTGCAATATGTCTTAAAAATCCATGTTCTCAATTCAAATTATCACAAGATTATTTTTAATACATGCAGGCATTGACTGTAGAATTTCTTCTCTGTTGTCAGTCTTTCAGATTTATTGACATGTATTTATATTATTTTACTGTTTACATTGTACTGATATCTTAGATTCATCAAGAATAAACAGAAAATAATTGCCATTACGTTTTGTAATACAAATCTAAATGAGATCTGGTCCCCACCCAGTCTTTTTAATTTCCTTCTGTAAATACCAATCTAAGAGTGCTCCAGATATTAATTATGTTGTAGGATTATTTAATTTCTGTAGATCTGCACTTTTAAATGTTTACAGCAAACATGACACATCCGGCAATAGTTCCCAAATGTATAATATGCTCCTAGACTAAACCAATTATGTTATGACAGCAATGTTAGCCTAAATATCCAAAAATAAAAATAGGGGGGGGGGGGGAGTCGCATAAAATATATTATTATGTAGACTTTGTAAATGAAACTGTTCAAGTAAATAGGATTTAATACCAGGTTGCCTATCCCAGTCCAAGATGTGTGTTCCAGTAGACACCAATCACTTCTATAAATATGTAGACAAAATTGATTACTAGTATAGCTTTTCCAAAGCAGATTCTTTCTCTCACTTTTTAGATCATATATGCCCAAGGTTTTTGTGAGTTTTCAGATGGACGATTCAGTATTGATGTCTGACATTATAAAAATCTATCTGCAGTCTATTGTCAGTCGTGCCAATTATTTTCAAAAAAAAAAAACTTGCCACAAAGCTGAATGGGAGAAGGGAGCTTTTTCTTTTAATGAGAATTAAGGCTCAAATCATATTCCATGGGAAGATAATTTGGTTTCATTTCTTTTTCTGAGAAGTCACTAGCTGGACCAGAAAAGACAAAAACTTACAGGGATTTTTTTTTTTATATAATGTTCATTCAACTGGTAGATTCAACCAGGGGTTGAATTTATCAAAGTTTTATTATATATGTATGAAAAAAATCTTTTAAAGAACAGCATGGTTTGAAATATACATATATTTCTGCAAGCATTCTCTGGAAATGCTACAGATCTGTTCAGTTTATGCCTTTCAGGATAAGGGTGGAGCCAAAATAAGTGATCAAAGGTTATACCATTAGGAAAAAGTTGAAAAAAAGATGCACTAAGTGTATATTTATACTAATACTGAATGCAGGGAATTTTTCTCCCATTTCATTTTCACCCCTTTCAGCCTATCCTCATTGGGGCAAATTTATAGAATACAGTATAATTTCTTAAGGGGGATGTACAAGCCATATTGGATCTAGTCTGGTGTAAACTAAGAAATACCAAGAATGCGCTTAATACTCTACTTAACTAGCCCAAAGTTACTCAAAGTGCTAATGCACTAATTACCTACTGTTAGAGACCAAAATTAGTGAACAATTAAGTTTATTTTGTCTTAATTAGAAGAAAATTAATCATGTTAGAACTGCGCAGCTACAGCATTCATGAGATGAAAAATGCATTGAAAATGGAGTTAGTTTGATTCATTGATAATATGGCTACAACCATTTGTTTCGTTTTTTCCTTGTCATTATCCTTAATTCTTGAAAATTTGATTTTTCATATGGGTGTCTTCCTGAGGCCATGTGTTTATTTTGGTCCGCCATTCCTCTGTCACACAGAGTTCGAATAACAATGATTTTAGAATAAATGCGACCATAATAACATCAAGACAAGAAATTACTAAGTAATAATCATTAGGTTATATTACTTACTACTTTTATTTGTTGCATCGCATCGTCTAATTAATGAAAAAACGCGATTTTAACCTCACTCCAGCAAATCGGGAAAAACTGTTCTGTTTACAACTCGAAATTCCTCGTTAATATTATTCCACTAAGCAGATGGTTGGCATGTGCATATATCTGCTGTGGATAGATCCGTTTATTACCATGATTATATTTAATTTTTATAGAACAAGTCTTGATAATTTGTTGGTTTCTTTAAAACTCAAGAAAAAAAGATAAAAATGTCCTAAACATATGTGTTTACGGTGGGTCTTTTTTCTGTGGCGATAGAAGTTATTTTCAAATGGGGCACTGCAAGGAGGATGCTTAGCATTTAATTTGAAAATGTTAAACAATATGCAGTGCATGAAAAATAAATTGTAATTAGATGTCTTACATTCGAAAAGTTGGTACATATGTCTATTTTGTTTAGAAGTTAGATAAAAAAAATAGGCAGTTATAGGATATCCTTCAGGCACCTCACGTAAATAGCTAGAATGTTTGCAATGACCCACACATTGTATGGAGTAATGTTTGGACACAAAAACGCATCATGTCTCATTATGTTGACAACGTTGTAAGCTCTCGCTCATTGAACATACGAAGCTTGATAAAATATAATGAGTTGTTTCTATGAAATTTAGAAGCGAGCACAATGTTTGCAAAGAAAGGTCCATTGCATATATGCTATGTCTATCATCGCAAAAAAAGTGAGTGCTAACCCCCCCCCCCTCCCTCGAAAATCCTATGTTTGTTTTTCAAAATAGTGTCAAAGATTAAAAAAAATTGCATTACTAAGTATGTGATGGAACATGTACTAGCCTTATAATACCACTTGTTATAAGAATATTTGGTTGCCCTCTCTCCCGATCTACTGCCTAGAAATGGCCCGACTCATTTTTTTAACATTCCATTACACGATATTTTTTTCTTTTTCTTCCGTCAACAATTCTGTTTAAATTTTAAGGATTTTTTTTCTCACCTATAAATACGGACCCAATAATTTTTCCCTGAGGTGGGAGGACCACCAAACATCATTTTAAAGATGTTTATAGGTTGATTTTTTCTCTTTACTTTGTACAATTGTAATTTTGAAAATATGGGCAAATAGAAAAAAAAATTTATTCATTAAATCTCCTAACCAACTCTGAATGATTCCATGCCTTTTCAACTGTTGCTCCTCTGTAATGAAAATTATAAATGCATGTTTATTTGACACAGTATACGAGGGGTGATCAAAAAGTAAACAATATCTTAGGTACTTGATATTTATATTATTGTTGAAATATTCAAGTATTTTTCAAAGTGTAAAATTTTAATTGAAGGTCTTTGATGGCATATTGCTTTATTAAAAACACATCCCTTTTCAAACTTGCTTTCACCGGGCATTAATAAACTGCTTCACATGAACAAATTCTTATACGCTACTTCAAAGGCATTTCTAAGATATACATGTGCCACGAGTTCCACTGAGACAACCATTTTTCGTCAAAAGTACCTGAATAATGACGTCATTTTCAGATTGTGACATCACAAACAAGGATCAAAACTTCAGCATATGCTATTTATAGAACTTGTGTTTGGCTATCTAATCTGAACTGTGGTTTTGTAGATATAGAGATATTTCGCGAAATTTTTGATAACGCTTCGTACTAGTAGGTACTAAAACAAGGTCATTCGTTTCAATTTTATGTGTCTAATTTCTTTGTGTTTTATTGTAGATAATTAAATTTTAATAGATAATATAATTTATCTGTGGCAAACTTACAAACTCTTAATTTTTAACTTTGATGGTGCTCATTTTTCCTTACCTGGAATCAAAGAGTTTAAATTTTTTTTATATCGATACATAAACTATATAACAACTGTTCGATAATAATACTAAATAAATTACTTCAAGCCACACTATAACACCTTTCCTCTTTTAAAAGTGTTCATATTATTTGAAATATTTTGCAATTGTAATTCTCTTCTACATTTAAAGATTGTTATGCCCCTCCATATTAAGAAGAGGTCTGGAAAACAAGATTCTGTGCTAAAAATAGACCACGTGCTGCTATCCATGAACTACTTTCATGGTTCTTTACACTCTTTTTGAGGACAATGGTACCTTGTTTTGAACTTGAAATTATCATTTAAAAGTGCAAAATTTAGACATTTTCTCAACAAATGGTTGTAGAGAGAACATTAATGCACAGTTTGCATATTTTTTTGGATTTTTTAAGGCTCTGCTGAATTCTGTAGCTGCGCAGTTCTAAGGAGCATATCAAAAGCATTTTTCTGCAAAAGTATAGATTATATATGCACAACATGCATTCGGTTATGCATATTTATTGTATCTTTATCAAAAAGACTTAAAATTTGATCAAAATATAATGTATTTTAGCCATTTGAAGAAATGTTTACATTTTGCTCTCACTGCACTAAAAGTGGCCGTACATCCCCCTTAAATAAAACTATGACTGGGCAAATTTAAAATGGGGTAAATTGCCTCCAAGTGTGAAAGGGTAAAATAACATGGGGCGAAAATAACTCTGTATACAGTATATCTGCTCCATGTATTTTCAGACAGTATTTTTCTTAGAAAATAACAAAAAAGAAAATAGATTAGATTATTTTTTTTATTGCTTTGTAAGACCACATACATACAGTGGATTACAATAAATTCCCACACTTCTCTCCCTTTCAACAACATTCAAACTACTGATCATGTCAAACCACAAGGAGATTTGTGTGTGTCGTCCTGGTAACCTAATTATACTCCCTAGTTACTGAGATTAGTGAGCAAGTGACAGCTGGGGAAAAAATTGGTTCTTCAGAATATGGATTGTTTGGTACATTGTCACTTTCTGTACAATATATTATAAAAAATGAAATTAACAAATATTGTCACAGATCAGTGGTGAAATATACTGTATATTTTCAAAAAAAAGAAAAACTTAAAAAAGATAGGAGTGAAGTTGCATGAACACAATAAGTAATTTGCATTCTGTCATTTTATTTAATACTTATGATGATTTGCATATCTCAAAAAAATAACATGGTTGCATCTGTTTGTTGTGATTCTAAGGCACATCTGCAATACAAATAATATGTAGTACCAGAGTTATTTCCCTTTGATTGTGGTTTACTTTATTTTGGCAAGGTGACAACGTGCATTCATGCTCTACTTAAAAATGCAATATTTTTCTACTTATATTTCATGTATGAAACAAATAAAAAACATCATTTTGTTCTGAGCACCATATCCAAAGGGATGAGATCATTTGATATTATCTATGGTGCAAACACTTCTACGAAGTGCTACCAAATTCATAAAACATTTATATGTACAGCACAACCTTTTTTGTACAAGAAATTTTGGATACTTTCCATGACAAATTTGAAGAACAAGACAAAAAAAAAATCACTTTGTAATCTATATGCTGCTAAATTTGTACATAAGTAGCAAATTAATTACCTCAAATGAGGTAAAAAAAAATTATCTCTCAATTTTTTGTAATAAATTATCAACAAAATATATAAAGCACTTGATTATTTGACCTACATATGTATAGTTTACAATGCTGACGCTTGTCCAATCACGGTCTTGAGTTCGTATGCAGCATGTGACACGTCCACCACCCTGTCAACCATTTCCTGCACCACCGGTACTGAGGGATACTGTAGGGCCGCCGTTTTAGTGGCTTTCACTGTCAATTTCAGTGCATCACACAAGTGATTTGCGCAGTGCATAATTTTAGTTTTTACTTCATTGTGCATGAGATTTCGATGCAAATTATC